AAACCGAGACCGTGCATTGGTTAGGCCTACGTCAACCATACCTATCAGCTCAGCTGGATCTGGGCGTGCCAGGGTTTAGAATGACACTACAGTACATACCATACGACGTACATTGAAATAAACAAGACGAAATCTGGTAACAGTACCTAAAAACAAACACAACTGACCGCGTTCGCGAGCTTTACGACAAGATTCACGCTGCCGTTGCTGCCGTCTTCAACCAGCGACGAATCGGACGAATCTCCGAATCTGCCGAATATTCGTCGGGGGAAGTTCGGAAATTTCCGAATCTGGGCGAATCCGAATCTCCGGTGATTCGCCCCATCACTATTAATAACCTTCCCTCTGCGCTAATTGATGTCACATCTCGAGGAGCTTTGAAGCGTGAGGAGGCACTGTAGGCCTCCTCACAAGTCAGTTTTCGGCTGGCGTATAAAATTTTGTTTCGGCTTGTCTTGATCACATCAAAGTGCGGGCTCACGGACTTAAAGTTAAATCTGCTGTAATTTCGCAAAAACTTGCCGATCATTACTTCACTGCGGTTCGGTTAGTTTCAAATACCCCTCCTAAAAACGCCGGCACCACTTAATACAAATAGCGATTACTCTCGCGCCAAAAAAGTTAAGCCGCGTAAACACTGTACAGGGTGATTCAAGGAGACGCCGGGCTCTTTAAATCGACCGCAAAATTCGGTTTCTTAACCTATCGCGCTACGGCTTTGTGCAGCGTTGCCCACAGATGGTGCATTTTTTTCTTTTTCTTTTTTTTTTTTTTTTTTAATTGGCAAAGAGCGAACTTACCTGAGGTAAAAGTAAAGAAAGAAAAAGGCTTAGCTCCTACGGAAACGCAGCGACGCCACCGGTCTTCAAACAACACAGCGCCGTTTCGCACGGGAGACAAGAGATGGCGCAACAAACGCCGCCGACGCAAGGCTGCGCCGACGAACGAGCATGCGGCACCTAGAGCCGGCGTTTTTAGCTGACGATCTTTTCGACTCAAAAGCGGCGCGCGTTCCGCAGGCGGCGACAGACGCAGAAACAAAAAAAAAAAAAGGCGCGGTATCAACAAGGAACTGTAGTTTCTTGTCTGTAAAGACGTCGGCTCTCGGCGTCGTATGCTCGTTCGTTGGCGGCAGTTGGCGTCGCGACCACTTGCGCCATCTCTTGACTCCCGTGCGAAACGGCGCCGTGTTGTTTGAAGACCGGTGGCTTCACTGCGTTTCCATAGGAGCTAAGCCTTTTTCTTTCTTTACTTTTTCCTCAGGTAAGTTCGCTTATTGCAAAATTTACAAAAAAAAATAAAAAATTCACCATCTGTGGGCAACGCTGCACAAAGTCGTAGCACGATAGGTTAAGAACAGTGGCGTAGTAACGGGGGGGGGGGGGGGGGGGGGGGGGGGGGGCCGTGGGCCCCGGGTACCAGGAGTCTCAGTCACGAGGGGGGGTGCCACTTATGGCGGCAATCCCCCTGGCTTGACTGGTTCGTAAGTGGCAAAGAATTTGTAAACGCATGAGGTCACTACTCTTCCATCACGAACGTGTCTGGTGCAGAGTCGTAAAACTGGCTTGGCTCGCGCAAAGTCATCGCGCACCGGCGGAGAAAACAAGCGCGGAAAGTGCGGGAGCACTCGAGAAAGAGCTGTGCCCGGGCACGCCGAGCCAACGCCACCTACACTCTCAAGAAAAAAGGGTGTCAAAAGGTGTATTCTTACACCCTTTGTCCCATATAATACACCCCCAAACTTCAATTGGATATACAGCGCCCTACAGTCAAACAGACAGCCCGAAATTTTACGAGAGGCTTGATAGCCGTGTGGTACAACTTATTAAAATAGCTAATGTACGTTTTACTGGCAACAAGAAAAATACTCGGGGCTTTCTTGGCCCTACCGTAAAAACTCTGTCTTCTTTATGTGGTCTTTGATACATACTTTAGCTATTGTAAAAGGTTGTACCACACGGCTATCAAGCCCCTCGTAAAATTTCGGGCCGTCTGTTCGACTGTAGGGCGCTGTACGTCGAATTGAAGTTTTGGGGTGTATTATATGGGACAAAGGGTGTAATGATACACCCTTTTACACCTCTTTTTTCTTTCGAGTGTACTCTACGCCAAACCCAGCGCAACACGACGCTGGCTTGCGCCGACCACGGCCGGACTGCGCCGAGACAGCAAGAGAAGGCGCCAGGCGAAGAAGAAAAAAAATCACACGAAGGTCTTACACGAAGGGAGTCACGGGGATGGGGTAAACGTGTTGGGTAAACTCTCAACGTGTCGTCTCCCTCACCCCGAGGGTGAAGTGCCGAGAGGAGGTGCTGGCGAAAGGCTTCTGATCAGCAAGCTCCCTCGCTCTCTGACCCCACCGTAAGTTCTAGAAGCGCGTCGCTCGCCGTCGGGAGGCGGTCACAATGTAGTGTTCTGGCAAGTGAATTCGTAATGTTGTGACGGCGACGGCGTTTCCCTGTTGCCACAGCGTGCCATTGACACCAAGCCTCACTGAAGTTTATGACGAGTTCACCGGTCATGATGACGAAATCGTTATGGAGATCATCCGACTCCGAAGGCACCTGAAAGCCGCTGGGAAGCATCATAATGAGACAAAAACTTGGAATGCAAAGCAGTTTCTAGAATTTATTGCCAAATGGAGCTTTTTCGAGACCCTTCCAAACCTGACTGTTATATTTCGCTTGTTCCTCACCATTTGTGTTTCAGTTGCCTCATGAGAAAGGAACTTTTCCAAGCTAAAGCTAATCAAAACGTATCTGCGCTCCACCATGAGCGATGAAAGGCTCTCAAACCTGCCGATACTGTCCATAGAAAAAGAACGTGTCAAAAACATAAATTTTACAACAGTAATCAATAACTTTGCAGAAGCCAAGTGTCGGCGAAAGAACTTATGAAGAAATTGAATGTTCAGCTTTCGTGACACAAATGCTCAATATATATATGTATATATATATATATATAAAAACTTAATGTGTTTTCATTATGAGTACATAAGTAAATAAAAAAAAACACTGTTTGCTGGCTAATCCTGTATTTATTATTTCATTATCGCTGCGTGACCTGGTGTCGCGGTTATGGCTTTTAGCTTTGCGGTCTCGGGGAGCGGGGGGTGACAAAAGACCTAAGGGCCCCGGGCGGTCGATTTAAAGAGCATGGCGTCTCCTTCAATCACCCTGTAGTTGCATTTTGAAGCAGGGCAAAAGAAAAAGTGCGAAGTGTACGTCGGCCTTTAAGTAAAAATATAAAAGCATGGCATCAAAGCAAACCTTTCTGGCTGCTTGCATGACGGCGTGGCTCCCACTGGCTGCTCATGGGACCCGTGGAGGAAGTCAACGGATAGAAAAGATTTTTTTTCCCTAAAACTTCAGTGTAGGAGGTATTTACTTTACAACGCAAAAAGCACTATTGAGCTATTTACCACCACTCCTAGAAAACTTCGTAAAAGTTTGATCGTCCAAGATTTACCATAATATAAATAACAGAAATCTAGTTCTCACATTTTTCCCATTGGGTTCGATGCATTTGCTGGTGTCAACTTAAGCAATGGCCGCCTCTGGTGTTACTACCCCGTGTCCCAATGGACAGGCTCTTTAAATCGACCGCGAAAATCGGTTTCTTAACCTATCGTGTTCCGATTTTGTACAGCATTGGCCACAGGTGGTGCATATTTTCTATAAAATTCGCAAAGAGCGAACTTACCTGAGGAAAAAGTAAAAGAAGAAAAAGGCTTAACTCCTATAATAAACGCAGTGAAGCCACCGGTGTTCAAACCATAGGGCGCTTTATGGTTTGAAGACCGGTGGCTTCGCTGCGTTTCCATAGGAGTTAAGTCTTTTTCTTGTTTTACTTTTTCCTCAGGCAAGCTCGCTCTTTGCGAACTTTATAGAAAAAATGCACCACCCGTGGCCAACGGCGTACAAAATCGGAACGCGATATTTGCAGTCGATTTAAAGAGCCTGGCCGCTATTTGGGACATGCAGTAGATCCCAGCGAAAAGCATAACAAGTAGGGTTGTCGCGAACCGGTCGAGGTACAACCAGGTTCAACCTTTTCGAACTTGTGAAAAGTTCGACAAAGTTTCGACTGCTATGCGCATGCGCGACAGGCTGGCCAGTTGGCTTCAGATTGGATGGTGATGGCTAAGGGATGAATTAAGGGCAGCACTGATTGGTTATTTCAGTTATACAATACAAAAAATAGTTATCAACTTCTTCAGTTATTACAATTAGTTTCTTTTAATTCCAACTTATCCTAAAATTAAAATAACCCTTTCCATAAAAACAATTCCACAAACCTAGACATGCTTGTATCAAGGTCTGGCCACACTGTCCACAAAGTCGAACCAGTCGAATCTGTTCCACCCAGTCAAACCACGAAAGTTCGACCTAAAAATCCGGTTCGACAAAAGTTTGCGACACCCCTAATAACAAACCTTTAATCTGCAGTGGGGATGCACGATCCAGTAAATTGTCATTCCTCCATCCTGTTTAGCACAATATTACTATTTTTAAACTACCCGACGTTTGGTAATAATTTAAATGAAACAAATTAGGTTGTTGAGAAACGAAACTCTGGCTAGTGATAAAACGGTAATGACGCATACGACCATGCAAACATTAAAAAACAAAACCAGAAATGCTGTGTACACCGCGATTCGATTATTTTTTCTTGATTCCTGCCATATTGTTTATATAGACCATTTTATCCACTAACCAAACTGTTTGAATGAGAGAATGAAAGGTTAGTATTGAACAGATTTATTTTGCAACTAATCTTTCCCAACCTGCTGTGCGTTAGAGTACATGGCCAGATGATACTCTCCAAGTGATGTGGTGGACAAACGTCACTGCTTGAAATTAACTTAAAATGCAAGATTTTGAAATGACAATATTTAGCTACATCGCTTGTCTGAGAAACAGGCATGTTGGTAAAATTCTAAAGTTGCCAAAGATATTTTGAGGCACTTCTTTCCACATAGCAGTCCATTCGTAACAATCTGTAGAGCACCGTCCATACAAGTCAACATTTATTTCTTCCAGTGTTGAAGAGCATGTTCAATGCTTTTCAATCGTATGAAGCAGTCAGTGCATTAACCTGCTCCAACTTCTCAGTCACAGAGTTCATCATGGGTTCCAACTTTTCGAGCTGCTTGGGAGTAAAATTGGCCTTGTGCAGATCAACAATGGCCAATATCCCTTTCATTGTGATTCTGGCAGAAGACAGGAGCTGGTGCCTTCGTAGCTTGTTGGGTATGCTCTCGACCGAAGACATGTAACACTCCAAGAGCTCCTTCGATCGTGTCAGAACTTCGCTGCATGTGTCGACATCCTTTTCCCAGTTCTGTTTCTGACTGAGGCAACGAAACGACTTCTGGAAAAACTGCAGCATACGTTCCGTATCTTCCTCCCTGGAATCACCCTCTTCCTGAGAGAGCTTGTAGAGGGAACCATAGCAATACCAAATATCGGCATCATTTGTCACTCCAGATGTCACCCTTCCAAACAACTCGAGCAGTTTCGGTTTCAGGTAACTGCCGGGTTTCCCATGCATGTCTGGAATTCCTTCCAACACAACCTTTACTAGGATCTTAGCCAACTTGCCGTCGGCGTGCTTTCCTTTGATCTCTATGAGCCTGTGCCACGCCTTGATGCATTCTTCGAAGGCCCCGACATCAGCACAGACAAGAAGGTAGTTCTCCCAAACCCTCCAATCCTCGTAGTTGCATTTTAGAGACTCCTGCAGAACTTTCCAAGCCTTTGGCTTGTCTCCCATGTGAATGTAGGCACTGGCCATGTTATTCCAGGCTTCGAAGCTGTCTGAATCCAGGTTGACCACCCTCTTGTAGGCTTTCACACATAGGGGGTAGTCTTCGACTTGCATGGCGGAGTAGCCGAGGGCAAACCAGACATTCATTTGAATTCCATTAAGCTCTACTGACTTCTCAAGGTAAGGGATGGCATCCTTGAATTCCTTCTTGTGGTAGTGCATGAGGCCTAAAGAACGCTGGGCCCTGGAACTTGTGTGTTTAGAGATCTCCCACGCCTTCTCGAAGTGCTGTGGGTCTTGTGTTGCATCTCCAAGAAGGCAGTAGAGGTGCGCCGTTTCTTCCTGCTCCAGAAGCCTCCGTACGATGGCTTCTGCTCTGTCCCGCCGGTCGATTTTGGTGTAGCAAGAAATCACTTCCTCCCAGAGCTCATACTTGAGGAAGACATCCAAAGCACTCTTGGTTGCACCCAATGAAAAGAAGAGGTGCCCCAGTTCTTTTTCAATGTCCCAAACTGATGGCGACCTGGTGCAGAAGAAGAGTTCCTGCCTGATCCCAGCATGGGGCTCCGACGCCTTCACTGCATCAACCAATCCCTGCAACTGGCTCATTGAACGTTCTACTCTGCGGCTGCTTTTGGTCTCAAGCCTGCACCTCTGGAAAAGGGCGCTGAACTGGACCGACCATGCCAGAGGCATTGAGAGGACGCTGTCAATGTAAGCCATCATTTCTTCGTCCCGCAGGGCTTCGGGTGAGCTGATGTTCTTGTTGAGGATGCATGTTGTCAGAATAAGGCACTGTTCTTCTGGTGCCAGACATGTGTTGGAAAATACCTCATGATCAAACTTAATCTCATTCATTACGGTGTCATCCTTCAGGGGTAGATTCTTGGGGAAGTGGACCGAAGGGCATGCTGGTTGGAGGTCCTCAACGCAGCTTCCTTTCCTCTGGACACTTAGAACCAGTTGTGACAATGCATTTTCTTGGTGATATGTCCTCTTCCCAAGAACTCCGGTCAGTTCAAAGTCGAAGTGAGACAAGACCTTTGCCTTGTTGAGGTATGAACGGCATTTTGTGACCTCGAAGTAATACAAGTGAGCCATGGCAGCTTCCATGAGAAACTGCATTTTTAATTTGTGACTCATGTCATCGTCACCTGCCCTAAAGATACTTTCTTCGACTTGGGAGAGATGCTCACTAATTTCTTTGTACAAGGAAAAAGAACGGTCGAGCAAGACCAGCTGATGGACGAATGCACATCGGTAAGCCCACCAGTCGGCCGTAGAGCAGGCGCTCAGCAACCCCCGACAGTTCAGCAGAAACGCTTTCGCAACGATTAGAAAGACAGGTTCTTCGATGAGGTGGTAAGACGGCTCGCCGTTAATTTCGAGTTCACTTACACAGAGACGATGGCATTCGTCTCCCGTGACGTCCGTGAATATTTCTTCGCTCCCCGAAGGCGCTGGCCCGGTCCAATTGCTCTGTATGAAAAGCTTCAACGCTGAGGCGCCGATCAGAAGCACTGCCAGTTGACGGACACAGCTATTGTCGTTTTCAAGGTAGTTTGCACATTTCTGGTAGAGCTGATCGAAGCATCCCTCGCGAAAGGAAGCCTTTGTGAGTTTTTTGACCCGCTCATCAGAAAACACTTCACAGAATTCACCTTTCAAGAATCTTTCACAGAGAAATCGCAGCAGGCTTGCATCGTTACCTTTCGCTGTGGTCTCACACGCGCTTAGGTCTTCTGAAGAATGAACGCACTGACCGAGCACGACAGAACGTTCTATTCTTACAAAGTTATTCATAATGGCAAGAAATAAGCGTCAATGTGACGAAAATGATTTTTTCTTTTTTTCTTCACGAACGTCTACAAAACGTAACGAACCGATGCCACCTCGCAAAATTGTCTTCAGCCATGTGCTTCAAGCTCTTGGATTTGGATGAGAAAGCGGCTTAGGGGATATATTAATCCAGTCACTAGTTATAAACCGAACATAAAAAAGATAGTTATTTATTTTTTTTTAGATAAAATATTATTATTTTAGTGTAAATGTTGCAATGTCATGAATAAATGAGACACCATACACAAACGGCATAAAAAGTCAAAGGGAAAGCCAACTTGTTGGATGGAAAGCGAAGCCATTGTAATCCAAAGGCTTGTGTGCTTGCGGCGTTTGTAGCACGTTCATGTTGGAACATGCTACGGTATATACCGATCAGCTGTACAGGAAGAACTGCTCGCTGCTCTTCATTGACTTTGTCACGCTGAATCGAGTGTACGGCGGAGTCAGAATTATCGTAAAGGTAACCCCCGAAACTTCCTCTACTACATGTCAACAAGTCACGCCGTCGTGGCACGAGAAGTCAAAGGGCCGCATATTTTATGGAGCATTCGGGCACATACTCATTTAGGATGGCGACAAAAAACACCGACAAAGGAATCCGACTGTCCTCCAAGAAGCTCAAACGAATGGAGTCGAAGAAGCGCAAGATCGAGGCTTTTCTCGAACTCTGCGGCACTTCAGAAACGGATGAGACGCAGGACGCACCCGCCGCTGTCAAGAAGCCGCGCAGCACAGATGAAGCGGACCGAGCCCAAGCCGCCGGCGACTCAGCTGAAGCGGCTAAGTCGATCAACGCTGAACTCTCCGAACTGCGCGCTCGTCACCGAGCTTATCAGAAATCTCGGCTCCAAGTCCCCAAGTTTTACATGACGGACGACGGCTACCGCGCCGGTTGGAGCTGGCCCTCCGGCGAAGAGAATGTCGCTGACAGCGCCGCCGAGACGGTCGAGCAGCCTAGCGACATCCTCTACCTGCAAGACATCCAGAACTTGCTTCTCGTCGCCCTGATGGGCAACGAAACCCCGTACCTGACGCGCTGGTGCCGCTACCTCCGCAACGCCAAGACGAGCCACATCGTCGTGGTGATGGTGAGCGGGCTCTCCGTGGACATGCTCGCCGAAAACCCGGACTGGTTCCCCAAGTTGAGCAGGCTCTTCCCGGACGGCGGCGTCCGCGTGGTGCCTGCGGCCCAGTACGGAGCCACGACCGAGTGCGAGCTCACGCAGGTTCCGGTCAGCTTCCAAGCGGGCATCAAGCTCAGATGCGCCTTCGGATCTCTCGAAGCAGCCGAGGCCGCGGGTGCGGTGTTCAAGTGCTACGGCGCCTTCGTGCCCATCGCGAACAAAACAAACGGCGCTGAACAGAACGGGCATCAAGATCCGGCAAAGGGGAACGACGAGCAGAACGGGCACCAAGGTGCGGCGAAGGGGAACGACGAGCTTGAGGAGGGACAGCTGGTGGATGCTAAAGAAATCACGCTGGGGAATGCTAATCCCAACGACGTGGTGCCTCGAACCTTATTCCTGCTGAGTCCCGTGCAGATGCTGCACGAGGGATATCCGCTGCTGAAAGCGGAGGCCACAAAGGACTACGTGTACACAAACAGGTCCTACCTCCCTGTCAGCAACAGGTAAGTAAAGCGTTGGGATGAAACGGAATCTTCGCTTTGGCTATGCGTTGGCTTGCTTGTGTGTTCTATAACTGAACTGCCGTGTTTTTGAACCAGCCATGAAAGGTTTGTTTCTGTGGATTTTTTAAAAATCTTGAGTCCTTACTCTTGGGACAAGAATGTCTTTGATTGAGTCATGAATGTTTTTGTTGAACCCTTCAACAGCCATCTATTTGGCTATCAAATGGCTGTTGGGGCAGACTCTGTACAGTGCTTTTTCTGTCTCCTCTTGACTTTTGTCTTGCTTTCGCTGTTATTAGTTCTTAAAGGTCCTCTGAAGTTCTCTTATTTTTGAGCAGCTGCAGAGACTTCGACAGGGAAATTATTGTTGAAGTGTGGGAAAAGGTACCTGTTATTCAGAACTTGTTTCTTTCCCTCCCAGGTCTCGTCTGTTTTCAATCGACTGCGAGATGTGCCTCACGACGGCCAAGTGCAATGAGCTTGCCCGCGTTACACTCATCGATGAAGATGAGAAGGTGCTCCTGGATGAACTGGTCAAGCCCCGCAACCGCATTATCAACTACCTCACCCAGTTCAGCGGCATCACCAAGAAAATGCTGGATCCCGTCACGACTCGAGTGGAGGACGTCCAGAAGGCCATCATCCGGCTACTTCCCCCAGATGCCATCCTTGTTGGGCAGTCACTCAACTTTGACCTGCACGCACTCCACATGATCCACCCGTATGTCATCGACAGCAGCGTCATCTACAACCTCACCGGGAACCGCAACCACAAGTCTAAGCTGAAGTTGCTGTCCAGCACATTCCTGGGACAAGAGATCCAGATGAGCAAAGAGGGTCACTCTTCTGAGGAGGACTCTCTGGCGTGCCTCCGCCTCGTCAAGCTGAGACTGCAGAAGGGACTGTTTTTTGGAGACGCCATTCTGCGGGACAAAGAGCAAGAGCTGCAGGAGAAAGCTCTGGAGATGGCGAGGAACGGAGAGGCCATTGACGTGTCCATCTGCTGCGACCCTCCCCAGGAGTGGATTGAGAGCAAACGTGTCTCCGAGCCGAAGGTGGTCGTCAAGGAAGGTAGCATCAAGAAGATGAAGCCCCGTACCAGCGAATGTAGACATATGCTCAAGCAGGAGTTCCAGGGCCTTGTCAGCAATCTGTTCTACTACCTTGGCAGGGACAAGCACAAGAAGACAGCACACGTCGTCGGCACCAAGGAAATGCTCGAGAACTATCCCAAGTTTGTCCTTAATGTGACCCAAAGCAGGAAGGTGAATGGGAACAAGAAAGCGGTCAAAGAAGCCAAGGCTCTTATGGATGACAACCACTTGCTGATGGTGGGTCTCAAGGCAAAGGCACACAAGGAACTGCTGACTCAGCAGAAAGCAGCAGAATTGGACAAGCATCTGGAGAAGATCTACCGTGGCTGCCAGAGGAAGTCCTTGTTTGTGGTACTCTTGCAAGGGTGCTTTGACAAAGACACTAGAGTGACCGAGCACGGGTTGTGCTTTGTGACAGTCAAGGAGGCCGAGAGGAGAAGTCCGGCGGACAAGAGGGAGTAACATGCAGTATACGCTCAACGGGTCATTATCACTTTGTTATGGGCGTGCAAACAGTCACCCCTGTGCCATTCATTTTACGACGTTTTCAGCTGATCTCCTGTTACGCGGTTTCATCTGTAGCCATTGCGAGCTTTAAAGCATGCTGCTTTGTTCCTTCATTCAACTTGCATATTTTATGCTTGTTTTACTGAATAAAACATTTGTGCTATTCACCCCTGCATTGTAACCGGTGTTGTTGATACTGTGTTCATGCTGTTAATAGATATTCCTGACCAGTGCTTATGCATCTACCTCCTCACAAAGCTTGCTTAGAATTCAGTGCAAATCACACTTTCGAAAATGAAGATTTTCTGGTTCCTGTCCTTGTCTTTTGCTAGGCTTCTAATAGATGAGTAGATTTCAATGATCTTTTTTTTGTATGCCGTGTGGTTGTGCTTTCGCTATAATGAAGATTCTGAATTTTAGTACAAGCCCCGAAAACTAACCCCCAAACCGGTTTTATTGAAATCGGGGAAAACAAAGGAACCCTAAAATGGAAGTGCCCTTGAGTAAGAAAAAACCAAGCTCTGTGGAAAGGAATCTTTTTGTATAGTTTTATTTTATGTTCACCCATAATACAGCTCCCCTAAAGTGTCTGCGAGGTTCCTTCTTTCCTTAGGGGCCACATTTTTGTCTGATTTCCTTTTAATGGTACCTGGACGCTTTGCAAGTACTCGGGTCATGTGCATGTTCCCTGGAGTTTGGGGAATCCCACACCCATGTCCTGTTTTCTTCGACATGAGCCCCAAGGAAGGCAGATTTTTTGTCCGACACCCAGTGGCACGGGTAGGGGGGTGGGGGGCTTATTGGGCTTTGGCCCTCCACCGAAATCCAACTGACGCTATAACATACACATGCATTTTGACCCCCCCCCCCTCCTTTCCTGAAAAACATTACTTGCTACGCCACTGCCGACACCAAAAAACACCAAAACTGGGTGACAAAACAAACCCTGAAAAAAAAAAAAAAAAAACGGATTTGAAGAAAGGTAAACCCCCAAAACACAGAACCCTATAGTCATATGTAAATGTTTCTTGTCAGCACACATAGGCAGTACTAGTGGGTTTTGACATTCATTGAAGTCTCTTTAATATGCTTTGCCTTGTTGGCAGTGATGCACAACTTTTACTTTCAAAATGCACCATCTTTTACAGCTCCTTCTTTGTTATGCAAAATCAGAAAGCAAATCGTTCGTAAAATGTCAAAAGTTTTCTCATCCAAAAGGAATTTCCATAAAACTTGCTTCATTATCTGGTGGCAACGTCAACTTCATATACTAACCCCAGTGTTCTTAAAACATACTAAATGAATAAATAAGCATCTGTAACCTCCTGGTCATAGATAGATACAAATTAAGCAGAAAAGGAAAATACTGGTGCTCATAAAACTCCTGAAGTCGGCCATGCCACGAGTCTAAAAATCCAAACTGCCCTACAAATGAATAAAAAAAAGAAGATAAAAATATCTTGCAATTGTGTTCAACATAATTTTTTACTTGCAAGTGCTTAAAAACCAGACATGGACTGGGTTAAAAAAAGAAATAACTGGTAGAGACAAAGGGAATAATTTCTCAAACTCTGCTACAAAAGTAGATTTCATCTATGCCTTTACGTTTCTCTCCAAATGTTTGGCCTTGCTTATATGAACCAGCTTGCTATATTCACACAAACCTCCCTTTTCACAGGTGCCAGCAAATATATGTCACTCCCCCCCCCCCGAAAAAAGAGGAGCATTTTTGCTATTATTAAGTTCCACGTGCATTGCAACTTAATAGTAGAATGGCTGCAACTAAACAACATTGCATTTTTTCAATACCTTTAGTTGCTTATTTGTTTAAATCTAATTCAATCACATATAGCATGTGGAGCCATAACATGTATTCCTTCCTTTGCATTTTGAAGTGAAGACACTTTCCAAACACTTAAAACAAATCTGGATGACACATCAGTTTTTATTTTTAAATTTCACTTGCTCATACCTAAAAAAAAAATTGTTATGTACAAGAATGCTCTTGGACCTTGCAATCACTTTTTCTTCATGGCAGCTTTCTTCTTCCTCAAATCTTTCTTCATTCGGGGGTCCACGACCTTGAACCTGCCTTTGACACCAGGGGGCCTGCGAACTTTACGGCCGGTCGCCTTCTTGGCCACCAGATAGGTGACCTTGTTTTTGCCCTTGTCACCCAGTACCTTCTTGTAGATGGCTCTCACTTGCTGTGCTTTCTCGGCGTCCGTCATGTCCAGCTTTTCAGTGATGGCCTCTGCCCTCTTCCTGGCTTTCTCTAGTCTCCTGGCAGCACGCTGCTTCTTGCGGGCCTTGGCCTCTGCCACCTTCTTGATGGGACGTGCGTTTACGGCCTTCAGCTGCGCCTTGTACTCAGCGACCATCTCGGCCGTCACTGGCATGTGCTTGCGGGTGTGTTTCTTTTCCTCTTCCGTGAACCACTTCGGAAGGTTTTCGTCGTTGAAGGTGTAGCGGTTGTAGCCAGAGTCAATGATGTCTCGCCGTGCCTTCTGGGAGTGAATCATCATGCTGCCAAGGGCAAGCGCTTCTGGGTCTAGTTTGACCCTTTTTGCTTTCTTCGGGGCTGGTCTACTCTTCTTGTTCAACTCTTCGTCTTCCGAGCTCGACTCAGAGTCGGACTGTTTGAATTTGTTTTTCTTCCCGGCACCTGCCTTCGTATCTACAGCCTCTTCCAGAGGCCGCTCTTTGTTGTCAAGGCCATCTGCGAAGGTCACTTTCTTGGTAACTTTCTTTGCGGCTTCTCTTTGTGGCTTTTTATCTGCTTTCTTTGAAAGTTTTTCCTTCTTGTTCTTCCTAGATTCGTCGGCAAGAATCTCTAGCTCGAGGAGCTCTTTCTCGTCGTCAATGTCCGCAAACACGTCTTTTTCAAACCATAACTTACTCATCTCCAAGCGCTTTTTTTTCGTACTGCCGTATGCAGCATCCACGAGCAGAGGATTCTCTTCATCCTCGTCATCTAGGTTCTCCTCTTCATCACCACTCTCCTCCTTGTCACTCTCAAACTCAAGCAACTCTTCATGCTCCTCATCATCAGAATCTGCATTCTCATTGGTTTCACTGCTAACGTCATCCTCTGCATACCAATCTTCATTGACCCGATCTTTACTGTAGGAAGCTAACTTTCTCTTACTGTCACACACATCATCATCCTCTTCCAAGGGCTGGACAGGATCCAATACTGAAGGATCTGCCTCCTCTACCTTTGACAGCTGTTTTTTGCTCTTGATTGCTTTTAGCTTGAACAAGTCATCGTCCCTCTCGACAATAGGATCATCATCCTTCAGGACCATCTGAAGGTTCATGCGGTCCCTAAGCTTTTTTCTCTGTTTCAGCATTTTTTTACGCTTCTTCTTTTCCTCTTTAGCCTGCTCGGCAGTCACTTCTTCAGCATGCTTGAGCAGTTGAAGCTCCTCATCCTCTGAACCTTCATCGTCTGCAACCTCTTCAACCTCAGCCTCGTCCACTTTCCCTTCAGCTTTGGCCTTCTCCTCAAACCAGGTCTTTAACTTCTTCCGCCATGTCAGTAGGTTCTTGATGTCTCCTCGTCCCAGTACCTTGATGTCCTTGCAGCACTCCTTGATTTCTTCCGTTGTTGATGGATGATCCAGGACCTCCTGGTTGTCCAAAACCACCTCGCTGCATTGTCCAAGCAGTTCCAGGTGGTCCTCACACCTGATGAAATCCAAAACGGATACCCTGTGGTATAACGTGTAATCGCCTTCCGGATACCCTTCGGCCTTGGCCTTCTGCTTCTCTGGATGCGCCGCATTCAGCTTGGCAGCTTCGCCAGTGTCCACGTCGCCGAAGACGTAGGCCGGGTCCAGGAACTTGCTATCGATCTTGTCCGGTGCGATGTAGTACTGGCACACCACAAAGATCTCTGCGGACTCGTGACGTGAAGCCTGTGGCTTGGTTGCCGATATCTTCCTGAAGAGCTTTTTGAGGACCCACATCAGGGCCTGGTAGTCCTTGGAGCGGAACACCTTGGTGATGAACCATCCTCCCTTCGTAAGGAACTCTGTGGCGAGCTTGACGGCATGCAAAGTCAGCACGTTCTGGCCGTACGCGTCGTGCACCCAGCTTTTACCGACGTTGGGGGCGCCGTCGTTCAGCACGATGTCGGCTTTCCAGGTCTTCAGCTCCTTCTTCAACTTAGAGCGGCAACTGCCCGTCGTGATGTCGTCCTGGATCGTTATGACGTTCGGGATGGCCCTAATCGGAACCAAGTCTACGCCCACGATGACGCTGGAAACGGGCATGTACTTTTGCGCAACCTGAAGCCATCCTCCTGGTGCCGCGCACAAGTCGATCAACACGCGAGACTTCTGGAGGAACTCGAACTTCCGGTTCAGCTGGATTAGCTTGAACGCTGCTCTCGACCTGTAGCCGGTTTCCTTGGCCAAGTGGTAGAATTTGTCCTTACGCTGCTTTCCAATCTTAGTTTTCTTGCCCATCTTGAAACGGTAACGGGTGGAAGCACAGAAATCTCCACGTGCGTAACGTCAACCAGCTTCCATAGCATACGATTGTTCACAATGTTTATATTGCTAAATTTTAAATCACAGTTGCAGAGGGCGCTAAAAAACGCTTTTTATTTTGCAAAAAAAAAATATAAACAATAATAATACTTTTTTAATTTAAATTTTTATGTAAGCTTAACGTATAATTGTATTTTAAATAATTTTATTGTATTATTTTGAAGTTTTAATATATGATTATGAATGATTACGTATACGTTATTAGAGAGCAGGCCTTGCGTTAGGAGTGGAACGCGCCGTTGTCAAGAAACTTGGAACCCGTTGCTGTCAAGAAACTTAGAAAACATGCGTTAATTGCCTTGTGTACACTACTAGCAGTCTGAATAGAGTATATTTTATCAATTCCAACCGTCTGTAACAAGTAACAATGGCTGTTATCCGGCTGCTACCGTGCTTACGCCTCCTTCAGCCCTGTCGAAGGAATGCCGGCTTACTCGATCGCAACACAGGCCTCGCATTCATCGCCTCATCGGAGAGACTGCAGCACACGCACCCGATCATGGTGAAAGTGTTCAACGTGTTCCGAGTCTACGAAGACGTCGTAGGCCTTACTGAAGTCAAAGCCGCGCAGAGTAAAGTCCTTGAGGTGAGAGACCACTGTGCTCTCTGTGCACACTGGCTCGGGAGAGTCGCCAGAAGAGCAGATGGGCCGAGAGCCCATACCAGAAGGCCTGCAAACACCGAGACAAAGATATAAAAAGTAGACAAATTAACTACAACAAACAAGATAAGCAGTGAGGGTCATGACACTAGTCATGCGTGACAAAGATAACGTACAAAAAAAAGTTTCACGTGCCGGCGAGCTGGTGTATGTTGAACATTATGCAAAACCCCGAGACTGTGTTGGGAGAGTTAAAACAGTAAAATATACAGAAAGAAGGGGGCAGACAACGTTTCATACTCAGCTACACAATTTATTTCATCCTCGCCTTATTCACTGGTGGCCATAGCTGAGTGCGTAGCTTCTCGGCGCGTGCTGACGGCGAACTTCCACGGTGATTTTGCACGTGCATTCCACACCATAAAGATGGCCGGTCTTGGGAACCACGAACTAATAAGTGTGAGCTCATTCTCAGCATGCCCTGGGATATGGTGTGCCCAGGGACCAGTGCACTCAAGTATGGCGTCCAGTGAATGCCCTCTGGACAGAAAAGCTTGAAAGTACCTCATCTTCGTCACGCATAACCTTCGCTGCTTATCCTGTTTGTCAAACTTCTTAAATTCATTCGGAATTCATATGTTCCAAAATTCAATTGGACTAAATCGAAGCATGCAAAAGGCTCCAGTTACGGTGTACGTAAGTTGTGATCCAACACACCCTGTTTTCTGCAGTCTGTTTCTACGATGCCCCCTAATTTGGTTCGTGTCCACAGGCGGAGCGGAAATTCGTGTCAACACAGGAGCAGCGCCGAGAGACACAGCAGCGAATTCTAGAGCTGCAGCAGCGGCTCAAGGAAATTCATGCTGAGCTGGACAAGACTCACCGTGGAGAGGACCGCTACCTGACGCTCATAACGCAGGTTTGTGGGCATTGAAGTTGCTGGCCTGTCCTAAATATAGCAGAGCCTCCTCCACAGGCTACTCTACGTCGCACGTGTATCACTGTTGTGCATGTTAACCTACCCGGCCCACCTGTTCACACCGTTTCGCGGCCGCAGTTTGCGGCGACAGTCCGTGGCAACTCATTACAAAAGCGTTAACCCACCTAACCGGTTTGTGGGATCTCTCCGTGTCGCTGATTTGGTGCATGAAAAGTAACTTTTGAAGAGAATGGTAGCTTTTTTTATAGCATTCAGTAAACTTGTTTGATAGGATGAGCAGTTTTGTAGTCATATCAGTTAAACAGCATTGTTAAAGGCATATGCCAGTGTGGCGACGCACAATCACCAGCATTTTGGCGCTATACAACCTCGTCGTCGTCTGCTTCAGGGAAGCACGGCCGCGCGCTACACAGTCACGCGGGACAGAGGAACGTCCGTCGACCGACGCCGCCGAGGCAATAAAACCGCCATTCCTTTTCTATGTTGGGATTCGCTCGTCACCACGACGCAGCATCCCACATCTGGTGACCCGGAAAACGAACACAACACGTCGCCATGGCCGACCAGGAGGACCTTCAACAACAAATGAAACTACTCCAGGAGCAGATTCGGACCCAGCAGGAACTGATCCAAAGGCAACAGCAGCAGATTCAGCAACAGCAGCACCAACTCGATGCTCCCGTGCAACAGAACCCTGCTAACGCCAACACAACACCGCCCGTGCCTACCGGCACCGCAGCAGGCGGTGGAACCCCTGCTGCTGTCATCTCGGACGCTGCTTCACTCGGGGTCTGCCGTGTAGCCGTCAAACTTCCGCCGTTTTGGGCGGACTCGCCTGAGGTATGGTTCGCACTAGTCGACGCGCAGTTCTCCCTGGTGCGCATCACCCAAGACCGAACGCGCTACGATTACGTCGTCGCCCACTTGGACAGCCGCTACACCAACGAGATAGGGATATCCTCGACAATCCACCAGCGGCCAACCTTTATCAACATCTGAAAACTGAACTCACCCGCCGCCTGTCACTATCGGAAGACCAGAAAGTCCGTCAACTTATTCATTCCGCAGAACTCGCCGAGCGCAAACCATCACAGTTCCTCCGCCACATGCGTGCTCTCGCAGGCAACACGCAAGTCCACGATTTTTTTCTGCGGACACTATGGCTCCAACGACTACCACCACACGTCCAGGCCATTCTGCAGGCTCAACCTACGCTACCTCTAGACCAACTTGCCGAAATTGCTGACCGCGTCATCGAGGTCTCTGCACCGCCGCTGTCGCCCAAGGTCCACGCCGTCGAAGCACCGCTGGACACCACAGAGCTCGCGCACCGAATCTACGATATCACACGGCAGCTCAGCTCCATTCTACGACGCCTGGATCAAAGTCCTCCGACGCGCCCCCGTTACCGCTCACAGAGCCGTGACCGTAACACCGGCCCGTCAGAGCAGCCTCGTGACAGTAGCCGATGCTACTACCATCGGCGCTTCGGGGACAGAGCCTGACAATGCCGACCACCCTGTTCCGCCGGACATCAGGAAAACGCCAACGGCAGCTTGTAGACGCGGCTACAAGCTGCCAACCCACAGGCCGCCGCATCTTCGTCACCGATCAAATCACAAAGCAGCGGTTCCTTGTCGACTGTGGCTCTGACATTTGCTGCTATCCTCGTACCCATCTTCAAGGTTCCCATCCACCTACGTCTTTCGAGCTCAGCGCAGCAAACCGGTCCACCATCAAGACCTACGGCTCGCTCCGTCTGCACGTCCAACTAAAAAACCTACACCGTGACCTCCATTGGAATTTCGTCATCGCCGACGTCTCCGAGCCAATCATCGGCTCAGACTTTTTGGCACACTACAACCTCCTTCCCGACTGTCGCCACGACCGACTCATTGACGCGACAACGGGATTTTCTTCGCCAGGCCAGTGCACGACCACCCACCAGCACAGCATTAAAGTACTCGGTGTGGAAAACCTTTCGCCGTACCACACCATACTCGCCGAATTTTCCGGTTTAACGCGACCCAGCAGGCTGCCACGGGACGTGCGACACACCACTGTACACCACATCCGAACCACTCCGGGCCCTCCGGTCTTCTGCCACGCTCGTCGCCTTGCTGCGGACCGCTTGCGCATCGCCAAAGCAGAGTTCAAGTCCATGATACACGAAGGAATCGCCTGCCGATCCGACAGCCCATGGGCCTCGCCGCTTCACCTTGTCCCGACGAAGACTGAAGGCTGGCGACCCTGCGGGGATTACCGCGCCCTCAACGCTCGCACCATCCCCGACAGATACCCCATTCATCACATACAGGACTTCGCCCACCGTCTCCAAGGCTGCCACGTCTTCTCCGTGCTAGATTTGGTGAAGGCCTACACGCAAATACCTGTAAGCCCGGAGGACATCCCCAAAACCGCGATCATTACACCCTTTGGCTTGTTCGAGTTCCCCTTCATGAGCTCTGGCCTGAGGAACGCAGGACAAACCTTTCAACGTTTCATCGACAAAGTCGTCCGCGGCCTCGACTTCTGCTTCGTCTATCTTGACGATATATTAATCTTCTCCCAAAACGCCGAAGACCACCATAGGCACCTTCGCCTACTCTTCCAACGACTTGATGACCACGGTCTGCTCGTCAATATCCAAAAGAGCACTCTCGGTGCCCCCACTGTCACCTTCCTCGGTCACGAAATTTCATCAGAGGGAACTCGACCCTTGCCTCACCGCATCTCAGACCTGCAGAATTATCCTCAACCGTTCTCCGCTAAAGACCTCCGTCGTTTCCTCGGCATGCTTAACTTCTACAGGCGCTTCTTGCTTCACACAGCTGACTACCAAGCTCCTCTTCATGATGCCTTGGCTGGTCTACGAGGCAACCAACCCGTCACCTGGACGCCAGCTTTAGCGCAAAATTTCGAGAAATGCAAAACTGCACTCTGCGATGCCACACTTCTGTCTCATCCCGTACCAGACGCTGCCTTGGGGCTCTTCACGGACGCCTCCAGTTTCGCAGTCGGCGCCTCCCTCAAGCAACGTGTCGACATCTGGCGTCCCTTGGCATTTATCTCAAAGAAACTCTCCATTCGGAAAACGTCCCCTCCCACTGCTAGCCCCACCGACACAACTACGACCTCCGCTCAGACGAACTGGCCAGCTTACTACAGAGAGCTTCTCACCATTTACGAAGCAGTTCAGCACTTTCGCCACATCCTCGAGGCACAGCACTGCACCATTTATACCGACCACAAGCCTCTAACCTACGCCTTCTCTCAACGCCGTGACAAACTTCCGCCAGTCCAGCAGAACCAGCTTTCGTTTATCGCCCAGTTCACCACCGACATCCAGCATGTCAGCAGAAAAGATAATGTGGTCGCCGACGCGCTTTCTCGTGTATCAGCTATCAGATCTTCGCCAATAACAGCTGATGTTCTCGCCGAAGCTCGAACAACTGACACGGAACTTCAGCAACTCCTTAAAGGTGGATCTTCGCTACAGCTGCAACAAGTCCCCGTTCCTGGGTCGACTACAACCATCTACTGCGACATGTCCACAGGACACCCCAGACCCTACGTGCCCGCGCCCTATCGCCGTAGCCTTTTCCACCAGCTACACCACCTCAGCCATCCCGGAATCCGTGCTTCTTCACGCCTTGTGGCTGACCGCTATGTCTGGCCCTTCATGCAGCGCGACTGCCGCAACTGGGCGCGCTCCTGCATTCAATGCCAACGCGCCAAAATCACCAGGCATGTCACTTCACCGCTGGGAGCATTTCCTCAGCCCTCTGGTCATTTTCAACACGTCCATCTTGACATCATAGGCCCGTTTCCGCCAGCCGGACCCTACCGCTACTGCCTCACCGCCATCGATCGATATACTCAATGGCCTGAGGCATGGCCTCTCGAGAGAATCACCGCGAAAGACGTCGCTTCGACCTTCTTCACCGGTTGGCTCTCTCGCTTCGGCTGCCCTCGCCGCGTCACAACCGACCAAGGACGACAGTTCGAATCGCAACTCTTCAGGCTCCTCGGGCTTACCACCGGGTTCGAGCGCTTGAGGACCACCAGTTACCATCCTTGCGCCAATGAGATGATTGAGCGCTTCCACCGGCAATTCAAGGCAGCCATCATGTGTCACCCCGACTCAACCTGGCTCGAAGCGATCCCAGCCGTCACCCTAGGTCTTCGCGCCACCTTCAAACCGGACATTCAAGCTACACCCGCAGAGCTAGTCTACGGGGAACCCCTTCGCCTACCAGGGGAATTTCTTGCTGCCCCACAATCCACCATCGCCACATCAGACCCCACCGATTTTGTCACCAGGCTCCGACGCACTATCGCCGCCCTCCGCCCGTCACCTGCTGCGCATCACTGCAAGCCTACGCCTTTTGTTTTTAAGGATCTGGCGACGTGCACACACGCCTTCCTCCGCGACGACACCGTCCGCGCGCCTTTTCTGCCGCCTTACAACAGACCCTACCGGGTTACCCGTCGCGACAAGAAAGATTTCACTCTACACGTGAATGAAATGGACATCCGCGTTTCTATCGACCGGCTGAAGCCAGCATATATCCTTTCGGACGAATCAAACAACCCGAGTGTATCCTCAAGCGTCCAGCCACAACCCCCGACACCGCAGCCCGCGCCAGTCACTACATTTTGTGGACGTCAAATACGCTTCCCGGATTTTTACAAGCCCTGAGGGCTCTCCACTCCGCGGGGGGGTGATGTGGCGACGCACAATCACCAGCATTTTGGCGCTATACAACCTCGTCGTCGTCTGCTTCAGGGAAGCACGGCCGAGCGCTACACAGTCACACGGGACAGAGGAACGTCCGTCGACTGACGCCGCCGAGGCAATAAAACCGCCGTTCCTTTTCTATGTTGGGATTCGCTCGTCACCACGACGCAGCATCCCACACCAGTAAGCTTGCAATATCTGTATTACAGTGTCATAGATGTGTCATCAGGTACGGCAAACATTTCTAATAAGTTGCCGCAGCTAAGATACCACTTTTTACTTCTAAGAAAAAGTGACAATCTTAAGATGAAAGTGCTGGGCCATTTGCATCAAATTGTGCCATGAAGGAAAGTCTGCTACAACTTGCGCCAAAGCACCATTTTTGCTAAAAACTGCACCACACCAGAGCCGAGGTGGGGGCATGAAGCAAAAAAGACAAAAATATTTTATTATTGGTTCATTTTAATATTCAGAGAAGTAGAATGAAATGTAAATGGTACAAATATGTATCTCACGGTGTCTCACCCTTAGGTCAGACCACAGTTGAAAACTCAAACATGTACAGTCACAAGCACACATGCTAAAAGTGCAAGTCTAGGGGCATTCACTGTGCTTGGTTGGTTTAGTTGATGAAAGAGCAGGTGCAAATTACAGATAGACGACGAATGCCACAATGTGGCACTTTTAATGCTGTTTGATTAGCCTACTGGCTCGTAGTGTCGCCTGCACTTTGACTTGAGATGTAAGGAAGTGTAGAAATCGCTCTACAACCGCGTTGGCCCCATCATTGTCTGAACTTCCAGACGATGTTGGCAATTTCGGAAGCTAAAAGTCGCGAGAAAAAATTGCAAAATAGTGGGATGGTGGCTATTGTAACAAGACAGAACCAGAGTCATTTACCCCTGATGATAGCACTTGATTATTATGTCTGCCGCATGCCTCCATGTCGTGACTACAGTGTACCGTGGCACTTGCACCACTTGCATCGATTTTCACGGCCTCGCACCAGCGCGCGCGTCGAGCTTCACCACTTTGCACCATAGTGCTAGGAGCAGCGGCTGATGTGGGGAGCTTTTGGTTTAGAGTGAGTGACTCGGAAATTATGCTCAGTGCTATTGCAGGTCGACCTTCTTTGGTCATGACTGTAGGTTGACCTCTAATTTTGAAACGCTGTGCCGAAAAAGGATAAAAAATGTGTGTATGTGAACAATTACGTTAGTCAAGGTGGTTCCCGTGCAGCAGTCAATCGGAATGGCAGCAAACTTTGACTCAACTCTGGTTCGAACACCGCTGAAGAGCAGTATCAAGGCCCGTTCACACCCTTGCGACCGAGTACGACCGAGAGACACCAGACCGGTTTTTAAACCTCTTGCAATCTCTTAGGACCAGCTCCGCTGTAGTGCATCCGGTCCTAAGAGATCGCAAGAGGCTTAAAAACCGGTCTGGTCTCTCTCGGTCGTACTCAGTCGCAAGAGTGTGAACGGGCCTTTCTCTTAAACACAAATGTAAATTTTCATATTATTTCTGGGTTGTTGTTTTTGCAGCTTCTGAAATTAGAATCTTGAGTTTGGTATTCATGAAACTTAAGGGGACATGTTTTTATTGATAGGCATTTTAGGGTATATGTTGATTTTTTCCGTCATTTTACAGGAACTATTTATTGACTAAATTAACTACCGAGTGTAAAAGAGGGAAGGAGAGAGAGGCTTTATCTTTACTGAAGTGTTGTGCTATGCTTCATATTTCAAATAGATCTTTTTTAAACAACATTGGTAAATGGAATCTATCCTGACCTGAGTCTTATTTCTACAAAGAAGGCTGTGTGTTCTTTTTTCATCTTATTTATTCTTACTACAAAAAATAATAAGTAATATGCTTCAGTATCAAAGGACCCTCAGTCATTATTAGATAGGAACTTACTGAGCGATGCAATCACATTTTCATTTTAAGTGACATGCTAGCATACGTTGGCATCTGCTCCAAAAGCTTCAGTGCTTTCTTCAAACCAATATATTTGCCCGCTACAAAAAATCCAATGGTGCTTCCATCACTGATTAAGACTTGTAGGTGACATGGTACAAGCACCAGCACCAGAGTCATTTGGGACACCTTTTATTTTTGCTCCTACATCATGCCTCAACTATTATTTTGTTTCAATACAAGTAAGAGCGAAGCGGCGATTACAAGAGTGAATGCACCCACTTTGTATGCACAGCCGTGTGGTGCAAGCCTTATTCAATCTGACATGCTTATGCTTGTCACTTTAGCTTGTCTGGCCAACGGTATAGAACATATTTACAATGTGTTGTCCTATCATGTATGACTCTGATTTAACACTAACCTGCTTGTCTACACAGTAAGCTGTGTGATGTGAAAATAATCATATTTTAGCAGCACAGCAACAAAGTTCCCAGGTATTAAGTGAGAGTGGTACATATCTTTTGGTGCATAGAGTGGTTTTCATTTTAATCTAGTTATACATCACAAACTATAGGAAAGTGTGATCATTTTAATTCTATGTTAAAAGCAGTGCAACCTCTGCCAATCTGAAAAGTCGACTGCTTGTAGGAGCTATTTATTGGTGCATCCTTTCAGGATGTAGACCTAATTCAGATTGTCTGAGCCATGCCCAGAACAGAAGGGGTATAGTGTTAATATTGATAATGATAATGGCAACATTCCGAATGATAACAATGATTGTAACTGCCTAGTCTACTACCAGTAATTCATGATATTGGTAACGATATCAAGAACTACTAGTGGCAGGCATGTACTATTACTGACCGCATGAGCATGTCTCTGAGCCCTGGCACATTGAGAGATGACAGAGCTTATGGGGGCCACAAGCGTAGCAAAATGCCAGATCGAGTGTTGCATCGTCTATAGTCCGTGGGGAAGCAACTTCTCAAGAACAGCTAGGCACGAAGTAACTCTAAAAAGCAATTGTCGCGCAGGAACATGCAGTCATCAAGGAGGAGAAGTCCCTACTCCAAGAATTCGAGCACCTGGAGAAGACGGAACGCGACTACTTTGCGTCGCTGTCCCTCGCGCTCCGCGAGAGCCACGAGAAAGAGCGTGCCCAAGGGGAGCGCACCAAGTACTGGTCCATCATTGGTTCGGTGTGCGGTGCCGTCATCGGCATCGTCGGCGCCACCGTGAACAACCGGATACGCCTCAACCAGCTTCGGGACCTTGTGGAACGCTCGTCAAGCCAGCCCGAAATGCAGCGCCTCGTGTTCAGCCTCTCAGACGAGTTCAGGAGGCACCGCGACCAGATCTTTGAGTTTGTGGACGACGTGCGGAGGATGCTGGGGGCTTCCCCCGTGACTGCCGTTCAGCAGAGCTTCTCCAGGGGGGAGGCCAAGACAAAGCCCGCAGAGTCTGAGCTGGAGTACGAGATCAGGGAGGTGGTGACGCTTGTGAAAAGCCAAAGCGAGCTGTTCGAGAAGGAGACCAAAGAAATCAAGGCACTGCTCGCGGCTCAGCGGGTGCTCCAGGGAAGCGACGGGGAGGAAATCAATGTGGCGGCTGTGTACATTGGTGAGGACGTGAGGGACATTGTGGCCGACTCGCAGCATCAGCTCGAGTGGAAGATGAAGATAAACTCCCTGGCAACCGTTGCATTTGTGTACGGAGCGTTGGCGGTAACCGTGCCTCTTCTCGCTGCTTTCTTCAAAGGTTCATGAATGAACTATTACTAGCCTATCTAAGGACACTTTTTTTTTGTCGGAGAATTGCTTTTGCTTCCGGCAATCGGAACTTACGGTGGTGCCTTACAACCGCCGATATACTAGGGATGTCCCTGGGATGTAGGCTGCTGCAGCTGTATACATGACGGTTTTTTAAATTGTCCAGCTTTTCATTACACGATAAAGAAATTCAGTGTGGTCAGTTTTATTGACTTGCACAAGTGCAATTTCTGGTTTGGAACAAAATCCAATGCATTTCAGACTGCAGCGCTGTCTATTTTGTTTGTTTTTAGCTGTTATTATATTTTATGTGGTTAGTCAACATATGCTAAATAAAGGTTAGTTACTTTTGTTATGATGTCAAAGTTTTGACTGCTGATGTTGTTAGAAGTTGTATAGAATTTTTGAAACTGATAGCAAGCCTCTTCCCCAAGTATGAGGGATGTATCATATTGATTCACAGATTATTTTGTTGCAGCAATTGGCCACTTGGAGGTCAGTAGATAGGGCCACCTTATCGATATATTTCCCCCAAGGGCCGAACGCACGCAAGCCGTTGGTGTGGTAGTTTTTTCATACCTTGCTGGAGCCACATTCTGGTAGTGCATCACACCCACGCCTGGACAACTGCTTCCAGCTTGTCAATGACCGCGAAATGCCATCCTTGCCGGTTTTTTTTTCTGTTTTTTTTATGACCTTGAACAGGGGATAATTATTGGGGGCTAGGTTAGGCAGTAGACAAACAGCTCTGCTGCCTTTCGAGTACCGGAAAGAAAGGGAGAAAGATGGAAACCTAGGGAAAGTGACATCATTAGCGGAGTTGGGCGACCCTTCTCAGACGCCGACGACAACGGTACCCGTGGCAGATTGGTTCACCCCGCTGCCTTGAAGCAATTGCTGCCCGTTTTTCTAAAATGAAGTCGGTTTTATAGTAAATCTTGCCCGCTTTCTGTGCGAACCTCCAGCCGCTAAAAGGACCTGCCTAGACTTAGCGAGGAGTAGGAGTTAGACCTGCCGCATCCCGTACCTTTCTGGTGGCCTGGGTACCACTCCAGAGTGCGGCATGACCCTCTTGGGTCACGGATCATTCAAGAAGCCGTGGACATTGAGACGATGGGACAGGATGGTCAGCCGAGAACACTTCTCCTTCCTTTATTTACATGTGCACAAACTCTGGTACGCCGGGGGCACCTAAAACGTGCTCCAGCACTCTATCCTATCTACTATTAGTAGGCAACATCATAAATTTAAGGAAAGTCACATACTGCAAATGCATAAAATGAGGTTGCCAAATTGAAACCGAAACAGTGGCCAAAAGGTACCCAAAATACTTTATGCGGCACTACGCTGCTAGGATTGCTTAGATTTTGCAAGAGAAAATAGTGTGCGTGTATTTCTATTGCTGCGAGTTTACTAGTACGTCTTTTCATCTAGAACTTGTCATTTTTATTCACTAAAGCCCAACAAACTATGTATCATCGAAAACAAGCTGCTGTGGCGACCCGAGTAGACAAGCTCCAGTCTGCGGCCGCAGGGGTGAAACCTGGCACCGCGCATTCCAAAGTGGGAGAACTCTGTGCCCGAGCGTCGGGGGGGATCGTCGGCTCAAGAGCCAGATGGCCAGATGTCCTAATGGATTCTCCCTCGCCTACGTGAAGACAACTCGCCGAGAGGGAGTCTTCATCTGGTGCCCGTAAAGGAGACTGTAGTGTCAGCGTATCTTCCATGTACAGCGTTTCAGTTGGCTTCACAAGCGGTAGCATGTTTTCCTCTGTCATTTTATGGGGAGGAGAAATGAAAGGATCAGGAAGTGAAAAGTTCAACTTTCTAAGCAGTGTTCTCCTAACATTTTCAATTCATGGAAGGGAGAAATGTAGTGTCAGCGTATCTTCCATGTACAGCGTTTCAGTTGGCTTCACAAGCGGTAGCATGTTTTCCTCTGTCATTTTATGGGGGGAGAAATGTAGTGTTGCAAACTAGCGCCATCTACGGGAGTGTGTAAATAAACGGGGCGGCTCGAGGAGCTTGCTTGGGGCGGCTCGAGGAGCTTGCTCAGAGATTGGCCTGAACGTTGACCCGACAACATGTCTCTTTGATCCGACCACCGGCCCGGCTCGCGTCATGGGGCCCCGTTGGGCAGCCCGGTGAGTTGCGCCCTTGCCGGCCACCCTCGTCCTTGACATGTAGCTGGACCAGGGGGGATCGTCGCGTGTACCCCCCCTAAAACATAACAGAGACACATCTTTCGGTCCGCCTTTTTAGCTTTGTTATTAAACTTATGTAGTCCTCGATAAACAGTTATCTCGTTTTACTTTACTATATACCTATATTAAAGTTCCTTCGTGACCAGAATTGGTAACCCGATATTTTTCGAGCAACCTTTTCTCGACGAATGCCATGGCTAACGGCGACGACCACGCCCAAACACTGGTGCAGCAGGGGCAGCAGCGCGCAGCAACCATCCTCCGTAGCATCACTGGCTCTAAAACTCCCATCATGTTTTGGCCCGCTGGCCCTGCGCTATGGTTCGCCTAAATGGAGGCCCAGTTCAGCACCCGGAGGATTACGGCACAAATGACGAAGTTTCATTACGTCATCACTGCACCAACTGAGGCAGTTAAAGTCCGGGACCTCATCCTGACTCCTCCTGGCGACAACCCGTTTGACAAACTGAAGCTCAAACTCGTACGACACACTTTGGCGTCGGAACAGAAACGTCTCCAACAACTCCTGATGGTCGAAGATCTTGGAGACGGGAAACCTTCCCAGATGCTTCGCCGCATGACTCAGCTGCTCGGAGAAAAGGCAACGTGGACGACTCCGTCCTGCGCCAGCTGTTCCTGCAGCGCCTCCCCGCCAATGTATGCATGGTTTTGGCGGCGGCTGGCGACATTCCACTCCATGACCTTACGGCTTTCGCGGACAAGGTGCTCAGGTGGCGTCGCCCACAGCCTCCAGCATCCAGGCTCTTCCCCAAGTACAGCAGGGGACTGAGTGCAACCTCTGCTTCCCTGTCCAGCACCGAATTCTGCACGCTCCAATCGGAAATCCGCAGTGTTGTACGGAACAGCGTTCCTGGAATGCGTTCCTTTTAGGAGGAACGAAGGAACGCCGCCGTTCCATTTTTCATCGGTGGAACTGGAACGGTAACGTGTTACATTTTTACTGGAACGGAAAAAGGAACGGCGTTCCCTTTTTTCGTCCAAGGGGGTAATTTGTATTTTATTTCTAAGAGGGACATTCTAAAAGTATAAAAACCCTATCTTTACAAAGAGCAGGGTCTTGTTAAATTTTTGGTTACTTAGGGTTTATTTTGTGTAGTCCTCGCTTGGTAACACTCTGGTGCAGGAGAGCTAGCGGACATTTATTATTTTTGCAGTGCCTAAGAGTGCGGTACGAAAAGCAAAACATTTAGTCGAAGGAAAAGACACAGGGACGTTTCAAACTTAGCCACTTACTTTTCTTTCACGAATACTCATACACCCAGAAATCTAAGGCCGACTACAGCCAACACTGAACTTCCACAAACAGACCTACAGTTACAACAAAAGGACAGGTTACCTGACATCGAACGCACCCTTGTATCCCGAATATTGGTCACTTAAATGATACAAACAATTAATCTTTACTTCTCCCCATGTCCCGGCGTTCAAACAGAACAACGAATCTACACTTCACGAAGAAGTAAAGAAGTACCCTCTTCTTTACTTGCTCGTCTTGTGGACGCCAACATCGAGAAGTAACCATTGTTAAGTTCGAACAAGGTACTTTGTTAGGTTGAAACGTGTGAGGTTGTTGTAAAAAGTTTGTGCAATGTGGGGTAGCAGTACATTTGGCTCGTCTGAATAGCCCATCCCAAACAGGAATATGGTAAAATGCTGAGATTTTTAACGGTGAATATATCAACAAAAAGAACCCTGCTGTCGTGTGTCTTCTTCTCCTGTTGCCCTGCCATCACTGTGTTCAAATCCGTATGTTCCCATTTAATGGGATAGATAAAAAAAAAAAACTGCTTGATCTAATTATGGTAATCATAAAAGTGTGAATGTAACGTATATGTAACAATACGTTCCATTTTTTTAACTGTAACGGGAACGAGTTCCTTTTTCATAGATGGAACTTTTAACGGGAACGCGTTCCAAAAATCAGAAGGAACGAGGAACGAGCTTTTGTTCCTTTTTTTGAGGAACGCGTACTACAACACTGGAAATCCGGAACCTGACAAAGGCTGTTGCTCTGCTCCAAACCAATTGCGGTAGATATCCGCAACGCTGTTCGGGCTACAACAGCCGTTCTCACTCGCAGTCATCTTTCACCGATATCTGCTTGTACCGTTCCACTTATGGGGACCAAGCAAAAAGGTGCATACCACTAAGCACAGCGGGAGTGGGAAACGGGATGCCTGAAGCACTGAAGCACTGCCTGAAGCACAGCACTGAAGTCGGCGAGCAGTGCCGCAGAACCAGGGTGCCAGTTTTTCTTTGTCAAAGCCAAGCCAACTGGCCTCCAGCTACTGGTCGACATCGGGGCCAAGGTCAGCATCCCTCCTGCATCGCACAGCGACCGTTGTCAAACACCTTGCGCACTCTTACAAATAGTGAACGCCACATTCATCCTTGTTTTTGGAGAACGATCCCTGACCTTCGACCTTGTACTCCGCCGTACCTTTCGCTGGATTTTCTTGATCTCCAGGACTCGACGCGCCATCCTCGACGGCGATTTTCTCCGGAACTTTAGATTATTGGTAGACGTTCACCGCAATCGCCTCCTAGACCCAACAACAAACCTCTCCGTTTCGGGAATAGCATCCAGAACCTCGTGGCTCTGCTTCGCTCAGATTCCAGAGAACAGTACTTGCCTTTTTTTCTAACATCCTCAAAGAGTTCCCAGACCTCACCCGTCCCTCCAATACCGAGGTTCCCGTGGGACACCATGTCACGCACCATATCGAAACATCAGGACCTCCCGTGCACGCAAGACCACAGCGGCTCCCCCCCGACAAACTGCAGATTGCTCATCGACAGTTCAAGCATATGCTTGACCTCGGAATCATCCACCCATCCGAGAGTCCTTGGTCATCTCCCAGAAGTAACACCTGGAGATTGGCAAACATGTGGGGACTACCGAGCTCTCAACCAGATCACAACAGCCAACCGCTATCCACTGCCTCACATTCATGATTTCACAGTGACATTCGACGGCACCACAATCTTTTTTCAAAATTGATCTGGTCCGGGCGTACTACCAAATCCCAGTTGAACCGGCCAACGTTGAGAAGACCGCAGTCACAACATCATTTGGTTTCTTCGAATTCGTCAGAATGCCATTCGAACTCAAAAATTCTGCACAGACGTTTCAGTGTTTCGTCGACCAGGTGCTGCACGGTTTGCCGTTTTACTATGCCTACATCAACGACATCCTCGCTGCAAGCGGCTTTGCCGAAGATTGCACACGAAATCTGCGTATGCTCTTCGCTCACCTGACGGACTACGGCATCGTTGTCAATGTCAGCGAATGTATGTTCGGCAAGGATGATCTGGAGTTCCTCGGACACAAAGTCAGCACATCGGGTAGTGGCCCTTTTGACATCAAAATGCAAACAATCCACAAATTCTCCCAGCCCATCAACAAAAAAACAATGACGCAAGTTTTTGTGAATGTTTAATTTCTACCACCAGTTTTTACCTAACTGCGCTGAGAAACTTCAATCACTCGCCAACTTGTTGAAAGAAAAGAACAACCCAACGACAGAACTTCAGTGGGACGATCCTGCCCACCAGGCATTTCACCGCACCACAGAGCTCCTCGTTTAGTGCACCTGAAAGGAAACACGTCACTTACCCTGGTGACTGACGCTTCCGCCACCGCGGTGGGTGCGGTGCTTCAGCAGGTGATTGACGGGTACCCTCAACCGGTGTCGTTCTCATACAAGCTCTCGCCAACCGAGCGACGCTGCAGTGTCTTCGGCCATGAACTGCTGGCAGTGTACTTGGCAGCAAGGAATTTCTGCCATTTCATAGAAGGTCACCACTTTGCCACATTGACCGCCCACAAACCGCTTGTGCACGCCTTCCACAATTTGCGGCCGGTCGGTGGAACTCATTCCCAATGGGAGCTGCGTCAGATGTCCTGCGTTGTGGAATTTACATCCGACATTCGCCACATCCGAGGTTGCGACAACGTCGTTGCTGACGCGTTCTCCAGGGCAAATATTTGCGAACTAGAATCCTCTGTAGTGATCGACTTCCCAGAAATGTTGAGTGCTTTGCAGACGGACAGCGAGCTGCGGAACCTGTGTGACGCGTCAAGTAGACTCGAGTTTGGGATGGTCGCACTGCCGATGTGCAACGCGGAGCTTCTGTGCGACATCTCTACTGGAACGCCTCCATCCTACGTACCAGTACCTTATCGATGCAAGGTGTTTGACACGCTTCTCAGGCTCTCCCATCTGGGAATCAAGGCAACTCAACACCTGGTGACCACGAGGTTCGTCTGGCCCTTCATCAACCGGGATGTCCGGCAGTGGACAAAGGCCTGCCTTCAATGCCAACGCTCCAAGGTTCACCGGCACGCAGTCATGCCCCTGGCAAACTTCCCGCTGCCGGACAACAGATTCAAGCATATGCACCTAGATATTGTAGGACATCTTCCACCATCCGAAGGTTACATATATCTGCTCACCATGGTGAATCGATTCACACGCTAGCCAGAAGCCGTCCCAATCACAGATGCTACATCGCCAAACGTTGCTCGCTACGAGTTTACTACGGTTGATTGGATGCCGTTTCATCCAAGCCCATTTTACAGAACGGGCGCGTTTTATCAAAGCACGGTTTAGAGAAAGCAGAGCCTGAGTCTAGAGAAACGCCGTTTATCAAAAAAGGGACGCTGTTTAAAAAAGGCTTCCCCTCTTCGCGCATGTTAACTCATCCCCCCTGCTGCGTTCACGCCGCTTCGCGGCGGCAGTTTGCGGCGGCTTATTACAAAAATGTTAACTCACCTAACCCATCCGTGCATGCCGCTTCGCAGTAGCCAAATTCGCAATTAGGAGACTTATCGCCATTTTCTCTAAACTAGGTTTCTCTGTAAAAGGATTCAATAAACTGGGGTCGGTAAAACGGTGTTTGCTAAAATGAGCTTCTCTAAACCGCATACTTCCGGCTCGCTGTTTCATCTCGACGTGGATTTCCCGCTTCGGAGTGCCTTCCAGGGTCACAACTGACCAGGGTGTCCAGTTTGAGTCAAATGTGTTCAAAGAGCTGACGCAACTCCTCGGCATGACGCACCTGCACACCATGGCCTACCACCCTTCAGCCAACATCGTACAAGTTCGACCTCGAGTGCACTAGCGCAGAGCTGGTGTATGGAGCATCTCTCAGGTTGCCTGGGCAGTTTTTCGAGCAAGTGCAAGACCGACTGCCAAATCCAACAAACTATGTTGACTGACTCATGCAATAATGGACAGCCTTCGACCAACGGCTCCAGGACATCAAACAGCCACTGCCCTCATGTCAGAGAAAACCTGACACATTGCATGCACGCTTTTGTCAGGTACGGTCCCATCAAGCGTCTGCTTCAGGACCCCTACGACGGTCCTTTCCGCGTGCTAAAACGCCGAACCACGACACATCACATTCCGGATTAGAGGCAGAGAGGAGGTGATTTGTTTGGAACGTCTGAAGCTCGCCCACATCGAGATATCATCCTCCCAGGCCCACGACGACGGCCGCTCGGAATCCCCTTCCAGGACGAACAACGCGTTATGGACGCAGAGTTCGCTGGCCAGGTCAGATCGACTTGTTCTCAACGAAGCACAACATTCACCTGCTCACTGGGGAGGGGGTTTTGGGGCAGTCCAAGTAGACAAGCTCCAGACGCAGACGGTCCTGCGATGTAGACTGTGCAAGCGGACGGCGGCCGCCGGGGTGGAACCCAGCACCGCGCATTCTGGAGTAGCAGAACTCGGTGCCCGAGCGTCGGCTCAAGAACCAGACGTCTTTATGGATTCTCCCTCGCCTACGTGAAGACAAGTCGCCGAGAGGGAGTCTTCGTCTGGTGCCCGTAAAAGAAACACATCTTTCAGTCCGCCTTGTTAACTTTGTTATTAAACTTAAGTAGGCCTCGTTAAACAGGTATCTCGTTTTACTCTACTATATACCTATATTGAAGTTTCTTCGCGACCCCACTTGTACGAAAAGCACTCGAGTGCCCCTTTAATTGGAATGGAAAACCCACTATTGTCACCGAGAGTCTAAGAAGCGCTGGGTGTGGTTTATTATGTTCACGCTTGTTTCTTTGATTTGTTCTTTGGCATTCTTATCCGCTAATGCCTCAATGTCATTGGCCGCAGAGCAATAACAACATGCTCAGGAGGACTCGCTACATCGTGCGTTTCTAAAGCTGTCGGTGACTATGGTACATATTCATTTACTTCTCGAGCCATATAGTTCCGGCTGGAGGAGACAAGAGTTCAACCTGTATCGAGAAAGTGACTAGAGAAGCAGAGCGTCGGTGTATGAATGAATAGTTTATTTATAAATAAGCTTGCCTACTTGCTACGAGCTTGCCTCTAAATTATTAACATAGTTAAAACCCTTTCTATAAATGATTCTAGTTCCTACTTGGTAGCCAGGCTTATTTACAGGATAGTCCTAGCATTGGCAAAACACTTTTAGCCTATTGCTGTCGCAAGGTGGCTTTTTAGAGCCAGCTAGTTCAACACTATATACAAAACAAGATGGTGCAATGCAAAGGTTGAGCCACAAACCAAATTAGCATACTCAGAGTATCAGGTGTAAACATACAATATTTAAATAAACACAGTAACACAACACACTTATACAAAACTGCCATTTTGAGGAATACTATGCATGATTAGTCTTGAGTAAAATCGCTGCTTTCCAGTGCTAGGACTAAGACCATCTTGACAAAAGAAACAATCAAGGTTAACTGTTGGGATTGGGATGAAGTCATACATTAAATGTGAATGAACAACAAGAATGTAAACCAAGGGCAAGGGAAATTCCAAAGGCAAGACAAATACCAAGGTGCTTGGGGCACTTCTCAAAGAACAAGTCTTGCAAACCTAGTAGGTGAATGCCATGTGCAATAAAAATGCAGTTTCCTGAGAACAATAAAGACATCAGGCTTGAATGTTGGGACTACCTAGAAGTAACTGAAATATAAAATAAAGCAAAAGGCAAAAATGATGCCCTAAAAAAAAGCTAAAAAAAACTGCAACAAAAGCTTTTATTCTTTTGACTTGCTCCAAGAGTCAAAGCAGTGAACCAGAGTCATGAAACCGTATTTCCATACCGATATGACTCAGAAATTTAAAGTGAAAGCACAAAATTATTACTAGTGCACTGCAAACAACAGCTGTCCATTGTAAACCTAACAGGGATGCTGTAAAATGTTGCGAGGAGGGCATAAAATAGCAGCACAGACTTGCGGAAACCAGGGCTCATTGTTAAAAGCAACAAAGCACCGCACACGATGCCACTTCACTGCAAGTTAAAAGCTTTGACAATATGGTTTTGAAGGAGAAAAGAAGTAATAGAACGGAACCTGGGTATCCAACTGAACCCGAACTGAAAACCGGTGCAAAACAGTTCTTTGACCTAACCAATACTGTAACCAAAATCAAACATCTAACATTGAACTTGAACCAGAATAGAACCGTAATCTCATGTGGCGGTTACCGGTTCACTGGAATACGGTTTCGTGTAGAAAATTGTGAGCTGCGACTTCTTGCGGGTGGCGGCTCGAAGTCAATTACATATTTGCGGGTGGTGTCAGTGGTGTAGTTTTGACTTAACAAACGGCAGCGACGTGGAGACAGCTCAATAATAATGAAACAAACAAAAATATTTGACATCTATGTGCAGCACGACTTGGCGTCGGCACGGATGCATACACTTCTGTACTTTGTCTCACCTTATTATAGGACAGCAAAGGATGCTACAAGCCACTGGAGCCAGTCCATTAGCTCGCAGGGTGTCACATGCCCTTCCGGTTGGGCAGTGCAACGCGGGGAGCACAAAAAGCCACGACAAGCTACGAACTATGGATTGGCGCGAGTTGCTCGTAGCGTCCATCATGGAACATCGTAAGGTGAAACAAAGTATATCTCACTATGCCAAAAGGCTAAAGAGCTGTTCTCTATATCTGTGTCATGTTTCTTCTTTTTGCTGCTAAACAATATTCCTCAAGGAAAAAAAAAAGTCCCAGCTGTCAGCATGTTTGTTCCGTGGTGGCAAAATCTGGAGGCGCCAAGAGGCGAAGCCGCGACGAGTATGACTGACACCACGGCGCCGGTTGCCAGGATACCCATTTCCCAGAGTTGAAGAATCTTGTGGTGTGCTTTTTTAAAGCATCATGTCGCCCGTTTCTCTTCTGCCTTTTTTTTATTTTTCGGCTGCATTTCTCATTTTGAACTCAGTCACTTGAGAAAGGCGTAGAGAACGGTGGCTAGTTGGCAACTATGGTGCATGCTACGGTCATGGTGTCACGGCGCGTGCCGGCTGATTGACTTCATTTGTCAGTGTACTTCGGTACTGTTTCCGAGTGCCTGTATCACCACTTAATTTGTGTAGAACGGTGTTTGGAATAAAAAATCAAGATCACAAAACAAAATTAAGCATATATTTGCTTTGCTGTCCTAGTTTCCGCAGCGCAGCTTCCAATTATCTTTTCTTTAAGTGCAAATGACATATTAAACTCACTTAATGACTGGGAGCTGTGGGCTTTGCTTTTTAAGAACCGGTTTCATCAGGTTCGTGCCTTGGTGAAACCGGTAACCAAACCATTATTTAGAATTAATCACTGAACCGGAACAAAATACAAGGTTACTGAACCTAAACCGAACTGGAATAATGCCCAGTTCGACTCCAAAAACAAACCACCGACTGGACAATTGCAGGGCTCAGTCGCTCCCTTCACACCAAGCACTCCAACTGTTTCTGACATACCTGTTGTATTCTCTTAGGGCCACACTCAGATGGCCAACACTGCTTACCACGGTAATCAAGCTCTCCCCAACATCCACAGCATACTTGGTCAACTTTGCCCCCTTTCAAAAGCTCTTTATTATGAAAGGACAACAAATGTCACACATTCCAAAAAATGCACCTAGAAAACCGAAGAAACCAACAACCAAGAGCTGCTTGCGGTATTATTTCCTACAACTGCTCCGAGTAAGTGCGACACACAGTACTAGACTCAACACCCTAAGAAGGCTGTCTATAGACGGTCGTCCATAAAAGCAACCTAAAAGCTCTTCACACTAATGACACCATAGAATCTGCATGGTAAGTAAAAAAGGTGGATACTAGCTGGAATGTTTCGGTAAAAAAAATAGATTGAGAGGTAGCTACTATCACTAATTCTAAAGCTAAACAACATGAGTGGAAATTTATTTGGCATATAATTATCTTTTTTTATTTAAGCAACAATAAGTAAAAGAAGCGTCAACAATTTTCAAGCTGTTACATAGTTCCTATTAAGTTTTACGTTGAGTCCGATTGCCAACTTATTTATTAAACGACCATGCAGTCTACAGTGTCACTTTCCCAGTCTTGATGGTGACTCAATGACAAGGTCTCAGCTCTATCACAAGAGTGTAACTCTGACTTGACACACACTCCTTCCCATCTTATGGATAACATCTTAACATCCCTGCACAAATCCGGCACTACAAACTCTCGCTAAAACCCAGAAAGCAAAATGCAATTTGTTATTTTAAAACCCACCACTGACTACAATGCCGAGAGAACCGAGAAGACGGCGAACACTGCACCGCTTCGGCGCCAGCATGGAAAAAAACTACCAACACGGCTTCGTCTTTCACGGGTATCGAGGAAGCGTTCTTACGCAAAAAAACGGGCAAGAACCCGACGAAGCAAACGTATGGTGCCTTGAACGTGCCTCTAACTGGTCTGTCTACTGCGTTCCAAAAAGCGGTCCCTCTATTTCCACCCAATGATGTCATAAAAGAGTCGCACTAATGCCGGCTGCAATTTCGGCGGTGTCGCAGCAGCAGCAGTGTACGTGGCAGATGCCTGTTCAGCTGCCGGCCGTTCTCCGGTCCACAAAAGGATCGGAAGGCAGGAGTTAGAAGGCCGCTACGACGGCGACACTCGCATCCTCACGTGCTTTTTTCCGACTCTTACATCGGAGAGTCAAGCTGTCGGACGTCACGACACTCCGGCTCACGCGACGTCATTTGTTGCCACTTTGGGACCACTTCCGACACACGGGTGGAATAGGACACTAAGCACACCACTCGGAGACACGTTCGAGACGCCGTAAAAAAAGCAGACCCAGGGGTTCCGGAAGAATGGGATTACATGCAACGACAGAGACGGTAAGAGGTGGGAGAGAATCCTCGGCAAGTTGTCCTTAGTTAGACGACGGGGACTGGCATCAAGAGAAGCCCTCGCGGTCAAAGATGAGCTCGACGGCCGAGAGGACGTTGTCGACGCGGTAGGTGGGCTCTTTGAGCCCCACCTCCGCAGGGAGGTCCCGGGGCGTGTGGTCGCAGCTGTCGTCGTGCAGATCCTCGTTGTATACCCCCGTGTGCACCAGGACCGAGATGCAGCTTGTGGCGCCGCAGTTGCCCACCATCTGCCATTTGGAAGACACGAAAGGAGGAGGTCGTTGGGCCTCGCCTTTCTACGCTCCCTGTAGCAGGCTTTATGCATTTCAATATTTTCAAAATTAAAGACATGAAAATATTCTACTCGCACGAAACATGAACTATTATGAAACTCTAAAACTCTCCCCAAAAACATTTTATTTATACTGTCCAGATATGACATGAATGTGACAAAATTCATCTCCACCCTCCACTCCACTTCCACCCCCCCCCCTCTCAAAAAAAAAAAAAAAAAGAATGAATAAAATATTTGCATTATAAGACATAATTTAGAGAGAGCTATGAATAGAGCCTATGGGTCAATCCTCCTCTCCGCTATTCTCTCAAGCCTTTTTGCAGTGTGCAGTGGCAGCACCACAAAAGCAGGAACAAGAGGTAGTACATAAACAGTTTTCATACCTCTCCTTTGCACTCTTTTCACCCATAGGGTTATTATAATGTATGCTAGAGGTTCAACTGGCGCTAGTGTGCTGCTGCAAATTGAAGCAGACAGCAACCAGTCGAAAGCTGACTTCCGGTAATGCATTTATATGGGAAAAAGTGAGTGCATTTTCTTCTTGCGCTGGATTATAAGAGCAAATATCCCAATAATTCATACATATTAGGTAGCCTGGGACATTTCTCAGTCAAGCACACAAAATAATTGGTCAGTTACGATGTTTTTCTTTCTAATTAATTGCATTAAAAACGGTGCTAAAACGGCTTCGTACATGTATTCATGTGCACTGTCAGGCGCTGTTAGCGCGAACACGACATCGGCGCTTTTCAGCATGGGGTTATACGTGCCAAACGAACGAAGGACATCTGGAAAACTAAGATGGCAAGAACTATGCAGTAATACTGGATCAGTAACTCCCTCCGCATGTACGATCAAATAAATTCAAGGCAAGTTAATATAGTCAGATTTTCAATAAGTACTGCTTTATTCTTTCTGCTCTGTGTGAATATGCTTGTTCTACGTTCAAAACATCACTTGCATGCTCAAAATCTTTGATAACAAGTGCCCGATAAAGACTGCCCGGCAGAGAAATTATTAGGAAGAGACGGCTTTCATACCCGACGTAATCTGTTCTTTACGTTTTTAATGTTTTTACCCGCTCGTAAAGATGCAAGAAAGGGTCATTTTCATATAATAACAAGACTGGCATATTAGCAATATACAAGTGTCATCGGAATGCTGGCAAGCCTTGAACACGCTCTATATTCCTTTCGATTGTTATTTTGCTTAAAATCGTAGCTTGTTTTTACACACCTGCTGTGGAACAGAGGTTTCGGCTTGAAACATAGCGAAGTTAAACATTGTTCAATGATGAAGAAAAATGTGCTAACTAAAGCAGGTACACTTTTACAATGTTAAAAAAGGTACATGCTATTCGGTACAATTCAAATAACAAAAGTGATTCATGTTATATTCCGGCGAAGAGACAAAATGCACGCGCGCTTTCCCACAGGAATGCACAGGATCACCGTAAAAGTAGACTGGTTGCTGTCTGCTTCAATTTGCCTCCTGGAAGTCGCATGACACTAGCACCAGCTGAACTGCACCAGTTGAACCTCTAGCGTACATTATAACTCTATGCTTCCACCAATAGGAGGCTGACAAAGTGACTCCTATTCCAACGTCACTGTGACATTGATATCGAAATGAAAGCCACTTTCCAGTTGGTAAGCCCCAGCAGATGCAATCGCTCGGAGCCTAAAGTACTTCAACACAAACATTGCATTAATTAAATTTATTTTTCCAAGCATGCAGGTAGTAAAAAAGAATTGACTGCATGTTTGGTCATTCTGCCAAAGGCTTTTAAATGTGGTGGTGGCATTTAAATGTGGTGGCTTTATAGGGTGGTAGTGCTTTTAGTTTGGGTGGTGCTTAACCCTTTAAGTGCCTTGGACGAGCTGAACTCGTCGGCCACTTACTGGCTAAAAATGCCGTGGACGAGCTCAGCTCGTCCAGTGGTTTTTTCGGTAGCCCTCAATTCCACGAACGAGCTAGGCTCGTCCGAATAGTTTCGCGGTGCTGATCATAGATGGCAGCACTCGTTTTAGTTGGCAAATATTTTTTTTCTCTCCGCTGATTTTTGCGTAATCAGTGATGTGATTGACCTAAGCCGTTTTGGAGCACCTTTTGGAGCAGCCAAACTGGTGTTTTGGAGCAGCAAAAGTGGCCTTTGGAGCAGGTAAAACAGTGTATTGGAGCAACGAAAGTTGCTTTTGGAGTAGCCAGAACAGTGTTTCGGAGCAGCAAAAGTGGCTTTTGGAGTAGATATTCTTAGAAAAATAAACATAGTATTTGTTTTATGTGCTGGACGAACAAAGGACACTTCACTCGCTGCAATAAACAAATTATGGTCAAGTTCAACCACCTGGGTGTCTTTCAAGATGTAGCTGAAATGCCAATGACATGACACATTTTGCAATGCTTCAGTTAAATTATACATATATATGTACCGTTATTGATAAATAAGAACCAAACTGCACATATTAAAATTTATTTGAAAATGACCAGCTTATTAGCAAATATCACAGCATTAGGTTGACTACCGTAGTTATATAATATATAATAAATGGAAGCAGTCTCCGACCGAGCAAACACCTAACTACTGCAGTGCAATGCGAAATTGTACACAAGACAAAGGTGCTTTCCTTTTTGCTTTTCGAAACTGTCTACAAGGCTGCTGCAAGCCTCGCTTTGCCTTTGGCTAGTAATGATTTCCCACTTTCAATGTCTCCAAAAAGACATTGAGACATCCCGCAAGTGAACAGTGCTGTGGCCGTTGCTGAGCGATTCCGAAAAACCGCTTGCCACCGTTTTACTGGTTCCCGACGTGCCAGATTTTCGTCAAAAGTATAAGCAAACGTAAAACAATGGGTTGCAAGTGTCCCGGCTGGTGCCTCTGTCGTGCAGTTATGTTCGCATGCACATGAGGGCAACTTCGGCAGGCTTGCATTTGCACGTGCTTCGTCGTGCGAGCGGAGATGGCTGTTCGATCGAAACAGACACCATGCCACTCCGCTCCGTCGCCAACTGGTTCCCATAATTGTATGCAAAATGTAATTGTCCAGCATACGACAAAAAAACAGTCCCGCGGCAAGTGCTTGCCAGGCCGGCAGGCGAGGTACAAGCTAAACACACAGAAAAAAAAGAACCTAAGCGAGTCAGGTCAAAACAATACATCGCGAGTCAGGGTCAAAATGTACTCGGAGCGCTTTGCACAACGACTGAAGCACTGAAGCGTCAACACACGCCCGCGTCTATCGTTGAAATTGTTTTTAAAAAGACGCGAGACGAGACCATGGTGTAGACGAGACACATGAACGACGAGAGCGTGAAACGAGAGGTGGCGGAAAAAACTATGCAAACTGGATGGACGATTGATACAGGGTACTTTTTGTTGGGCGGCCGCTTGCGCTACCTAGCTCATGCATTCTCAATTACGGTACTCAGTTTAGTTTCGGTTTTGAACGACCAAAATTGATCTTTTGGAGCAGGCCTGGCGCAGTTTACCCATATTTTGGCAAAATGTAGCAGGGTTCGCCCCTTGGCGCAGTTTGGCGCAATTGGCGCAGCAATCACATCACTGCGTAATAAACTTTTCAAATTTTATGTGTAATACTAGAGGAATAACAATTCATAATAAAAAATATGGTACTTTTAGGTTATTTTTGGAAAGAAAAAATTTGGCACTTAAGGGGTTAACCCTTTGCGGTCACGTGTCGGGCATGGCCCGACATTGGAGAAACGAGTTTCCGGTAAGTTGTCAGACGTCGCCCGACACGCGACTCCCCGCTCTCGTTTAAACTTATTCCTCCGTTCTTTTTGACCGGATTGGTGGTGCCATCTCTCAGCATGTTTCTTTAACACTTCATTGTTTCAATAGTTTGAGTTTTTTTCCATAGAGGGCAGAAGCACCCGTAAGCGGCGGAGGCACGGGTCGCTTTGAATTTCGCTGGCTGGAAAAAGCATGGCAGCGTTTGCGCCACGCTCCTTTTATGGGAACTCATCGCGTGATTTCGTGGAAAGTGATGACGATTTTAGCGAAGAGGACAATTATGTGCCTCCATCAGATGACGATGAAACATCCTCCGCTGACTGCAGTGACGGTAGCGACGAAGAAGTGTGTGTACAAGACGACAACAACAGTGGACCCACCGTTAGCGACCCTGGACCACAGGTTGGATCGTCAAACCTCGGCTCCGAACTTGAGTTTTTCCAGTTATTTTTTACGGATGAACTCATCGGAGAAATCGTGCAAGAAACAAACCGGCATGCCCACGCGAAAATTTCATCCATGGATTCGCTCGCTGAGCAATCTATATGGAAAAGTTGGGAAGCGTTTCTGTAGAAGAATTCAAGGCTTTTCTCAGTGTCCTCATGAACATGGCCCTCAATCCCAAGCCGGACATCAAGGAGTATTTCAGCCAAGAAATCTTGAAGAAGATGCCATTTTTTCCCGCCGTGTTCACTCGTACAAGATTTCTCCAGATATTTTGGATGCTGCACGTCTCTCCACCTCCGCAAGGTCCCTCACACCAGCCGACACGAGGTACCAAGGTGAGAAGCATCGTAAAGTACATTGACACAAAATGCCGTGAGCATTTCAAGCCCGGCCCGAAGATTTGTGTCGATGAGAGTACAGTTGGCTTCAAGGGCAGGGTCTCATTCAAATGCCACAACCCGCAGAAACCAAATAAGTGGGGCCTCCGTGTCTATGTACTCGCCGACTGTAGAACAGGCTACGTGTCAGCATTTCAGCCGTACTACGGTAGCACAACAACAGAGAGCCTCTGCCAGCCACACCTCCCCTTTACGTGTCGGATCGTCCTGCACCTCCTCGACAAAGTGCAATGCACTTCACTCGGGAGTGGGTACCACCTTTATACGGACAGGTTTTATACGTCCCCGCAACTTGCTGAGGAGTTGCTCTCTCAGGACGTTTTGCTCACTGGCACTGTCATGACCAAGAGGAAGCATATGCCCCAGCAGCTAAAGAAGAAGATGAAGAAGGGTGACGTGGCAGCGTATCGGAAGGGTGACTTGTACATGGCCCTGGCTTGGCAAGATAAGCGTCAAGTTACCATGCTGAGCTCAGCACACAATCCCTCGACGAAGCCTGTGACAAGAACACAAGCACACGGCCAGCCTGTGACACTCGACAAGCCAGTAGTCATTTGTGACTATACAGAGAACATGGGAGCTGTTGATCGAGCCGACCACTACTGCGCGAGTTACGCGTTCTGCCGCAAGTCCCTCCAGTGGTGGAGAAAGCTTTTCTTCTGGATCCTTGAGGTTGCCATCGTCAATAGCTTCCTGCTAATGCAGATGCAACAGGCTGCTCAGGGACTGAAGGAGCAAAGGCACCTCAAGTACCGCCGTAGGCTCATCGAACAGCTGGTCGGGGACTTGCGAGTGCGACCAAAGAAAAGAGGACGAGCATCACAATCCGACGCTGAGGAGAGATTAGATGGAAGGCAACACTTCATATACAAGCTACAAGAACGTACAAGCAAAGACTGCGCAGTGTGCAGCGATCGAAAGACAAAAGGAGGCAGGAGAGAAACAGTTTTCTACTGCAAGACTTGCACAAAGAACCCCGGTCTCCGACCCGGAGATTAGTTCGAAAAATATCACACGCTGTCAAAGTATCGCTAGAGAGCGCGGGAATGCAGAAGCACTGCGAAAATAAATATTTCTTGTTACCTCTGTACGCTGCAGTAATTTTTCTTTCTCCTTGCTAATGCGGACAAAATAATATCTGAACGGAACCACCGTCAAGTTGGTCAGACTATCTGACCTCAAACGGTGAAGGCAGGATAACCCTTCGTCTTTCAGTGTCTGAGGTTGGTGGTGCTCTTAGTTCAGGATTTTGTATGGAAACAGATGACATCACACCATTGTCTCTTTGTTACGCTGCACGTGCCCCTTCACCACTACCCGGATCAAAGCCTTAGCGATCAATTTTATAAGTTGCCAGGAGACGAGAGGCACACTTCCCTGCCCTTTCCACTTCTCATTTTACGCACTCTTTCTACACTAACTGTTTCTGCTCCTCTTTCTTGCCCTTTCCATCCTTCTCCGCACGCTTTCTCACACCATTTGCTTCTGCTCCTCCCATTCCTGTGTGCTGGGTTTATAGCTCAGCCAGCAGTGCACTCAACATCCACGCAGGTGACTGGAATTCAATTCCTGGCACCGGTTGCCATTTTTTTCTCTTGATCTTTGAGCAGTTTTGGGTCACCAAGAGAAGAGAAGCGCACTTTCCTGCCCTTTCCACTCCTCATTCTGCGCGCTCTTTTTATGCCACCTGTTTATGCTCCTCTCTTTCTTGTCCTTTCCACCCCTCTCTGCTCTGCACACTTTTTCACACCACCTGCTTTTGCTCCTCCCGTTCCTGTGTGTGGGGTCTGGCTCAGTCAGCAGTGCACTCCACTTCCATGCCGGTGACTGGGGTTCGATCCCTGGCACTGGTTGCCACTTTTTTTAAGACTCTTTAGCGGATATGGACTGACCGACCCTCACATTTCATGTTACACGGCCCCTGAGGTTGGTTGGCCCTATCAAACTACCGCTTCAAAAGGTTTGAGCATGCAGTGCCCCAGATCTGTTCACTGTGCCCGACCTGGAAAACATTGAGGCTACAAACATAAACATTAGCTTTTGCTTTTATAACATCACGTCAAGCTTTCGAACAAAATCATGGTGCGAGACACACAACAAACTCACCTCAACTGAAGACTGAGAATCCTTGGACATGTCAGACTTGAGTGACTCTCTGGCAGTGTTGGAGCCAGCAGCCAGAATTGCCTTGGGAAAGTCATCCTTGCGGCGGTGCTCCAGGTACCGGTTGTAAAGGTTTGCACCATAGATGTCTGTGTTGATGTTGTCACTGCATCACAGAAAGTTGCATTTGGTTATAACTTTGCTGGACTCGTAGCCTTCCGCGACACAATGGATACATTGATCACATTCCTTCTTCTTTTGCATGGCAGCTGAAAGGAAGGCAAGAAAGGTCATAGTCTTTCGGAATGCAATTTGGAAAATTCGTGCTTCTGCATAGGCTCCCACTAAATTTCACAAAGTAAAGTTAAGCAGTCATTTTTGTATATACTAATACAACACTATGCAAGTCACCAGCTACAATCCACATCTACAGACTGCCTGATTCTGGCAGTATCTAATATTTGGAGGGCAAGCATGAAACGCTGCCATTTCAAGTGAATCCTTCGTTCCCTATGCACCGGCCTTGGTCCCAAGTCAAGCATTCCAGCTCGGTGATGGAAGCGACGTTTAGCCTTTTATGACAGGTTCTTTAGCAGGCAAAATATTGGTTTGGAGCAGCCTCTGACTCTTTTGAAGCAGATGCCAATGTCTGTTTCCCAATCACTTGAAAATGAAAAAATTATGTACAGGAGGACGCTTAAGACTGCTTATGTGTAGGAAGGCAAAAGCATTATAGTCCTGCGGGAGAAATGTTTTCGAGTAATGTTTCTACACGTATTAAAGTTTAGGACGATGCCAAGGAGGAAGTCCTAGAGATCGACACAAAGTATGGCGTCTAGGACGACCTCTCGGAAAACCCCAAGGACTTCTAAGATGACCTCTAGGATGACGCCGAGAACGACGCCTAGAGGACGACTTTTAGGACGACATCTAGGACGACCTCAAGGACGACCTCAAGGACGACCTCAAGGATGGTGTCGTCCTTGAGCATAAAATTGAGCGGCGCGTTCTTGATGACATATTTTTATGGCCATCTTTCGGGCATAAAAACGCCACTTTTTTGCGCAATGAGCAAGTAAGGCTTTTTCCTTAAAAAGCGATTGCATGGCTAAATAAGTTCATCTATGATGATTGAGGGTTCCTCTCTGATACTTGAGCATATTACTTATTACCTTTCGTAGTAAGAATAAACAGGGCACAAAATGAATACAGAGCCTTCTTTTTAGAACTAAGGCTCTGGCCATAGTAGGTTCTTTTCACAATGGGTATCAAAAAAGGGTTGAACAATGAATCATAGCAACATTTCAGTTGAAATAAAGCCACTTTCCCCCTTCCCCTTTTACACTCGGAAGTTTACTTAGCCCGTAATTAAAATTCCTTTAAAATGACAGCAAAACCCAACATATCCGTTAACATGTCTATCAAAAATGTGTCTCTCAAGTTTTATAAACCTACCAAACGTAAGACTCTAATATCCTTAACTGCAGAAGTTACCGCCCACAAATAATATGAAAGCCTAGATTTTTGTGCTTTAAAGGTGACACTGATCTAATTCTAGTTCCAATGCTGCTAAAGAGTAAAGTTTGCAGCTCTTTCCATCGATAGCTGCGCGAGAACTACCTTGACTACCAAATTTTCAAATTTAGACCTGTGTTTCTTCTTTTACGGAGCAGATTTTTAAGATCAGAAATCAACCCATAATCAAGACCAAAAAAGGTCGACCTGTAATAACCCTGAGCATAATTTCCGTGCCTATCGCGCTAACCCAGGCGCTCCTCGCTTGCGCAATGGTGAGAGGCGGTGAAGGTCGATGAAAGTGGTGCAAGTGCCACAGTATGCTGTAGCCACGGCACAGAGGCATGTGACAGACAATGACAATTAAATGATCTCATCAGGAGTACGAGTAGCCGCCATCCTACTATTTTTGTAAAGTTTTCTCGCAATATTTAGCTCCGGACACTGCTGACATAGCTTTTAAATGTAGACGATGTTGGTGATCAACTGGCCAGCACGGTTGACAGGTAACCAATCAAACAGCATCAAAGAGGGACACCATGGCATTCATAATTTTCCTTTACATGTTCTTTTATCGGCTAAACCAATCAAGTGCAGCAAATGCCCTGTGACTTGCGCCTTTAGTGTGTGTTCATGGTTGTATGCGTTCGAGCCTTCAACTGTGCTCTGACCTAAGATGAAACAAACTATACGGCAAGTAGAGATACTGCGAAATACATATTTGTACCATTTTCCACCAATAAAATATTTAGTGTTGTGAAAATATTCGAAATTTCGAATGGTAGTTTCGAATAATAGAGTATTCAATATTCGCTCCGAGATGAACTGCAATATTCATATTTTACTAAGTGTTGATTGCAGTGGGTTAGTTCCGTTCAGCGCGCTTCTTACCGAGCATGCGTGCACTGCAGAGAAGCGAGACCCGCGGAAGCGAGCTCTGTGGGTGTTGCTTCTCCGCGGTGCACTGGTGCTCGGTAAGAAGCACACTCAACAGGACAATACGACGCAATTAAAGGGACCATGAAATGATTTTAAAATCGAATTTCATCCACCGCACGTCGTAAAAAGTGTGAAAAGAAACACAAAAACACAAAAATAGGGAGCCAAAAAAAATTATTTGCTATAGAACTTTTAAAAGAAAACTGGACTCTTTTGCGCCTTCTTTCCTTCGCCTTTTCACTACGATGCATCCGCGGAAACGGAGCACGTCAGCCGAATCCATGTCGCCTATTGGGTAAGAGCCTACCTCACCAGCACCGCGATCGTAAACAATAAATAGCCGGCGAATGTTTCCTAAAAGTTTTGTTAAATAATATTCAGATCCACATTTTGTAGCATAATTAGAGATGTGTGGCGAAAATTGCCAAATTTGATAATGCTGAGAGCCAAGCGCCATCTATCGTGTGGTAAATGGAGCAACTACTGTGGTAAACGAAGCAAACGCTTGTCCAAGTCTACTCGCTTGTAATTGCCCCCTGTGTCGCGCAAAAAACCCTCTATACTGCATCATGAATCCAACTAGGCCAACAACAAGTTTTAATTGAAGCAACTACTGCGCGTGCGCAGTAGGGCAGGGCCGACTTCAGTTAGTGGGGTCGCGACGAACGTTTATTTCCTTTGATTTCCTTCCTCTCAAAACTCTGACTGACTGAATGTTTATTTTTCTACATGTTCTTCTCGCGCGTGCCGACTTCAAGCAGCAAGAAAAAAAGTACCTAAAACAGACCACGACGAACGAGAACGCTGGATCCAGAAACACCCGAGAAGAGCGACTATGGCCACGAATCCAATGACTCCGACGAAGCGAGCTGTTTAGAATATAGGCCTAGCAGGCACTCCGACTCGGCGCAGCGTTGCTTCGTCGCAAGACCGTCTGCCTACGACCGGCTGGCGTGCTGAATGGTATATGCCCGCGCTACCCTTGTGGACCCTTCCCGTATTATAGTTTGATCGCTGACCTCAATTTTAGATTAAGAGGTGAGGTCAATCTCTTCCCCTTGTTTTCCGAGGTAGTGCTGACGAACACTCGTCGAAAAGGGACTCTCGTCGATTCTATCTTCTTGTTTTGTGTGACATAGAGCTGAAATAAACGCCGTATGGATTACCTTCGTAACACGGTATGTACACTTTGTCATTGGTATGCCATTTTTATTCTGACAGACTGCACGTCACTGTCGAGCTATAACAGTTCGTGGGAGGCATACATGCAATGACGGTCCAACCTTTCTTTGCCGAGTGTCGCGTCAGTATCGAGTTGCAATCGTAAAAGATCGGTCCCGAAGCGCTTACCAACAGCGCGAATACAGCACTTCCATCAAACGCGCGCATCCGCTCCGAGTGTGAACGGGTATTTACGTGGCTCTTGCTGACACTCGTAGTTCAAACGTATCTTTTTTATTGTCGGCTCGCTCCTGCATCTCCGAGGCCGCGAAAAACGCCGCGGCAATTTGTTTCCATCTACGTCGCTTTGCAAACGACTGACACGGGCCGCCTTTTGCCAACAATGGCAGTTGGGTTGACTTCTGGAGTCTTCACCGGAAGACTCGCCGCACTTCCCAACAGGCATACCGGCGTATTGGACTAGTCCCACGCTGTCGCTGTAGCGCAACATATCTCATTGAATTTCGCTCAGCTGCGATGCGGCGATGAGAGGCGCCGATTCAGAAAATATGTCGATGACATCAGCGCAGTAAAACCTACCGGCGCACCCCAACTCGTCGCCGCTAACGCTCCCATTCTCCTACTGCCGAGAAAACTTCCGGTTCTGGAAACAGCGTACGTCATGGCTTGTTTTGCGGTCAGTTGGAGAGAAAAAAAAGTTGATATTTCATTAATTTTTTGTGTAGAAGTTAATGAACCGAGACGAAAACGGATGCCTGTTCGGCATTCAGTGAACATTGACGGTTTAATGTAAAAGTTATCTGGAAAAAGTAAAAAAGTCATTTCATGGTCCCTTTAACACTTAAAAAAGAATAAATATTGCAATTGCGTGCCCGGGAGAAAAGCACACTTCTAAAGCAGAATAGTGCGTGCACACGCCTCTGTGAATGTTGATATCTACATTGCAGTACAATTTTCAAAATTAAACTGCGATCGTTATGCGAGAGTATATGTTAAGCAGAGATGTCCTGGCAAACTGTGTTCATCATTCGTGATTCTTTTTCTCTTTTTTCATATTCGAGATTGAAGAAAGAGCATTTGCATATAGCAAGATTTGTAAATTCACTCAATAAGGTATCCCTGGGCATCTCTATAGGTTTAATTCATGTCAAATCTGTCGTCTACTTTCCATCCCAAAGCATCAGACTTTCTGAGGTCACAGTTCATAAATATACTATACTTCGTCTCAGCTTCTGTCCAGACGCAGCCAAAGCTACAAGCGCGAGCTCCGGGCTTTCAGCATCCCTGCCAAGCACGCGCGCTCGTGCAGTGCAAGCACTGTTCTGGGCCACATGCTCGCACTTGTAGCATCGGCTGCGTCTGGACCGAAGCTGAAACGAAGTATAGTTAGATTAAAATCAGCTTATAAATGAACAAGTGGAAGCTTGGGAACAATTTTCACGAGTTTAGCTGGATTCTCATTTAAGCATAATAAAGAGAGGCTCGAAGAAACTAACATTCCATTAAAACAATAATCAGACAGAACCACTATTCGCTTTGAACGAAAAATCCTCTATCCGCATATGACAAAATATTTTTATCTTGTGTTTAAGCCCATTTCGGCACAGGTGTAGCACAATTCTTAGCAAAAACAAAAATGGCATTTTGGCACAAGATGTAGAAGACTTTCATTCAAGGTGCAATTTGATGCAAATGATGTGGCACTTCCATCACTGCTAGTTCGACGAAAAATAGTTGCTGAACCCTCCAGCATTTTCAGTACAAAAAGCCACTCTTTTCTTTTTAAGCTCCAAATATTTCGGTAACAAGGTGACACTAACATAGACTGAACTGTGTGTTTGTTTGCATGGTCAAATCTGCTTCACCTGGAACAAGCAGAAATCTTATCATGCAGGCAAGGCAATTTGAGCAGCTACATCAAAATGAGGCACATGCAAAGAGAATGGCCCTGCAACAAACACATCACAAGATCTTAATTTATGCACTGCCCTTAAAAAAGCTTTTCTCATACTCTGGTCATTTCCCATCAGCCCTTTTCTGCAAATAAAATACCCCCACTACAATTCTTAGAAGGCCTCACCCAATGGCAAAGAGACGTCGTATAGGATGCATGATGCCAAGCCTCTCTGCTTCCTCCTGAACACATGACTCGGCATGAAGGTAAGTGATCTCGCTCGGCTTTCCAATCAGGGCCGTGTAGATTATGTCCTTGCTTGTTATTTTCTGCAGAGGCAAACATGTTTACTATTACAAAACTGAGGCACAAAACGGTCACTGCATGTAACTAATGAAATTAGTAGAAAGCAAAATGACTGCAATATGATGTGGCCACCAATGCGTGTGCCATACATGGGTAAATTACTTCCAAAATGTAATTTATTTACAATTACAATCACTTTGCTACAAAAGTAGTTTAACTACAATTACACTTATTACTATGTGAAAAGTAATTCATTACAATTACAAATTATTTTTAAAATGTAATTCAATTACTTTAGAATTACTTATTTCTGAGAGTGACCCCGACTTGGGCCATATAACTTTAAACGAGATGTTTACAGTGCAATGCATTTGTTCATTCCTTGCCCCAATGTTTGAGGAGGCTTAAGCATTGCTGTATAAATGCCACATTGTACTTTGTTAATTTTTGTTATATTAATAATAGAACTTGACAGTCTGGGGTAACGAAGTCCTTCGTTTTTATGTTTTCAATAAAATATAATAAATATGTTCATATACACGAAGACGCAAGATCACCAAATTAAAATTGGGTTGACACGCTTTTGTTAGCCAGGCAAAAAAAAAAAAAAGTGACAATTAGTCATATCTGAATATTTTAACAGTGTTAATATAAAACTACTACCCACACGCGCTAATACGACCACATTCACATGCAAACGTTTCATGTTATTGTACATTATTTACATTGAGTTGAAATTATATTGGTTCAGAAATATACAAGAACCGAATTGGGGCTCCCGAATCAATGGTGACAATATTCACAGGTGGCCGAGGTCAGTCTCCAAAATCCTTATGCAAATAATATCCGAAGTAAAATCAACAGGAAAAAGCTCGAGGTACACCCAAGCACTTCTTTTCAGTTGTGAATGCGAAAGTATGCAAGCTGCTCGTCCGCTCCCTTTTTTGTCTGCTGCATACTTTTCGTCGCCGGTCAGCGCTCGTGCTCCCCTACTGGCCTTGGACACTCTCCATGTCATTAGCGTGCTGATGGACATGCAGCGCCATGAGGTGAGTGGTCATGGAAACTGATGAATGCAGCGGCCAATGGAACCGAAGGCGATCGCGAAAACTAGGCGCCATTTTCGCACTTCAAACTGACGACGTCAGCTCGCTCCATGGGACAGTTAATGCTTTCGCATTAATAAACAGAAGTAATACGTAAAAACAAATACGCGACAGTACTGGAAGAGAGACGTAAAACCTGGCAGAAAAAAAAAAAAAAACTTCATAGACAATTAAAATTCCCAACCTCGATTGAAAGCCGAAGCTCAATTTTGTTTCAATATTTTGGTATGTTTACACTATTGTTTTCTGCTCGCATCGCAGACGGTGCCACATGGCACCGCTGAGGTAGGCTTCAAAGAGGATTGTCTCCCAGCCTGCAGTGTAAGCAACAAAACAACAAACCATGCTATGCTATTTTTGTTGCACGTGTGTGTCTGTGTGTGAGTCTATCACCGGGCACCAAGGCTTCCAGAGAGGTTCCGTCAGCGCTGCAAAGTCTCGCAAAAGTAATTGTAATTGTGCCTGAAATTTTGCAATTACTGATGCTAGATAGTATAATTAAATTACAATTCCTTTTTGCAGAAAGTAAATAATTACAATTACAAATGACAAAGAAAGTAATTAAATTAAAAGTAATTAAATTACAGTAATTTGCGTGCCAAGGTGTGTGGAGCAAGACTTCTATACTGATAGAGGCCGTACAAGTATAACATGCTTAATGTTCTGGTGAAATGGGATGCTTAGTTGATTCCCCCTCAATTTTCCAGATGATAAAGCAATGACTCAGCAGTAAAAAAAAAGTCTCTCTTGATTACACAATGACATCTACATGTGTAATTTGAGCTATAACTATTTTGACACTATAGCATTTATGCTGCAGCAACTTTTTAGTTTTATTTTAGAAAAGTTCTGCAATATGTACATAAAGCATAAAGTATCTATGGCAAAACGAGAAAATTTGTAATAAAACCATGTTTCAAGACATTTTCATAAATAAACCATTTGCCAATAATCTTTCCTGGAATACTTGCTAAAAACATAACAAATTATGCATCGTAAATTAGTTTCCAGATGGCATTCACATAAACTTTGTCCTCTTCCAGGTAAAAGACTACTCAAAAGTCATGATTTGCTGGCCGGTCTGAAGACTTCTGCAGGCCAAGGTTTGAAGACCCCTGTTCTAGCATAACGCTAACTATGTCAAATCAGCTGGCACAAAAGCGTATGATCTATATTTACCTTGTAGAGGTTCTCGAGACAAACTAGGAAAGCTCCATGACCAAATCTGTAAAAAACCAGGAAGGAGATTAAAGAATGCCAATTGTCTTTTTAGAATTTCTAAAATGTCTCTGCCTGTGCATGTACATATAGACCGACACTCTGTTTACAAACAAGCCCGCGTTTGCCCACACCAGGTGTGGGCACTGCGCGTGCGCACAAACCGAATTCGGGAGGAGTGAAGCATCTGCGCATGCGCAGTGCCGTCGACAGCGCCACCGCAGTGGCGTGACGTCAGGGCCGCGTGTTGGTCTATACTAGCAATCATAACAAGATGGTTGAAAAAACCCAGAGACTGCGGGTAAACGACACAACACTAAAAAGTCTCTAACACAGCTGAAATTTTTATTTTCAAAATCTGGTTATATAGGCACTCCGATACAAAAGAAAAAAGGGGGAGAGGGTGAGAACCCCAAAGAATGCCACTTTCCACCAATGTAACCTTTGACTAAATACAAGCACAACGGACTCTGCGTCATGCACCTCTCTTATCTTTGACCCCTCGCTACGCGACCGCCAAACACACTGGAAAGCCAAAACCCATTAACAAACGCACAAAAAAAAAAAAAAAGAACTTACAAAGATAAACCTTGAAGGTCAGAACTTTTCACAGCCTAAGAAAACTCCGAAGTTCTTTGTCCAACCCAAAAGACGGCTTATTAACTGCGTTCCCGTGACCTAGTATTGTTAACGACCCTTTTATCAATCGCTTATGGTCATCTTTTTCCCGCAACACTACTGAAGTTAAATGCCACAACGGTGCACAGTTCCTACATTCGATAACATGTTTGACACTTCGGAGTACGGGTCTTTTTTCATTATACAACGTTTGTGTTTCATCAAGCACTCATTTATTCAACGTTTAGTCTGTCCAATATAACAGAGGCCACAATCAAAGGGTATCTTGTAAACGACACCCGACGAACATTCTACATCCCTTTCTCTGTGTTTTATCGTGCAACCTGAAACAGTCGAGGCAAAAGGGGTCGAACGGCTCAATCTATAATCTGTAGAAAAGGCAGTGCCAATATTAAACCTGCTGGCTAACGCTTTGATGTTGTGCGAAAGTTTATGAAAATATGAAAGGACTACTCGCTTTGAAGGTCTAGGATTTTTCAGAATTGACTTCTTTGGACATATCATATACATCAACTGCCTTAAAATATGTTCCTGAGGATATCCAGCAACCTCGAAACGTTCTGTCAGTCGACGAAGAGAAGATCCTACACCTTCAAAGCCGAGTAGTCCTTCCATATTTTCATAAAATTTCGCACAACATCAAAGCGTTAGCCAGCAGGTTTAATATTGGCACTGCCTTTTCTACAGATTATAGATTGAGCCGTTTGACCCCTTTTGCCTCGACTGTTTCAGGTTGCACGATAAAACACAGAGAAAGGGATGTAGAATGTTCGTCGGGTGTCGTTTACAAGATACCCTTTGATTGTGGCCTCTGTTATATTGGACAGACTAAACGTTGAATAAATGAGTGCTTGATGAAACACAAACGTTGTATAATGAAAGAAGACCCGTACTCCGAAGTATCAAACATGTTATCGAATGTAGGAACTGTGCACCGTTGTGGCATTTAACTTCAGTATAGTTGCGGGAAAAAGATGACCATAAGCGATTGATAAAAGAGTCATTAACAATACTAGGTCACGGGAACGCAGTTAATAAGCCGTCGTTTGGGTTGGACAAAGAACTTCGGAGTTTTCTTAGGCTGTGAAAAGTTCTGACCTTCAAGGTTTATCTTTGTAAGTTTTTTTGTTTTTTTGTGTGCGTGTGTTAATGGGTTTAGGCTTTCCAGTGTGTTTGGCGGTCGGGTAGCGAGGGGTCAAAGATAAGAGAGGTGCATGACGCAGAGTCCGTTGTCCTTGTATTTAGTCAAAGGTTACATTGGTGGAAAGTGGCATTCTTTGGGGTTCTCACCTTCTCCCCCTTTTTTTCTTTTGTATCGAAGTGCCTATATAACCAGATTTTGAAAATAAAAATTTCAGCTGTGTTAGAGACTTTTTAGTGTTGTGTCGTTTACCCGCAGTCACGGGTTTTTTTCAACCATGTGCAATGTACACCAGCTCGTTTGCGCCCTTACTTTTTGTTCATAACAAGATGCATTGCTCAACACCTAGCTCTTCTGAAAATGAGAACCTGTGCGAGTACTTGAAACTTGACCAAGTAATCTTTCAACACAGCCCAATGCGCCCACTTCAACGACATACTGTGATCAATACTCGAGTTTCCTAGCATAACCACAAAAGAAAATAGTGCCAGTTACTGCAATTTGTTTACCTGAACATATATTTTATATTATTTATTTAGAACATACTGCAGACCAATAAATGGCCCAAGCAGGGGTGGAAAAACAAAAACAATACATACAAAAGAAGGCACTCTGAAACCAAATTAACAGAAAAAGAGGTTGAATCATATTCACACAGACATATTGCCTGAAAAACACCCCAATTTTTTAACAAGCCCAATTTTCGAAATGAAAATTGCACCCGTACCAATATCACATTGATCTTTCATCTCAGCTTCAAAGGACATAAAGAAAACTGTTTTTTTAATGCCAGATCAACAGAGGCTTGCCTTAAAGGTGGTGACACCAGAATCACACACAAAAACAAAAAAAAAAACACACACACATAAAAATCAAACTTTTAGGTTCAGAATTTTAAACATTTAATCAGTTCGAAAGCCACAGAGGGTATAATCAGCCTGCGCCAAGTGGCACGCTGGAACAGGCGGCATATGTTGGCCAGTTACGCAGCAACCCCGGCAAGCATCGGTTGGCATTGCGAGAGTCACAGATTGCTGCCCTTATAGCCAGTGTACATGGACACAACTACTATGTTGTGCCACGATGTCAAGGCATCTCCAGTCCTGTAGCCCCATACTGCTGCAAGAGCACGTGACTTTGTCTCGTGTCTAGCTCGCATGCGCTCTGGTACAAGGGAGACGGCAACTGAGGCACTGCACTCATGCTCGTAACCTTAGAGAGCCTTGGAGCACTGCAGAAGCTATGCTAGCCTTGACGGTGTGGCACAATGCAGCTGACTACAAGTATGCTAAATACAGTCAGGGTGCAGCTGAGCTGGTGTAAGTTTACCATTTTGTTAAAACATCTGAAACCGAGGCACTGCACTCATGCTCGTAGCCTTAGAGGGCCTTGGAGCACTGCAGAAGCTATGCTAGCCTTGACGAAGTGGCACAATGCAGCTGACTACAAGTATGCTAAATACAGTCAGGGTGCAGCTGAGCTGGTGCAAGTTTACGATTTTGTTAAAACATCTGAGACTGGGCAAGAAAATCTTGAAACAACCAAAAGCAGAAGAGACAGGGGAAAGAGTCAGTCAGAAGGTGTCCCAGATAACTTTCACCAAACTTTACAACAAAAACGGAGCGCCCTGTGAGAGTGAAACCAACTGTATGTTGTTAGAAAGCGACTTGGGAAAGTGCAGAATATTTTTTCAGTGTGCCTAATTCATTAATTAATACTAATTAGCTATTTTCTTAATTAGCTTAAGAGCCGAGGTGCGAATTGAAAAGTTGCAGAGCGTACTGAGGAATACCCAATTAAGGTATTTCCTACATGATACGCTTTATGCACTTCTTTTCATTAGCCTAAAAAGAAAGCCCGTGAAGTATAAAAAAGACCACGTGACAGTGCTCCCGCTCGTCGTGCTTACAGCGCTCTCAGACATGCTCTCAAGGTATGGTGTCCACCTTATCCCTGGTGCACTGTCCAAGACAGGGCTTTGCAGCAGCAGGGGCTCGCGCTTACCTTCGGGGACTACCCCAACACAAAGCCCTGCCTTGGACAGTGCACCAGTGATAAGGTGGATTTCGTTCCTTCAGAGCACGTCTAAAAGCGCTGCAAGCGCGACACGCGCGCACATTGTAATGTTTCTAGGGCGCAGCTCTTAAGGCGCTCGTTTCCGGCTTGAGTGGCATCGCCATCACAGTCGGCGTAACCACGCGGTGCATCATGGGATATATCCCATGATGCACCGCGCAAAACCCTCGTGACATCACACGTGACGTCATGAGGGTCCCGCGCGGCGAATTATGGGACATTTCCCATGATGCAATGCGTGGAGAGGAGAGGGAGGCACAAAGAGGGGGAGAAGGACGAGGAAGAGGAGAAGGGAAGAGGGGAGGAGGAGGGAGAGGAGGAGGAGGGATGAGGAGACGGAAGAGAAGGGAAGAGGGGAGGAGGAGGGAGGGGGAGGAGTGAGGAAAAAGAGAGGAGAGGGGCTTAAAGGATGAGGGGAGGAGGAGGATGTAGAGGAGGGAAGAGGTGTAGCAGGTAGGATGAGGAGGTGAGGAGGAGGGGTATACCCTCCCCACAGTACCCTTCCCTCCCCGGCCTCAAGAGCTGCACTCTAATTCGGCATTACAAGGTGTTGTAAATGGCTTTAATTTTCTTTTAAGTATTTGGTGAACATTTTTTTTAGGCTAATAAAAAGAAGTGCACAAAGCATATTATGCAGGAAACACCCTAATTGGCTGTTTCTCAATACACTCTACAAGTTTCCAATTCACATCTCCACTCTTAAACGAATAATTAAAAAATAATCTAATTAGTTTGAACTAATTATCTAGGCGCACTGAAAAAAAAACTTGCACACTTTCGCAGAGCGTTGCGTTTATTTGTAAAGTTTGGTGCAAGTTATCTGGGACACCCTGTATGAGAGGTTTACAAATAAACGGATTAGCTGAGTGAGTTTGAGACGTCGTCTGACTGACTTCGTTCCCTATCTCTTCTACTTTTGGTTATTTCAAGATTTTCTCACCCAGTCTCAGGTGTTTTAAGGGGGGACACGGGCTCCAATTCCCGATTTTTTTTTAAAAAGTGCATTTTTCAAATTTGTTATATCTGATTTCAGAAACTAATAATGCACCCTTCCATAAAATTTCATGCCCGTACGTCGAGTATTTAAGCAGATATAAAAGATTTTCGACAGGTCGGCGACGCGCCTCCTATCCCCGAGTCGTTCCGTCGCGCGATCGGTTGACAATATTCGCCATTTTCAAATGCCGACCGCTCCGCGCCCATTTGGCCTACCGCGATGTTGATACCCTCGTTGGAAGCGTCGTTTCTTCGGGCTTTTATGACGATAGTAAACTTCGTTCGAGAGTAAGCATGAACAAAGCCAGAGCCCTCTAGTTGTCGGCTATAATTGGCTTAAAAACGAAACTCAAGCCTGGATTGGTCCGTGACACCCCACGTGATCCGCTCGCCCGAATTGTTGTTTCGTCTCGTTGCTTCGGCCGAACGTTCGCTTCTTTTGCTTGCTCGTTATATATTTCTCACAGTTTTATCGTTTTATCTACGGTCTCGTCGCCGCGATGCCGGCCGTTAAACGGCATTCCCTCCAAGCCTTTGGAGCTCGCCGCCGTTCTGTGAAACCAAGAGGCTCGTCAGGTGGACGCGTACGATGCGCTAACCCTAACGGAACCACGTCGGACGCGTCAGCTGCTTCGCTCCCGAGCGCGTCACCATCTCCCGGTTCGTCGCTTCAGGACCTGACCTCTGAACAACCAGCCGACGTTTCTTCGTCTCTTCCTGAAGATTATGAGGTTGTGGAGGAGCTCACGGCGATAGAGCGCAAGATCTCGCTACTGCAAGAGAGCGATCCCGCTGCGGATCCCACGGACGCTCCCGCTGCTCCCGACGGTGCCCCAACCGAAGGTTATCGTCTGGTTGCTTTATCTGCCATCGAGACACTGGTGTCCGCTCTTCTGTGCCCAGTGTGCCGTGGATCAGACCTTCAGCTAAGCGAGAGTGGCAAGGGAGTTCAGGCGCAATTCGTCGTCGTCTGCCCAGACTGCGGGGACGTTGCTCGGACGCCGCACTCGTCGACCATCGGACACTCGCGGCAGAATGAATTGGCAGCACGGATTTCTCTTGCGTCTCGTGAATGTGGAATCGGATACACGAAGCTTACGAACATTTTTGCCGGTATCAATGCTCCTTCGCCCATGCATCTCCGATCTTATCAAGATCTGGGAGAAAAGGTCCACGACGCCTCAGTGAGAGCAGCCAGCAACGTAATGAGCAAGGCAGCAGAAGCTGTACGAGAAACACGCGAGTCAGATAGCGGCGATTTGATGGACGTTTGTGTGACATACGATGGCACTTGGCATAAGCGTGGGCACACTTCACACTTTGGTGTTGGAGTTGCCATCGAGCTTGAGACTGGACTAGTTTTGGACTATTCTGTCCAGAGCAATTATTGCCATGGATGTAGCCTTGGACCTGCGCAGGGATCTGACAGCCATGAAGACTGGGCCGAAAATCACAGGGCAGTATGCCAGAAGAATTTTGCTGGGTCTGCAAATGCGATGGAGCTGCAAGCAGCAGACGAGATCTTCCGTCGGTCCGTCCAACTCCACAACCTGCAGTATGTGACAGTGCTGTGCGACGGGGACAGTAAAGCCTTCAACCATGTTGCGGGACTTGATCTTTACGACAAGGGCATGAGGAAAGAAGACTGTGTGAACCACGTCGCCAAAAGAATGTATGCTGGCATGGAGGCCCTAAAGAAAACAAAAAAAGGTCTCGGTGGAAGGGGCAAACTAACGAACCTTGTCATGAAGAAATTGACCAGCTACTATGCATCTGCACTGAAGACCAGTGCCCCAGACGTGCCAGCCATGCAGAAGGCAGTGTTTGCCAGCCTCCTCCACAGCTACTCCACCGATGAAGAGCCCCGGCATCAGGCCTGCCCTCATGGAGAACATTCCTGGTGTCACTTCAATCGCCAGAAAGCGCTGGAGGCAGCAGGAGAGCCGACGAAGCCACAGCCACACCGCCCTGCCTTCTCCAGAGACATCGCAAAGGAGTTGGTGCCCCTCTACAATAGACTCTCAAGGCGGTACCTACTCGAGAGGTGTGCTAGGATGGGAACGCAGAACAACAACGAGTCGTTCAATGCTCTGGTGTGGAGGCGGTGTCCCAAGACGGATTTCGCCTCTCGAAGAACAGTGGAAACTGCCGTGGCTCTTGCCGTCCTGGAATTCAACCTGGGCCCCAAGGGCTTTGAGAGGGCCCTTCATGAAATGGGAATCGAACCCGGAAGCCACCAGGTTCAGCACGCTGACAAGGCCCTCCAAGCCAAGGTCTCCAAGGCGAAGCAGAAGGCCCTCAACTCTTCGAAAGTGGCCCATAAGCAAAGGAAGCTGGCAGCAATCGCCAAGGCACAGAGGGACCAGGCAGCCGAAGGGGAGACCTACTCTGCCGGCGCCTTTTAGTGGACACAGACTGGGCCAAACTAATAAAGTAAAGGTGCTCAATGTTTGAATGCGTTTTTCTCAGTTTCACTTTTTTGCTGCAAACTTTGTAGCAAGGAATCTATCGTTTGATGGTAAACATATCCAGGTGCCTCGTTCAAAGTGTTTCTGAACTGAAATTTACTGGGGAATTGGGCTATCTACTTCATTTTGTTTTAAGTTGAAGTCATCACTGAGAAAAAGTGACATTTTGGCAAAATGGCATTCAAAGAAAGTGCATATCATTTTTGGAGACAGAATTTCTCTCCGAAATATTTACATTTTAATCATACAAATTAGATAGCCCAAAGCCACATACCCTCTACTTCATATCCAAGCAATAAAAACAGTGGTTTAACATTTCATTTTCATACGATAGATTTCCTAAGGAAAGGTGCCACAGCCTCATACACAAATATGTAACTTTTTACATAATTCTCCTATAGAAGTCAAAGTTTGCACAGTGTCCCTGCATCTGCTCATAAATGCACTCTCCAAATTTCGTTAAAATCGGACGAGGAGTTCAAAAGTTAATAATTACGCCAGTGTCTCCCCTTAACAAACTGTTATACAAGTGAGGTGCTGGACGGCATGCCCACCTGGGTAGACAGGCCTCGGCCATCCACTGCAGGTCCATGTTGCAGGCGAGGAGCGGCACATGTGGGTAGGGCACGGACGGGGGCGCCGTGCAGGGAGAGCCATTTGTCATCAGCACGTCCATGATCAGCTGCAGGCTCGTCTCCCACCTCACGGGCTCTCCAAACAGCACCACCGCTGAAAGAGTCACGGCAGAGAGGTGTCACCCCGCTGTCTCCATCGATCCTGCTGCCGCACTTGTGCACAAGCACGACCGTGACGAAACGAGCACGAGATAGTAAAGAGGAGAATTAAACTCGAATGAAAAATTAGGCTTCTTTCATGTGCCTAGAAGGTTGACCTGTGTTTATGTACAATTCCTTTATCAGAAACAAAAAAATTAATACAATGTCCACATATTTCTTTCATTTGTGAGTACACCAACCCTGCTCTTACACCAGGCCAGACCACTGGTGCTTTTGGCACAATTCTGGCACTAAATATAGAGCATCGCATGTGACAATGTGGTGTTGATGCACTCCCCCGAGAAAGTTAGGGAGGGAAATAAGTATGATTTCTAGGTTCTTCTCACCCTACCAATCAGTCAGCAAGAGGGTAGAATCACTGTAAGACAACATTCAACTTTAATGACATACAGTAGAACCCCATTGATACAGATATCTGGTTGGTATGCTTTCTTCAAAAGGCTGTTGCTCTTCAGAAGTTTATACAAACATTTCTTTCACAGCGTCAGGCACGTAGCCAGGGGGGAGACCCATGGGGCCCGGGCCCTCCCCGAAATCTTCCATTTTGCTGGGACCTCCTCTCCCCCCTTCGCCTTATACAGCATTTTGTCATGGGCGCCCCCCCCCCCCCCCCCCCCCTTCCCCCGAAACAAAATCCTGGCTACGCACCTGCACACCATCCTTAGTCGTCCTAGTTCTAAAAATCACTCCTCAACCATGCTGGCTACGCCATTGTCTAAACTTCCAGACGATGACACCGCGATCGTCGCAATCTTGCAAGAAACTAACTAAAAAGTTGAGAGGAGACACTTCACAAAATGGTTGGATGGCAGTAGCTAAGATAAGATAGAGCCAGTTTCCTACTCCAGATAAGGTCCCATGATTACTGTGTCAACGACAAGTGTCTACGCCATGATACTTGTGCTGCACCATCAAATAACAAAGCTTCATAGCTTTGCACCGGTGCGCTTGTCAAGCTTCACTACCTAGCACCGGTGTGGTAAAAACAGCAGCTGACCCAATGGAGCATTTGGGCTAGCACAATGACTAGGAAAATTTCCTAACTCATATAGATGAACATTCTTTAGTTTCAATCATGAGTTAATCCCTAATTTAATAAAAAAAAATACAGTGAAGACAGATTTTCTTAAACCTATATTTAAATATGATGCAGGTGGGCAAGTGAGAAATCGTAACAACCACAAAGACATGTTATCCCTCTCTATATACATTTCAATATCCGTATTCCCAGCCAGGAAAGTTCACGCGAAATAAATTGTTGTGCGAGAGTAGCTTCTTGTTCCTCTATAGTCCACAAAAGCATATCGCTTGTCATATTTTCCCCTGATCATATGGTCTTTACTGCTGTCCTGTTAAAACATCAATAAGGTTCTACAGTAGAATCACCTGCGCAACAAGCCCTTTAATGATTGAGTTGAGGTAGTTTTGTCGCTACATTAATTATTTATGAAGGTTAACCATTACTGCGAATGTTCAGCTGGCATTAGCTTTTGCAAATCACACCGACAAAGTGGCAAGCGTCTTTGCACTCAAGAAAGAATAGGCCTTCAATGCAAGCCAGGCTGTCATGGCAACAAGTGTGCTGGTCAGTGTCCTGCCGTTGCATAGACCTACTGGGGACATGAAAATAAGAAGCGAGCACACAAATGGCACCAGCGACAGATGACATTTCGCCACCATGTCCAGATATAAGGTTATGAAAGCAAGATGGTACGACCAGAAACAGAACACAAAAAAGTGTGGTTGTCGTCAACATTGTTGTCCTCAATCCTCTAATGGCAGCAACATATCCAAAGAGCCTGCCTGGTGGCGTGGGTTGGTGTGTGTTTTGCCCTCACCCCTACTGTGCATGGGCAGCACTGCTAGCGGTGCCAAGATTGCAAGCACGAGTTGGTGCACAGCTGGTGCCCTGCATTGTCTCAAATTGCTTTCCCAGAAATGAAGCAGCCCACGTTTTATTCCAGATGACCAGAGTTTTGTAGTAAGTTTGAAGATAAAGTTTGCAGGCACCCTTCTATCATTTTAAGTGGCCTCTCCTAAAAGAACATACATATAAAATTTTTATAGAAAATATATAAAAACTATTAAAAAAATTAAGTATGAAAACATGGCTCAACCATAAAACACAGGTAAAAATTGGCAGCAGCAAGAGAAAAACTACCGAGCATCCTTAGAACAGTGATCAAAGTTTACAAAAAGAATTGGCATAGTAGCTGGTAAAGTGACAACACAATAAAGACAGTGTATAAAAGTTCAGGATAGTTCAAACACACGTAATAAAAAAGTACTTGTTCACTACTGTCGAGACCGGTTATAACGAAGTCGGTTATAACGAAATAGCGGCTACAGCGAGGCGATCACGATTTCCCGTTCCCTTTTGCACTTCGTTATAACCAAAGTCAGTTATAACGAAATGGGGGATATAGCGAAGCGATTTTGATTCCCGTTGACTTCGTTATAACTGGTCTCGACAGTATACACTTTCCACCTACCGTCCATGTAATTTTTGTGATTTTGGGCATGCTATGCACCTAGCGTCTTCAATTAAAGTCCCCCAGCAAGACACAGACTGCCGTCCCGCATCAATCCATTTATCAGGATTGCAGGATCATAGCATTTTGCTTTGCCTAAATTGAAACCTCACAATGCTCCAATGTCACAAAATTTTTTCCCAACTGATTAAGCAATCTATTATTGCAGTAATCAATCTAAAAATGCACACCACTCTCAAATCTGAATTGCAGCTCACCTTCAACTCTTGGGAAGTATCGCTCATAGGGCGACGGCTTCACAGAGAAAAAGAGAGAGAGGGAGAGAGAGAGACACAAATTCAGACTGAAGCAAAAGGAAACATCAAAATTCACCAAGAAATAACTTCCACCCAAACTGTATAAACCCTTGCACCAAAGAAAGCTTTCTCTCCTCACTCACCTCTGTTTGTCTTCGCTTATGATCGACGGCATCCAAAAGGGGGAAATGTGTACGCAGATGATCCACTGTAGACACCTTACGAAACCCAAGCCTGAAGAAGCAAATAAGCAAAACATATTTCCTAAGGTCCTCTGCAGTCGTGGAACTCCCATGAACTGACACTTTCTAGACGTAACCGTGATCAGAAGTGCTAATTTTCTAGGTATGGCATTGCATGAGAACACTATCCAATGAACATTGATCAGGAACAGCAACATCCCATCAGAGTGCCTTACATAGGACAGCATCCAATCAGTGTGCTCCACACTCAGCAGTAGTAGAGTAGTGCACTCCAAGGGTGTCCAATGAGCATGCTACATATTACAGTAATGTGGTCCGTGCCACTTCAGCTTAGCAAGAGTGTGCTATAAAGGTTGCAAGTACCTTGCTTTGAGATCTGCCTTGGATGCAGAAAAACCTTCCAAATCCGTGCTGAAGGGCACTTTGTAACACGCAGCAAAAGTTCCCTAGACCATACTGATCAAACAGAAGATTCCTTGACCAATAAATCAATCAAACAGTCAACGAACCAAATGTGCCAGCAGCACCATCCATGTAAAAGGAGGTAACCATGTGCACAATGATGGAACGCCGGTGAGAAAAAGCGGGAGGGGATGTTTTTAGTTTTTTTTACCTGATCCCCAAAGGTCATCCTGGTAATATCTCACAATACCTCGTGATAGTTAGGGGGAGAAAATTGGCTTAGAAGGGCGGGAGGAATCAAATGTTTGACTTTCTTACACTTAGGCTAGGTGGTGCAAGCTACCGCCCGCTACAAAGGATATAGCCAGTAACATCCATCCAACATCCCTCCATCCATCCACCACCTTCAGTGCCTCTTTAGCCAGGCACACAACTAAACAAAACTTTGCACACGAAAATCTATGTTTCCCAGGGTGTATAGTTGCGTTACTTGACATCTCCAACTCAATTCTTCCTTATCCCAGGCCAGACCAGGGAGCGAGCACTGCATTAAGTGGAACTGACCCATGTGCTATGTCCACGATGGGACCTTGACCCGAAATGAGGCAGTGCTTGTCGTGAAATTGCTGGAACATGCGCAGTGGGCTGTGCGACATCACAACTTGGTGCTCTGTGATCTTGAAAAGAAAAAGAAGAGAACAGCTTTAATACAACGAGGCAAGAGTAGAACATCTGCTGCGTCACCACCATTAAAAAATAAGCAATGCCAGAGTCCGAAATAACAACCGACTTTTGTCTTTCACATCACCTCCAGCACTGAAGAATATAAGGACATCAAAGATGTTTGTCTATTTTATTAACTTTAAGCTTTTTTCTTTGTTGTCAATAAGTTATTCCTGATTCTAGACTTCAAAATCTATTTTAAAGTGCTACGCTTTATAGTATTTATTTATTCCTTATGTTAACAGTGTCACAACTGCTATACCCTTTCCATTCAATGCGCCTCTTCTGCACAAATGTCTGTTAAAAAGGAATACTTCCACAAAGCTTACAATCACCCAATTTTTACTTCACATCTTTGACATTTAAGGTTGATTTGGGTTGTTTTGTTAGAAAAAAAAGCTCAGTCAGAAATTAAAGGATTATCTGCAAACTTTTTTGGGGACAGGCGGTCATTCAAACTATCAATTCAATCTTTCCGGTCACCTGGTTTAAAAAACTTAAAACCTCGAATGGAAATTTATAGATTCCAATTATTTTTATTTCTGGAGTTTTCAATTCATAAGCAGATTTACAGGCAAATGTAGACAGTTTGTATGAATGCATGAGTGCCAAAGGCAGTTTTCATTAGATGAAACCACTGCCTTTGACACTAACGCTTACATACTTTTGCAGCAAACTTCTCGTAAGATCGAAATTGTATGTTGCAAACCTTACAGAATATCTAAATTGATTGTTGCAAACCGTTCAAAAGATCTAAGAGTGTTGCAAACTTTTCAACTGGCTCGAACTTTTTTAAATGTTTGGATGAAGGGGTTAGAAAAGTGATCTGCAAACGATTTGAACTCATCAAACTCAAAGATTCGAAAAGTTTGCAGCTCTGAAACCAATTAAACCTAAAGAACTTGAAACCTTCCAACGCGTTCAAACTTAAACTTTGGAAGGAATGCCCCTATACTTTGTGTCACTAGTTGCATGCAGTACAGGCAAAGGCAACGCCACGCGAGGGGAGAAAAAACAAGCACTAGGAAGGCTGGGGAGGAGGAGAGAAACCTCCTCTCCTCTCTAACGTTCCTAGTGCTCGCTCTTTCTCTCTTTGCCTGGCGTTGCCTTCGCCTGCACTGCACACAACTAGTGACACAAAGTATAGCCAAGACCATGATTTCTGCTGAGATTCAGAGATTATTCCCTTACCTTGACTCCAAGCCACTGAGACAGCTGGGCTGCCTTGTCCTGCCTCCGTGAGTTTCCGGCATTGGTCACAAAAATGGTGGGCACTCGAAACCTGCCGTTAGAGTCCACCAATTTTTGGAACGCCTTGATGGCATGCGAGATCACCTTGCGGCCACGCACTATCACCCCGTCAATGTCGAGCAGTAGGCCAAAGTGAGCCATTGTACTGGCAATAGGATTACTGATCAGTCCGTTCCCGAGCTGGCCAAGCTGGTACCAAAATGCTTTAGGCTTGTTTTTGGTTCAGCAACTGTAAAAGAAAGTTGTAGAAAAAGGTCCAAAAAGCAAATGAGACATTCAATGTTTAGATAGTGAAAGGTCGGACTGTCTTTTAGGTATGGCGACACTGGTACATACTGTGGAGGAGCAATTTAGTCGGTGCAGTGCGACGGCTAACCTAAGGTCTTTAATAATGTGCATCATGCGGGAGGGGTTGCACGAGTGCATGCCGATACAATGCCCATCCACAGAATAATGGGTGGCGGCAAGGATTGAATCAAGCAGCCACGATAAAAACAGAACTATAGGAACCAGATAGTGAGATCTCCATTCAAAAACAAGTAGAGTCCAGATATGATTTTGAGCGATCTATCTTAGCTCTCTTTTATCATATTGTCACAATGCTTAGTGCATTACTGATGGTGACCAAGGGCAATCCTGTCCTCTCGTCACTTTGATGGAGCCAGTCTATTCCGTCTGACAACATCAAAAAGACAATCGGCTTCAGGCAACTGACCAATTGAGGATCCCGGTCGGACGACACACTCGCAGTTGTTATTGAAGACGAGCGCCGTTACACAACTGTTTTCGAAGCGGCTTCCGTGCCATTGAGCAATGCAACGGCGGATCCCACACGTCAGAGCCTTGCCTCACGTACAGGGATGGAGTCCGCGCAACGACTGCAGCAAAACGTAGTGCCTGCTGCACTGCCCAAGCGGCCTCTCTCACTCGAAGGGCGAACGCGACCTTGCGATCTATGCCGGTAGCGGTACGGTATCAAAGGCCGGTCGCGCTGTAAAAAAAGCTAGCAACGACGCTAATAAAAAGCACGCCGTCAAGATCGCGAGGTTCAAAGAACGCGTCGCGCCTGCCAACAGGAACAAGCACCGCCCCGCCTGTCCTTATACGCAAGACACAACTCGTCACCCGGCGCACGCAAAAGTGAACAGCTGGGTAGGTACGGAGAGGTAAAATTGCCGCGCTCTCCAAGGTTGCTGCTGGGGGCACTGGGGGTCCGTATACATACCCTGTCGTCGGTGATATGGCCGGGATCGTTCCCCTTCTGAGAGTTCACGATCACGGATCGCGAGGACGTCGTACGGCCAGCCAGCCGTGACAATTCGAACGAGCCAGCTCATCATCATACGCGAAGTGTCATTCCCCATAGCGAAGGAGAAATCCAGTCGGAAAAAAAAAGGTAAGGTACGAGGCAAAAGAAAAAAAAAGGTTGAAGGACAGCTGATTCTCAACTGACACTTGGAAGCGCGTTCTCCCAGCGTCATCAAATCGCGCAAACGCAGCCAATGATGTTTCATTGCGGTCGGGCATAGCAACAGGGCTCTGTGCCAGATGCGGCGAACCCTTTGAGAGCGCTGAATGTCCAATTGAGACAAATTAATCAAACGGCAGTTGGGAGCAAATTTCCGCCGCCGTCTTCCCCCACCCCCACCGTTTCCTCCCGCTCAGCTTTTGGATGGGGAAATCCCAGGAACAAGGTGGCCCGTAGTAACAACGGAGCTGGGCTCCGACATACCTGATTTCATGAGATTCACGCTTGACCCCGGGTCTTCTGAAGAGCATCAGAAGATTCAGGGTATTCGACACGGCTGAGGCTGTTGCCAAATTCCAAAAAAACGGCTTCCTCTACTACACCATGGCGACCGAGGAGACTTTCCTGGCAAAAGAGGAGGTGTGTTCCCCAGCGGCCAATCAACGGCTCGTTCTTCTCTGACGTCACAGTTTTCGGCAGCTGACGATGCGCACACACGTGGACTGTCATTTGTAGCTTTTGTAGCTATATTGCCTGATTTTCGGAATGACGTCGACCCCGTTCGTTGGAGTTTTGATCGTTTTTTGTTTCGCCCGCTTCCAAGAAAATACCGGTCGAGGTTATCCGCGTGTGATGCGGCGGTCTGACGTTGGTACGCGTTGGGTCGTGCCACAATCGCGTCCGCTTGAGTTTTTGTAAAGTACAGCGCTGGATTCGTGATTTTCGAGGCCGCGGCCAAACGAGAAATCTCATCGCACGCAGGGAAAGCTCTCCATGGTTTTTATCGACGTGTCTGCAACCGCGTCTGCCGCTGATAACGCAGTGGACGCGTGTTTGCGGTATCCCCTGTTCTCTCGGTTTAACATCTACAAGTACAATAGAAAGAATACAAAAAGAAGGCCATACTTTGTAGCAACACGGTACGTGTCAGGAGAGCACGGCGACTGTTATCTTAGCTTCCTGTTCTCGGCGGTCGCAGACCGCGAGGCAAACTAACGACAACGCCATTCAATTTTCTCTTTTTTATTTTTTTCGTTGGTCGCGCTTTTTACAGAACGACTCCACCTCCAGACTCCGGGCTGGGCCAGCTTGGTCGAAAACCCGCTGTGTTCTCTAAAATTAGAGCTCTCTGGCATTCCGTTCCCAGCTTCTTCCGCCAAAGATTGTGACACCGCGGCACTAATGGACAGGGAGTGTTATTAAATACAGCTCTTTGTTCGCCGAAGCGACATAAGTTTCCCGTTTTACCCAAACAATATTCTTCGAATTGGATTTGGATAATTAACAAAATCCCACCCCAAGACTGTTTCAGTTACCGCAGTTATTAAAATGGTACACGGCTGGTAGTCGTCTGCTTTTTGCGCAGGACGTCAAAACGACGCCGAGCTCTTGTTGGCTGATTGAAACAAATAGTGGGTAGACGTCAAGCCATCTAGCCTTGAGGACTACCCACTATCCTTTCAATCAAAGCTAATCAGAGCTCGGCGCCGTACTGACGTCACCGCAACTCTGCATCGGAGGAACTAGGGGAACCGCACAGCGAGCATATCATGAAAACGAAAGTAGAAAATCTGAACCGAATGCGTGGATCATCCTTGAGCTATCTTCAATTACCCTTCAGCACAGTGACCAGTACGAATGAATGTGGGATAAAAATTTATAAAGCGTAACACAAGATAAGAAACTACAACAATAACACAAAGTTTTGCTCGACTCCGCAAGTCTCAACGCGCCGACTACGGAGGATTTCCCTGCCTTCGTCCACGAACAGTGAAAGAAAATGTCTGCCCCCACTGTTCCGGCATGAATGTCGGCGAACGTCGACTGGCGATATGAGTTCATAACCGTAGGACCTTAATCCTGCAACTTCAATCGTGAGAAGCCTCATAAACGGGCACGGAAAGCTAACATGTTGATTCTACGATGTTTTTTCGGCGCGGCCAATCTCGGCCGACTCATCCCCGTGCGCCGATTCACGAAGGGGTCGTCCAGACTCTTCGACCTCGACATCGAATTCTACTGCAACCCGCAGAACCGGCACGTCATCGAGGAAAACTTGAACCGCCGCGGCTACGAGGCGGACCTGGACCAACTCAGCAAACTCTGGGATGAACTCAAGGTGAAGCCAGAGTCCAACGAGCGACTGCGGCTCGATCTCTTGCGCGCCGTCGCTCGCCTGCCGAACGCTACCCACCCCGACGTCTTGGCGAACGCGACCGGCAACCCGGTAACGGTCGAAACGGTCGGCGAGAAACCGGCTTTCGACTTCGTGCCGAGACGTTTTGAAGTGCTCATGAACAAAATGGGCCTCTTCCAAGCGGACCCCAACTATAACGTCCTGTGCGGTGAGCGTACCTACTTCCTCCGCGGAGACCTGGCGCATCTTGAACAAGCTCTGGTTCACTACACGTTCGATCGGTTGCTGGGTTTGGGCTTCACACCGGTCACCGTGCCGGACGTGCTGCACCCGGACGACCTGGAGGCTTGCGGCATGGCTACGACGGGGCAGCGGAGCCAGGTTTACCGTCTCAAGACCCACTGGGGCACGGAGGCCTGCTTGTCCGGCACGTCGGAGATGTCGCTGGCGAACCTCTACCGCGACCAGTGCCTCACTTCGACCGACCTGCCGATAAAGATGGTGTCCGTGAGCCGCTGCTACAGGGCCGAGATCTCGTCGGTTAAGGTGAGCAAGCTGACTTGCTGGGAAGGATGCTGCCTGCGGTCCAAAGCCCCATTGTCGCTGGGTTAAAAAAGAAGCAGCGGATAGCTTTTTGTCCATCCAGAACGGTAGCCACGAGCAGGATGCTTCCAGTTCAATGTGCGACTGCCACAAATTATGGGTATGTGTAGCACCGCCAATCCTATGCGGAGAGCGAGTCATCTGCTTCGTGGACAGGAATCGTGGTGACGACACAATGTCGCTAAGCTCTGATTGGCTTTGATTTAAAGGATAGTGGGTAGGCCCTAATGCTAGATGCCTTGAGGTCTATCCACTATTTTTTTTTTTTTGATCAGCTAATAAAAGCTTGGCGTTTTGACATCATCGTAACCCCTGTGCAAGAAGCAAAGAAACTTGTGCTCAGCATAGACACAGTGTATGCTCAGCTTCGGATGCTGGTTATAACAGTCTGAATTTCTTATTGATTTGAAAGTAAGCCTTGCACAAGGGAAAGACTTGTGGTTGTCTGAACCCCCAACAGAGATCCACGCAGGTCAGCAGAAACTGCAGTTGTTTTAGCTCCATCACAACCGACTGTGGTCTCTATTAAGGATAGTCGAAATGGGTATTATTTTTGGTTATCAGAGAGCACTATCTACTTCTTTATTGCAAATTCTCATTTCTTACACCAATGATATTACTGAACAGAAAGTCAAGGTGCAAACGAGCTGGTGAAGATTAGACATAACTAAGGTGATATCCAGAGAGATAGCCCACCTAAAATCGAAAGCTAATCAGGTGAAATATGGAGTGGGCTAACTTTTGGTGTGCAGTAAAAAAAGTTGAAAAAAATGCTAGTTTTAGATTTTGTGTCCTGCGAAATTTGTGATTTTAGGGAGGAGCAATGAACCAAAAACGGCCGTCCTTCCCATTAAAAAATGTTCGCTTATCTCCCGCTGTGGCTCAGTAACACCATTTCTGGCGAGGTCACCAGTTACTAAAAGTCACCTAGTGTCTATATAAAAAAAAAAAAAAAATCATGCCAAAATTAGGGGTTGGTGGGCATCTCTGAGGAACATTAATCGGGATAAACCCCAAAAATTAACTCTCCCGCCAATCGCCGGTTTTATCAAAATCGCGGAAAACTGGAAAACACCAAATTTGACCTGCTTGTGAAAAAAAAAAATCTTTATCTAGAGCTCGACTTTGCGTTGACCACAGCCCACGCTGAACTGTGTGCGAGGCTGCTTATTTCTTCAGAACCACATACCTTATCTCGTTTTCTTTTCATATTGGTATCGATAAATTTTCCAAGTATTCGAGTTACGAATGTTTCCTAGGAGTTGGGGGAATCTTATACTCTTGTCGCATTTTCGTAAACCTAAGCCCCGATTTGTTGTCCGACACCAAAAATTGATACCCAAAAACACAAAAGCTGTAGGAAAAAAAAATGAAAGAACTTTTAAAACACAAAACCGTAAACATAACACAACCCTGAGGCTGCAGGAAAGTAAAAGACGACACATACACAAAATCTTTTTGTGTTATTTTTTGCTTGCCTGCAGTCTTGGGGTTGTGTTGTCTGACCAGGGATATCGTAAATAGTATCACTGCAGTCATACATTTGAAAACAAAAATATATAAACATGTTGGCAGACATATCACATAATTTTGCTAGTCATTCGCTTGGTTCGCGGTGTAAACTCTGAACGAGCGTTTTATGTGCTCATTTACAAATCAGCGTTGATGTGTTCTTCCTATGATTTGCTGGGAAGCGGCTGGCACTTTGGGGATATGCCAGGTCTGGCTAGATGGCAGGCAGTAACTGGAAGAGGAGATACCAGTGACAGTACCACAGACCTTTCGCCAACAGTGCTTGGACAAAATCTGACTATCGTTCCGACTGGATGGATCGCTAGATGTTATACATGTGCGTGTTGACTCAGAGCATGTGCAACAAAGAGCCGCTGAAGGTCACCTTCCGCTCTGCAGGGGGTTGAGGTGCTGTGCGCATTAAGGCTGCTTCACACATTTGCATTGACTGCGTTGCACTGCATTGCGTCGTGCAGTACAGCGCCTCCCCATTGGCTCGTCTTAAGGGTTGCCATAGCAACAGCGAGACGCAAACAGTCTTAACGAGGCGCAAGTGGTTGCAGTCGCACTTGAACGCAACTGTGTGAACGACCCTTTAGGGCTCAGGGGCGGTAAGTGGTTTACGACGCAATCTTAACTCTCTTTGTGCAGAGCACGATGGTAGAGCAGGAGCAACCGGCAACAATAAAGAAATTTGTCACCTCCGACGTAAGTGGAAATTGCACAGGAAAAGTGTATTTGCTCTAGCACTAATAAAAAATGGAACTGGCAGAGCAGCTTTAAGCAGGGTAAAATCAGAGAAAAGAGTAAAAACACAGGCTAGTGGCAATGTGCATGGGTGAGCTCGTCGTTTTACGTCCAAATTTTTATCTTCAAAAGTGTACTCTCGTGGACATGAGCATTAAAAACCCGACAGCTTAGGTCCTAGTCTCTAAACTCCTTGACAAATCAAGAGATAACGAAGCTTGCAGGGGCTGCAAGTGTAGTTAGTGCAAGGCCAGATTGAGCATTGCATCTCATATTGCCTGGAACGGGGGTGGGGGGGTGCATTCTCTGGAATGGTATCCACATTTTGTGGAACTACTTCAGATTTGTTTACACATCCAAAATCTATTGTCTGTTTACATTTTAGGCAGTATTGGGCAATATTTTAAGTACATTGTACTTGAAGTACTACTAAAGTAGGTTTAGAAAATTTGCACTTTGGTACTTTCCAAGGACAGTGCAACTCTCGGCTTCAAAGTACCTTCCCCAAATTTGGTCTTACTAAAATTGTGTCACAAACCTTCTCAACTCTGAAGAAATACTGGAAAAGCTACTTTCTCCAGAATACAGAAAAACTGCTCTCACCAGAAACGCGAGCAGACGACGCACCGCTCATGTGGTAATTTTTACGAGTGAAGTAATGACGGCTATGGAGACCAATACAAATAAGTTTCTTACAAGTCGATTGTGTTAAATAGCTCGTCAGCAAGAGTAAAACAACTACCCTGTGGCCAATTGATGTGACTAACCAATATTCACCATAATTTCCAAAAATAACTGATGCACCCCTGAAACAATGCATACCCTTAAAAAAAAAACACTGTATAGGGAAATTAAAGAGCATCATAAGAGATTGTTATAAAGTACTTGTTTTACTTTGAAAGTTCATCGTATTTGCAGTACTTTACTTCCAAGTACCTTGTGCCCAATGTACTTTCTACTTTACTTGAAGTACATAGTCCCTCATTTACTTTTCACATTACTTTAAGTACTTTTTTTTACATACTTTACCCAACGCTGATTTTAGCAGTTCGATATGTGTGCACAAGTTCACTCCAGTAGCATACCAGCATTCACTGGGCCGATAGAGTTACCAAATAGCAATACTATCAGCTATCAGAACAATATGCTCTCCCGCCCGTTGATTTCTTTTGTGTGTGCTTCATCTCGTCGTTCAGCTGATGACGATGCATGTCAGAGCATTAAACCCTCTTAACTAAATTATTTAGCAAAAAATAACTTATTTGTCTAGCAACAATTTTAATGTTGTGTCCACGTGCCTGACTTAAAGGGCTACTCCACAGATTTTTTCATTGTCTCCGATTTGCTTGAAATTTTGCTAAACTAACCAACAAACATCGCGAAAATAGTATCCCAAATATTAGGTCAAAATATTGTTTTTTCGCGAAGTTATTGAATTTACAGTTTTGGTCCTCACCGTGTTTTTCAAGCTCGAAGTCTCTACTGGCAACAATGAAAAAGTGACGTCACTGGAAGGCAGGGGTTCACTCTTTGGGCTGTAGATTTCGTTTTAAACTGATTCGAAGCAGTTTCATGGTGTCAAATGAATGCTTGGGAAGCTCGCTGCAGTACCCGCGCTCCAGCACGGAACAAATGATTGGCATATTCTATTTTTTGGCTGCTTGCTCGACTGGCAAGCCTGCCTGCCACTGACGTCACGGCCTTGAAAAGCGCGCGTATATTTGAATGTTGGTTTTTGCATCATTTTCATTTGCCGATTTCGCAATAACTATTATGAATTTCGCGATTCTAAATAGCATACCGGAGAGAGTAAAAGCCGGGGAGTCAGAAAATATAGTTAGTTGAGGTAGCTCAAAAAATCGGTGGAGTACCCCTTTAATACCAAGTGGCTATAAAGCAGATATAATAGTGCTCGCACTGCAGAGCAATGAGTTTCTTTAATAAGCGGTGGATGGTGTCATCTACACATGGTAAAAGGATAGACAGCGGGGGCTGCGACAGAGAAAGCCCCAATACTCATTCCTAAAATTTAATGTGTGGGTGAGACGAGTTAAACTTAACTGATAATGCAGTGCAAGAAGGAAGATTAATCTCAAATTTGACAGCTCCTAGTTGCAGCAGAACTCTTAATATTCACATGTGGCTTTCAGTAAAAATAAAGAGGCCTTAAGCAGCTCCCTTTTACCCTATATTGGTGGCCCGTAGTAAACAAAACCCAGCACCAGCGTTCACCAACCTCCCACGCCCATGGCCTCTTGCACGCAGTCTGAGAAGGGCCTGTTCCGTGTCCACGCCTTCAACAAGGTCGAGATGTTTGGCATTGCTCCGCCGGGACAGAGCGATGCCCTCCTCGAGGAGTTTGCCCAGATCCAGTGCGACCTGTTCACAAGCCTCGGACTGCACTTCATGGTTCTTGACATGCCCCCGAGCGACCTGGGCCAGCCCGCCTACCGCAAGTTTGACATTGAGGCCTGGATGCCGGGCCACCGAGCCTACGGGGAGATCTCGAGCGCCTCCGACTGCACAGACTACCAGAGCAGACGACTGGGCATCACGTGCCGCGAGTCGCTGGGGGAGACCCCCAGGCATGTGTCTACGGCCAACGGTACAGCGTGCGCTGTTCCAAGAATGCTTATTGCCCTGGTGGAGAGCAATCAGCAGAAGGACAACTCCGTGCTCATCCCGGAAGTGCTTCAAAGTTACATGGGCGGCCGAAGCGTCATGGAGGCGTCCGCCCTGGACAGAACAATGCGGTGGTTGCCCTTTTACTTTATGGAGAACCAATAGTTTGCAGCACCGAGACTATTCACCCAGTGGAATCGGCGCGTTAAAGAGTCGAGGCATGCGTCACGGGTGTGACATATAGTGATTACCTCAGAACCACTGACATCCCAGGTCAAAATCCTAGAATGTCGGTGGTTCAAGGGGTTCCAACCGGTGTAAGAGGAATAGTCAGTGTAAGGAGAAGGGTAACTCTTTTTCCTGTTTGCGAAGATTCTCTAAAGCTAGAGAGATTGGGAAGTCTGCCTCTGTGTGAGCTTCCTATGCTTGTGGTTGACTCTTTGTTATGGCAATGCCACAAAAAAGAGAGATGGGTGATGCATTTATAGCCTAAAAGGAGGCTTCAGTTGCATAAATCCTGACATGACGCAAGCATTTTCCAGAATCGCACGAACTCGTCCATACTTTCTTGTGCACTACTGTGGAAACCTGTCCCAAAGTACTCACTTGGTGATTGCAAGCTGGGAGAAAGGAGGGAACAACAAAATAGCACACTTGTGTACTTAAGGCACTGTTGGGATGCTTTTTGCACACTTTGCCAGGAGCTAAACATGTTGCAGACAAAGATGCTTGTGTGTTTTTGCATGTCTTGTTGTTTGTAACATTATTGTTCAGTCCATTATGGTAAGAACTGTTGAACCGAGAAAGAAAGCCAAGGTGCACATTTCCAGTGGAAGAAGCACAGAGTGGATTTTGAAAAGATTGATATTGAGAATAAAATACCTACACCAATTTTGCCACTGTGATTTTATTTCCCCAAAAATATTGGAACCTCGCAACTAAAATGGGTCATTTCGTGTCTCCCTACAGGGTACTATGTACAAAGCTTCCCCTGGAAGCATTGATCACATTGGCAGACACTACCACAACTTTAACCCTTCTGTACATAAAATTGAAGCAAATGAACATGTGTGTGGAAGCGAATGAACATGTGTGTGTATTCACATGTAGTAGATGTCTCTCAAAAGAAAAGAACAAGCTAATTAAAGCCTCGCAACAGATGGCATTGGAAAGGCCAGAAGCTACTGGAGACCCAGCATTTGTTTCACATCTTCAGACTCCTGCTGTAACACGTCGCTGGCATATTTTTCCAAGAGTTCCAGCTTTTTCCTTCGCACAAGGGCCTCTTCAACCTGAAAAAGACCGCTGCTGTTAGTTGCTTGCTACTAGAGGTGCTGCGAGTTCCTTTCGAATCTAAGGTTCCAAGATGAAACAAGGGTGTTAGAAAAGTTTTGAATTACTACGGTGAAAAATTCAGTGATTTTTAACCTCCTAAACTGTTTTACTACAGCCCGCATATCTTGAATCTCTACTAAAGATGCTTCAATCCCAACATATAAGTATTAATACCTGTTTTGAAACCTTAGCAACCGCTGCACATTACGGTTGACCGTGCTCACACTGTGCTAATAAGAATATGCAATCGTCAAAATTTTTTTGGTAGTATGACTGTAGTTATAGAAGACTGGCCCCAAGCCCCAAGAGGCAAGCCAAGTCAGCTAGTGGCAGTGATGGCTTTTCCTTGAGCCTCGAGCTAGGGTATGCAGCATATACTGTACAGGGTCTTTTTTCGCAGGCTTTACGGATTGATTTAAAAAAAGCTGTGGAAGCTACACTAATATAAATATAGGGGGCTAGGATGAAAGCTACACTTATGTGGTTTGTGCAGGGGAGTTACATAGCCAGGGGGACATAACAGAAGGGGTTACGACTTTTTTTTTTTTAAAGTTGTGAAAGCTACACTAATGTGGTCTGTGCAGGTGAGTTATACGGCCAGGGGGACATAACATAGGGGCTAAGATTGTTTTTAAGAAAGCTGCAGAAGCTACACTAATGTGGTCTGTGCAGGTGAGTTATATGATCAGGGGGATATAACATAGGGGGCTAAGATTGTTTAAAAAAAAAAAAAGCTGTGAAAGCTACACTAATGCAGTCTGTGCGGGCGAGTTGTACGGCCAGGGGACATAATATAGGGGGGTAATCATAACAATAAGATGGATAATTAACTAAAATCTGTTAATTAACTTTTTAATTAGTGAAAATAAACATGGTTTTAATCATAAACTTGCTGAGTACTATTGAAAATTCCTCAATCAGTAAACCATAGAAAGAGTTGGAGCGCATGGGAAGAGGAGTGCGCTCAAGATATCAGGCATGCAACAAGCACAAGGTTGATGGTGCAGAAACTTGTATTTTCACACTGCCAGCCTTGCTATACATACATCTTATTGAACATGAGGGAGGAGGGGTGTATACGACGCAGTCAAGCAGACCATGCCACCCCAACTGCCTGGAACTACTGGTATGGTGTCAAATGTGGCATTCAAGTGGTAGCTCACCTCCTTTTGTGACGGCACAGGGACGTGAGCGATGAACCTTGCTTGCTCCTCTGCAGACTCTGCTGCAGGCTCATCCTCCATTTCCTCATCACTCTGAAACAGCAATAAAGAAATGGATTCACTGCTTCAGTGCACCTTTGGAAAGCAGAAGGATTACCAGCTGTAAAATATGGGAATATAAGTGTTTTTTGCCGTGAACTCTCCAGTGGTACGGAGTTGGAACGATTCCGAAATCGTTCTGCACTTTCGTGCGGAATGGCACGAGGCACAAATCTTCGAGAGAAATGCTTGCACGAACACACTTTTACAGCCAAGCCATAGAGACCAGTGTTGAGGAGTTGCCACTCTGGAGTTGGAATGATTCCGGAATCATTCCGCACTTTCACGACCCCGAAATGTAATGGGAATGGAATGGTGGCAGCACGGGGGGGAATAGAAGGGTTATGGAATTAGATGCCTTATGCACGGAATGGCCAGCGGGCTGATGGCACAATTCGCTAACGCATGGAAAGTTGCCCTTGAAACAGCATCATTGCAGTGGAGGTGACCGACGGCCTGATTGTCTCACTGGCTTATGCTCCTTCGAGGATTACATTGGCAAGTCCTCAGTGAAACAACCAAAGCTGAATAGTTGTTTCAGGACAAGGTGTCATTTCTGGAGCCGCGAGAAGCAACAAAAGCAGCTGTTGTAATTATGCGCAGTTAGCATGTAGCTTTTAACCTGGGTGTCGAACCAAACTCGAACCGAAAACCGCAGCAAAACCGTTATTTTTAACTCAACCGGAAGAAAACGTAACCAAAATCAAACATTTGATATTGAACTTGAACCGGAATGGAACCATCTCATGTGGCAGTTATTGGCTCATTGGAAACAGACCGGTGCAATAAAACGTGAGCCAGGCCTTCTTGCGGGTGAAAGTGCAGAGTCAATTAAATACTTGCGAAAGATTGTGTCAGCCGCTTAATTTTGACCGAACAAGCGGCAGCGATGACATGGAGACAGCTCAATAACAATAAAACAAATACATAAATTTTATGCCGTGCAGCCCGAATTGGCCTCAGCGAGTCGGCACACACTTCTATACACTGATTCATATTACGATGGACTGCAAAGGATGTTACGAGCCACCGGAGTAGATTCATAGCTCGGAGAGTGTCACGTGCCTTTTCAATTGGGTCGAGCGACGTGTTGAGTGCAAAGTCATGAGACAAACTATGGATTTGTTTGTGCAGTTGGTAGCATCCATCGTAAGGTGAAACAGAGCATATCCGACTATGGCGTGAGGCTAAAGAGCTATTCTATGTGCGCTGTGCATCTGTGTGTGTGCATTTTCATTTCTTGCTGTTAAGCAATATTCCTCAAGAAAGGAGAATGCGAACATAGACATCAAAATATAAACAAAAAGCTGACGACTTTCAGCGCATTTGTTCCCCAGTGGCAAAATCTGGAGGCGCCAAGAGGCGAAGCCGCAACGAGCGCAACATTGCAACACCGGTCGCCGGGACGCCAGTCACCCAGAGTCCTAAGCGCTGCTGGAAGAAATTTTTCTGTGCTTGTCTGTGTTTTCTAGAAATAGCAAGTAGCCCGTTGCCTTTTTTATGTCCTTTTTTTGTTTTAATCGTCTTTCAACCAGCCTTCACTGTCTTCCTTCTCTTCAACCCAGTCACTCATGCAAGTCATGCAGGCATGCAGTGTGGATAGTTAAACCGTTTCTATCTGAATAAGCCTCGTACGAGCGTGTAGTCGTGCCAATAGTGCATGATGCCCGTTAAAGACCTTAGGCTAGCAGTCGTATTGCACTGGATCATCTACAGTGGGAAACAATGTTGCCATACTCTGGCCAACTAAACTCCTGTTGTCTAGAAAACCAACGACTAATTTGGTTTTTGTGGGGTAGTTTGCAAGTATGGTGCGTGCTACCGTCACGGTGTCACTGTGCATGCTGGCTGATTGACTTCACATGCGAGTACTGTACTTTGGTACTGTTTCCAAGCGCCTATAACCACGAAATTTCCACAGAATGGTGTTTGTGTTAAATATTCAAGATCACAAAATGAAATTAAGCACCTACTTGTTTTGCTATCCTCGTTTCCGCAGACTTAGAAAAAAATCCCGAGAGATGCCCCACTCCTGAAGATAGCCCACCCCTATTTTTGGCTTGATTTGCTGTATGTTTTTAAACACCGAAAGATAGCCCATTCCAAGTAATACAGTCAAACCCATTTATAACAAACAGCAGAAAATTCTATGATCAGTTCGATATAGCAAGGAATTCGATATAGCAAAAAACAAACTTCCATGATGCATTTGTTTGTTAAAAAGCAACATTTTGGGATACAAATTTAATGGGACCAAATTCGGGGAACGAACTTCGAAGTCAAGAGTTGCACTTTTCTCAGAAAATACCAGAAAAAATACTTTAAGTAGAGTATCAGTACATACTCAGAGTACTTCCCAATGCTGCCCTAGCGTATGAATTATTGTTTCCAAGGCCCATAACAGGCTTCTGTGCTGCTTTACTGCAATAATGCCAAGACTGGGAAGGGTTGCTTGGCCGCCATCGAAGGTAGCCGAGCAACCCTCTTGAGATATAAAAGTTTGAGAACCTCCGTTCCACTGTGAAAGCGATAGAACTTCTCAAACCGCACCTCTGGTTCCACGGCGTAGATGTCCTCTTCGTCCTTGTCGCCCTTCTTGGCCTCTTTTGCGGCGGCCTTGTCTCCCTCCATGGCGGCCCGCTTGAGCATCTTCCACTCCCGGACTGCCTGTGCCACAGCCACCCTCTCCTGCTCCTGCTCCAGCGGCACCAGCAGGCCGTCGTCGTCGTCCCGGTAGCCATAGTAGTCCGCGTCAATGTCCCGCATCACCTCAGCTCGAGTGCGTCTTGGCGGAGGCGGTGCTGCATGTTCGCGACAGTTTGAAAACCGCTTTGCGAACCATAGCAAGAACTGCGAAAGATGAGTTTTGGAAGTTTGTGTGCCAAACTAACAAAGGGCGTCTGGCACGTCTTGGAGAGAGATTGAGGATTACCTTATACCATCCAGGGATCCAAAAAGTAAAATTCGGGTTGATTAAGGGCGTCTGGCACTCCCCAGTGGAGAGCCGAGAAATAATTTCGACCGCCCGCGAAGCTTTTAAAGTGCAACCCAAATCTGGGTTTCATGTCGCATTCTCCGCAATAAGCTTCCGTTGGAACCTGCCACTGAGGTGGCTAATATCCGGGGATCTTTCGACGTGTAACTGAAATTTTGAGTTTACATTGATCAATTTCATAAATCCACATAGAAAATAATGTGATAGTGACCTCTTTGTGGGTGGCCCATGCGCCGCAGGTTTTCTTTTCTTCACTGATATTAGCAACTTCTAGCGCATGGTACAACCGGAAATGGGGTTGGGAGAGAAGAGCACTGGCAACAAAGATGATGTTAAGATGGCAGCAGCACTCGCAGAGCTGGGACTGTACTGTCTATTATTAAATTAAGCCTTAAATTAAAGCAGCACTCATAGAGCTGGGACTGTACTGTCTATTATTAAATTAAGCCTTAAATTAAATTAAGTCCAACGATGATGTTTTTAAAATATCTTGGACACTTGCTCATAGCAATTCTTTGTTTCACATACATTTATTGCTATGCCACAATGACAGTAAAATAAGGTCCGCTCATTCCTGTTGGAAGCGTAACCCAGTATTTCCTTCTAACCTACCAAGTTTGGATCCCAGCAAATTCTCTTTTAATCGTAAGTGCGGCGGCTGAGGGAGTTTCATCTGACATCACAAATTGAGGGGGGTGGGTAATGTCTTCACAATTTTTATGCAATGGACTCTTAACCAAAAAAATGGGATAGTTAACCTTTCGGGTGTAGGCATTGGTTGGGGATTTTATATAAGTTCCACAACTCGAGTATAAGATCTGCATACATACGTTCTTGTTCAAATAACTCCCGCACACCTGGAAGGTCCTTAGCTGCTCCAAAGTACCTGAAGTGGGAAAGCATTTTGCTTTCAGAATCACTCAAGGAAACCAAGTAAATCATAACTGGGGCCCAAATATATCTAAAGTAAATAAAAACAAACAAACAAACGAACATTTCATTGCTTGATAAACACTAGACCAAACCTTGGCTAATATTTTTAAACAAAAATGAGAAGAATGCACAAGCGGTGTCAAGAAAAGGTTTATAAGGTGTATTTAATTGATGAAGGTGCAAATTGCAGTGATGGAAGTGGAATTTGAAGTTTTGTAGCAGGTTCTGTAACAGCCAAAATATTGGTTTGGAGCAGCGACTGACTCTTTTGGTGCAGATGCCAACATCTGCTACACGTCACTTGAGAATGAAAAAAAGTGACTGGATCGCTAAATGAGTTCATTGATGATAGTGATTAAGGGTTCCTCTTCAATACTCGAGCATATTACTTATTTGCGTTTGTGATAAGAATAAATAGGGTGTAAAAAGAAAACAGTCTTCTTAAATGAGGCTTTAATCAGAGCAGGTTTCACTTACAATCGGTATTCAACAATGGTTGAAAAGTGAATCATACTGAAAAACTTTATTGGGATAAATCCTCTCTTCCCTCTCCATTTTACACTCGGTAATTTATTTAGCCTCTAAATATAATTTCTGTAAAACGCCAGCAAGAACCAGCATATACGCTAACACGTCTACCAATAAAAATGCGTCCCGTAAGGTTAATGAACCTACCAAACTCAAGACTCTAATATCATACACTGCAAAAACAACAACTCAAAAATATTATAAAAGCCTACACTTGTGTTTTGAAGCTGACACCTTGGAACCAGTTACAACAAAGTTAGCTGCTCTTTCGACCGACAGCTGCATGGGAACTACTGTGACCTAATGCATTTATTCAAGTATATTTAGACCTGTGTTTTCTTCTCTCTCTCTCTCTTTCACTGCTCAGTTGTTTTTTTTTTTTTTTTTTTTTTAATTTAGAGATTAACTTGCAATTAGGACAAAGAAGGTAAACCTATAATAATGTTAGGAGGTGGGCTAGTCGGTGGCGCATAGTAAATATTTAATTAAAACAGCGCAAAAAACACAAGGACAAGTGGATGAAGGGACACAGACACAGCGCTGACTCACGACTTACTCTCTTTTTCGTCTTCTTAAAACACATCAACATGAGAAAACAGAGTCCAACATGTAGGATATCTTCACTGTCATGAGTGATCCGAAAACTTTCTAACAGAAAGTACCACTCAGAAAACAAATAAGAAAGGAAATTAAAAAGTAGAAAAATAGATAACTTTACATCGTTTCACCTCAGGTCTGAGCGAAGCCAAAACTACAGTGCGAGCCCCAATGCTCTGTGCTTCCCTGTCACGCATGTGGCCTCGTGGAGTGTGGACACCGTTTTAGGCTGCACGTACGTGATTGTAGCCACAGGATCACTCCCACGGAAGCTGAAACGAAGTATTAAACAAATGTGCCCGAACTACGAACAAACTCAAACTCTTCACTGAATAGCATAACTGACTCTGAGCTGATGCGGAGATCGGGACCATGTGGCCAAATGTAAAATGCTTCACGAATTTCCCTAGCCATTTTTTGTGAATGTCTAGCCAAAATTAAAATGTCACCTAACCGAGGTGAACAGCCACATCTATCAGAATGAACAGCTAGGTGACCCAAAAGTGAAGATCTTCGGGTCACCTAGCTGAAAAGGAAAAGGGTATTTTATAAACGACCCTGACAGCACATGCTACATGTTTGAAACAATGCTTTATCCCACACCCTACACGTTGAAGTCCTGCTCTCTCAATGGAAGCACACAAACAAGATAACTTGGAAGGCACTGAGAAGACTATAGGGACTTTGTATATATCAGCCACTTTTTTAATCCTGTGGAAGAAGCTGTGCAAATATGGTATTATCATCGGTCGAGATGCAGGTTTTTGTCTAATGCAAGTATGCTAAGGGGATTCCTGTACAATTTTAAAAGGGACTCCGCTACCCCCACTATGACATGTTTTGGGAAGCCCACTGAAGTTAAACGATGTAAAGTTAGAAGTGAAACGATGGAAATTTATATTTTTCTACTTTTTAATTTTCTTATTTGTTTTTTTTTTTAATGGCAATTTCTGTTAGAAATTTTTCGGATGACACATGACAGTGAAGATGTCCCACACGTGGGATTCTTCTCTTTCTATTCTTTTCCTTCTTGTGTTGATGTGTTTTAAGAAGACGAAAAAGAGAGTAAGTCGTGGGTCAGCGCTGTGCCTGTGTCCCTTCTTCTGCTTGTCCTTGTGTTTTTTGCGCTGTTTTAATATGTTTACTATCGGCCTGTAATAATCCTGAGCATAATTTGCATGCTTATCGCACAAAACCAGGTGCTCCCCCACGTCAGTCGCTGCTCCTAGCACTCAGGTGCAAAGCAGTGAAGCTCGACGCATGCACGCTGGTGAAAGGCGGTGACGGTCGATGCAAGCAGTGCAAGTGCCACGGTACTTCGCAGCCATGAAACGACGGCATCTGGCAGACATGATAATCAAGTGACCTTATCAGGAGTACAAGACCCTGGTTCTGTTTTATTACAGTAGCCGCAATCGGCAACCCCATTGTTTTGCAATGATTTCTTGAGATTCTTAGTTCCTGACATCGACGACATCGTCTGGAAATTTAGACAATGTTGGCGAACAACCTGCTCGCGCATCAACCGGCCAGAGTGGTTCACGCCCAGCATCAATGGCTCTGGCCGGATGATTCGCAGCATCAAAACGCAACATCATGGCACTTGCCTCCTTTTACGTGTTCTTTTTGATCGGCTAAACCAATCAAGTGCAGCGAATGACCCGCAACTTGCGTGAGCCTTCGAATGTGCTTTGACCTAAGACGAAACAAACTACCGTAATATCCCGAGTCATCGCCCACCCCCCTACCGCCTGAAATTCATTAAAAAAGTGGGGTGGGCCATGTCTCGGTGGGTGAGCACAAACACTTGAAAAAAAGCGGAAAAAACCGCCTATTCTTCTCTGCGTATCAAGCGCTGATGCACAAGAGATACATCAAACTCAAAACTCGATTTAGTTTCATTGTTTGATAGGAAAAAATGCTCACGAAAGAATATTTTACTATAGCGAAGTCCGTTGCTTGCATACGCGCTAGAAACACCGCCGATCTGCATATAGCGCGAACGTTTGTCCCATGAAAGAATGTCACCACTATGTTCTCCTAGTTATTTAAAAAAAAAAAGAAAGAAAGAAAAGTCTACAAGAAAATAGAAAAACCGACCAGGCGCAACGAGCGAGCGAGCGAGCGGACCAAAGAAGCGACCAAGAGCAATGCTGGGAAAGCGGGAAAGCCGGCGGTCGCGTTGGCCCGCGTCGGGCCAAGTCGGGCGCCTTGTCAATCGCAAGCTCTTGCGCAACTTTCTTGTTTGGTGCGTACATACGTGCGTCCGTGCACGGCGGGCTATCAATGCACGGTTGGGACGCTCTGCAAATGTCTGTGTAGGGCGTTCCAGCAAAGCTTTATTTACGCGTTGGCTTTGCCTAAAATATTGCACAACCGCGGTCGCGACGGGCGGGAAGAAGGAGCGGGTTAGCGGTGACCTTACTTCGGCGGAGACAGACTTTGACCTAACACTCCGCGGTTACATTAACAAACTCTTATTTTGTTATCTCCATCGTTTTCTTTTCGCACGGATACACGACCACTTTGGGGTCGCTCACGGAGGAAATGCGTAAACAAAAAGAAGTGTCTTTCCCTCCTTCGTTTTACTTTGTCACGGACGTCCTTTAACTGTAAGGTCCGCAGCCGCGTCATTCGGGTAGGATAAGTGTTCGCGGATCGCAGTGTCCGCGCTGGGGTATTCGAAGGGGTGGGCGATGACTCGGTGTTTTTTCGGAAATCGATATTGGCCCAAAAAATGGGGTGGGCGATGGCTCGGGGATGGGCGATGACTCAGGATATTACGGTATATGGTGGGTAGAGATGCCATGAAATTCATATTTGTACACTTTTTGATTCTTTCTACTTCTCTGAATATTAGAATCAACCAATAATAAAACATAAATTTTTCTTTTCTAAACTTCCGTTCATGGTGCAATTTGGCGCAAATAGCACAGCAGTTCCATCACTGAAATTGAGTTATTCGGTACTCTAAGTACAACCTAAAGTTTCATAAAATGAAACTAAACCTGCAGTAACTTGGGACCGACTTTTTGGCAAGTGAACACTGTGACACTCACTTATACCCCCGGTTTCCAGGAACTTCTCTGCCTTCTTGATCCAACATTTTTGGCCCCACTTTCTGAAGAAAAAATGGGATACAAAAGTTTAGACCTACTTTCAACAAAACAGTTGCAAACTTGCTCGGACAAAAGCAGAAAAAAGAAACCTCCACGACAACAGACACCACAAAAAAGGCACGCGAAGAAAGCGAGAAAAAAGCCTACCCCATAGTCTGGTCCCCCCAGCTCCTTGATTCTGTCTTCCCAATGGCCTTTCTCTCGTAGAAGCTTGTTGATTTCATCGTTCAGGTCCCTTATACGGAATTCACCCAACCCAGCTGTTTTACAAGGACATGAAGAAATTTGGTCAATGGGCAGCGGAGGAAAGTACTGAACACACTTGTTTCAATGGGCATGTTAAGTCCGCACTCTCTTGCTCTTACTCCAATGCTCCAAGTTTCATACTCCGAGCGCAGCAACTAAACAGAGCATAGCGTACAGGAGCGCGACACACCGAAACTATAGACAAACTGCACAAGCTCCTTCTGACAGTATAGTTATCATGAACCTAATATCTCTTGGGTTGGCAAGCTGAAATTATTTCCAAGATAAATTAATGAAGGCCTGTGTGGAGCGGCAGGCTGTAAAGTAAAAGAAACAGCAATGTTAATAAATTTCTACAATTCCAATATTCCTGAAAGGTTTGAAGACTTCTTTCGAGCACATATGTGAAAAGTTACCTTGACCGACCTATTTATTGACCATGCATGCTGTTCAGATTTAAATTAAAGGCAACATTCTTGAACCTGCTTATTGACGCAGGAAACTGTGAAACTTGTTAGATGTTCCGTGGTTCCGTCTTGCAGCGCAAGACGGAACCCGCCGATGCGCTACGTCGCCGCCGGCCGTTCAATACATGGCACATCAATTCGTTTTCAGGGGAGATGCACAAAAAAACCTTTACTGCAACGCTAACTGATGCTTTGGCTTACGAATCGAAATATCCTTATTCGCTGGGCTATGTATTCTAAAAAGGACAGCGGTCCGATTGTATTCTCATCGCGACAACTTTTCTGTTGCTGTGTTATTGGCACGTTATTGTTTGATGGATGAATTCGTTTTCAGGCAAGATGCAAGAACAGACCTTTTTCGCAACGCTAACTAATGTTTCAACTTTCTAACTGAAGTATCCTTATTTGGGCTAAGCATTCTAAAAAGGGCAGTGGTCCGACTGTCTTCTCATCTCGACAACTTTTCTGTTCTGTTGCTGTGCTATCGGCACGTTATCATTTGATAGATGATTTCGTTTTCAGGCAAGGTGCAAGAACAAACCTTTTCCGCAATGCTGACGTTTCGGCTTTCTAACCCAAGTATCTTTATTCACTGCGCTAAGCATTCTAAAAATGGCAGCGGTCCGAATGTCTCCTCATCTCAACAACTTTTCTGTTGCTGTGCTATCAGCACGTGATCGTTCAATAGATGAATTTGTTTTCAGGCGAGATGCACGGACAAACCTTTTTCAGAACGCTAATTGCTGTCTTGGCTTTGATATCAACTCGTTTTTACCTGCTGGATTAAGCACTATTCAACTGAAAAGGGGCAGCAGTCCGGGAGTGCCCTCTGTTTCGACAATGTTTCTCCCAGCGCAGCCATCTTGTTTGTGGACATGAAGTCACGGAGTGCGAAGAAGTTGCTCGCGCTCCGAGAAACACTCGGTGCAAGAAGAGCATGCTTGAGTGTCAGTCTCCGGCAACACTCCTGTCCGTTTAGTGAAAGGAGAGCAAAACTCTCGCACTCCGGAGCACGGACTTAATGCACCCATTGAGTGCACAAAAACTGCAGTGGAAATTCCTTTCATTAACAAAGTAATGGCATTCAGGTTTTTATGCCATGACGTGAAAAGCACATTCACAGGACATTTACCTATCATATTTGTGTCACCTGTTACCTATTGCCCATATAGAACTTCTAACTTTGAAGGTAAGAAATGAACAAATTGGAAGTTTAGTATCAACACATGCTCAAGCGGAGGACATGGGTACCTTAGAACTAATGGTGTTAAATTGATGCTCCGGCCTCAAAAACTTATTTTGGGCAAGGCTGGAAACCTTGTGTGTTATCTCTTTTCAGCTCATTAATGTGTGAGTACTATCGCGGACAATATGAGCTGAAACAGCGCTCTGGCCGGCGCACGGTACTACCTGCGCCGCCTGTCGCCGTGCTCGGCGCACCCTGAGGCCGAAATAAATTCTCACTTGCGCTCGATGCGCCACTGCGCTCTTCCGGCCGTCTGCTAGCGAGACGGAGTGTGCGACAGCAGGAGTGTGTGCGGTAGGGCGGCAAGGGGGGGGGGGGGGAGGAAGTTACATTTGCCTTCCATTTTTTTTTTTTGCAATTTATTTGCTTCATTTTATCGCGCAGAATCAAGTAGAAAAAACGCTGACTGGGGAAGAAAAAATGTTGTGCTATCTTAAATTGCAGCTGTGATTATCGTTTTTCAAAGTCCCATGAAATTACGTTGCAGCTTGCTTTTATTTGATTAAGTGCATCTACAAAGTAGGACATCGTAAAATATTAATTAACATCTTTTTACCGGATTTAGGCCGGCTCCAAAGTATTTCCTTCTTTTTCTTTTTCATTGAGCACAGCTGTTTAAAAACAGCGGTAACAATACATGTTAATGCGAAGGTTTTGTAACCTTGATTGCAATAAAAATGTTCAAGAATATTATTTTAGTATTACCGGGCCCACGTGTTTCTTTCAAACAAGAAAAGTTGATGACAAAACACCAGTGTTTTATTTATAAATTTCTAGTCTTTATAAAGTGTGACAAACAGTCATATAATTGTCCTGAGAAGTAGCCTGAAACTTCATCGGAAGAATATTCGCAGAGGACAATGTCAGACATAAAAAATTAATAGCCGGCGTGGAAGTTAAGCATGCGCCGGTTAACGGAACCAAACAGTGTGTCGCAACCGTAGAAGCAAGCTTTGTTCTAATCAGCAGAAGTCCGGTTCAAGTGGTCCCGAGGCGCAGTAAAGAAGTTAATACCGTGTCATTCTCCCCTAACCCGCGACCAGGGCTCTCATCCTCTCTGCTAAGGAATAATGCAGCGCGGCCCAGAAGTCTGGCTCGGCCCGAAGCCTATTCACGTCTCACCGCTTCCCACAATTCGTCGGCAGTGGCACGGTAGAGGGGACGCAGTGACATGACTACCTTGATGCGCCTCCAAACCTGTTCGATGATATTCAGATCGGCACCTTTTGGGGGCCAAGGAAGCTCCGTCATGCTGCGCTCCTCGAGAAGATACGAACGTGACAATGCATTTTACACTTAGGCGCTTTCTTGAAAAACACTGAAATGCATGTTAGCTGGAAACATTGGGCTGCACGGCACACGCATCGTGGTGGTGGTTCCATTGGCGAATATTTTCGCTAGCAGACGGCCGAAAGAGCGCAGCGGCGCAGTGAGCGCAAGTGAAAATAGACCCTTCCCGAAATTCAGTCTGGCCACTTTGATCACTATCATCATCTGTGGAACGGCATCTGTGCCGTACCAATGGCGGCCTCCTAGTGACTGATAAAGGAAGACGTTGAAGATGCTCCTAAGCGGATCTTGCGAGGCCTGTACATTCGGGGGGTCAGTACGACGCGACGTGGGAATGGAACACAAGCGCTACGTAAGCGTTTATTTCTAATAACTCAGATTTAGTCAATCTGTGGGCAGCACACAATCGGCTTTAAAGCACTTTGGTGTGTATAATTTTCTCGAGGCATCTGAGTTGGTTGTAGCTTTGTTCTGAATGCAGGTTTTTTGGTCATCATCGAACTGAAAGTGGTTGAGAAAGAACTCACACTGGACAATTCCTCGCGTGCCATTGACTTGCGAAAGTCGTGGTGCCGATACAAGTTCAGTTCTGCCATTGATATGGCAAAACCTAAACTACTTTACAAACCACCAGATGGCACTGAATTTCGGAAAGGGTCTATTTATCTCAACCTCAGGGTGCGGCGTGTTTGCGGAGCGATGCGACAGGCGGCGCAGGTAGTACCGTGCACAGGCCGGAGCGCTGTTTCAGCTCATATTGTCCGCGATAGTACATTCATTGGACAAACTTCAAGGAATGGCAAAAATAATACCACTAAGCACAAAAAAAAAAAAAAAAAAAAAAAAAGGAAAAAAGAAAGCGTGCGATGCAGTGTAAATATTTTGAATTTGGATGACTTGGACTCTGTGTGTGTGTTACCATAGAGTTATTATAATGTACGCTAGAGGTTCAACTGGCGCTAGTGTCTATGCAACTTCCGTGACGCAAATTGAAGCAGACAGCAACCAGTCTACTTTTGCGGTGCTCCTGTGCATTCCTATGGGAAAACGCGCGTGCATTTTGACTCTTCGCCAGAAAATAACACGGAACACTTTGGTTATTTGGGTCGTACCGAATAGTATACACCTTGATTAACACTGTAAAAGTGTAATTGCCTTGGTTAGCGCATTTTTCTTCATCAGTGAACGATGTTGAACTTCGCTACATTTCAGTCCAAAACATGTGTTCCGCAGCAGGTGTGTAAAAACAAGTGACGATTCAAAGCAAAATTACAATCGAAAGGAATATAGAGTGTGTTCAAGGCTCGCCAGCATTCGGGTGACGCTTACATAGTGATACTACGCCAGTCCTGTCACTATATGAAAATGACCCCGTCGTGCATGAGCGGATAAAAACATTCAAACCGTAGAGAATAAAGTCCGTAGGTTATGAAAGGTGTCTCTTCGTATTGTTTTCTCTGCCGGGCAGCTTTTATCGGGCACTTGGGCTCAAAGATTTCGAGCGTGCGGGTGATATTTTGAACGTAGAACGAATATCATCTTCGCTCAGAGAAGAAAGAATAAAGCGGTACTTACTTATCGGAATAGATTACGTGGCCTTCAATTTATTTTGAATCGTACATGCACAGGTATTTACTGATTCAGTGTTACTGCGTAGTTCTTGCCGTCTCCGTTAATTTCCAGATGTTTTTCGTTCGTTTGGCACGTGTATCCCTCATGCTGAAAAGCGCCGACGTCGTGTTCGCGCTAACAGTGTCCGACAGTGCACATAAATACACGTACGAAGCCGTTTTAGCACCGTTCTTAATGCGATGAATTTGAAAGAAAACGCCGTAACTGACCAATTTTTTCGTCGGCCTGACTGAGAAATGTTCTAAGCTACCTAGTACGTACGAATTATTTGCGATATTTGCTCTTATGATCGAGCGCAAGGAGAAAATGCACTCACTTTTTCCCATAGGAATGCATTACCGGAAGTCATTTTTGGACTGGTTGCTGTCTGCTTCAATTTGCGTCAGCACACTAGCGCCACTTGAACCTCTAGAGTACATTATAATAACTCTATGTGTGTTACAGGGTTTACAGCTACAGGTTGGCTGTTCAACAGAGAAGTGCACTTGCCGTTCTGTATCTGGGCCACTTTCTTGGCGATCTCTCGGATGACCTGCATCCTCCACTTCTCGCATTTCCTCAGGTTGTGGCAGTTGGAGGCCAGAAAGGGCCTCCGTTCCTGAACGCCCTTGCCCTGTTCGGCCAACTGCGCGGCTCTCCACCGCGCCAGGGTGGTCCTTGGTACGAAACACGCCACATGTCAGGTCAGTGTCCAGGCCCAAGTGTGGGCTGTTGTGACGTAATTAACTTGGTACTCACATCGCCTTCTCAGCGTTTCGAGCCTAGACGGTGTAGGGAGAGAGCAACGATTGAGATTCATAGTGGTAAGCATGGCTTCACAGACTGTTTGAAAGCGTACGTGACAACCCGGAAAATTGCACACGTTCCGTGCTCAATACGAACAGCAAGTTAAATGCTCTGGAAGGAAAGGCTACTTACCATGTTCAAGTTAGACTTGTACGCTTCGGAAGAGGATTAACAAATTCAAAACTTTGCAAAAAGCGGCACGATCGTGCGACGAAGTTACGAAAAAACAAAAATCTACTGCCAACGACGATCGACGCGCCAACAGTAGAAGATACTCAAACTAACATGAAGCCAAAACTAAATATATATCTTTGAAACTAAATTTATTCTGTGTTAGTTTTTATTTGAATATTTTATTTACGTCTAAAAATTGTATATAATTAATTTATAAAACTGTTTTTATTGATAAATTTTGTGGCTCAGTTAGTGGCTCAGCTTATGCGACCACCGCCAAAAGTCGCTCGAAACTTGAAGCCGGTGAGTGCGTCGCCTTATTACCAGTTTTCACGCGGCTTCTTGTTTTTTCTGCCGAGTTTATAAGTTTGTATTCGGTTTTAATCAACGATCGCCCGACCGGGGCGCTTCTCTGACCTTCGCGCGAGGTAAATTGCTTCGCTACTCAGGTTCTCCCCGCACCAGCTCCGCACCGCGCGGCGCCAAGGTCTTCCGAAGCCAAAAACATGGAGGACGCTGTCAACAACTCGACAAACTCCGTGATCAACGCTTCTAACTCGACCCTCAAAAGAAAACACTCCACCGAAGAGATCAGGTGACTCCAACTTCACCGCGCAACGCTTATTTTCCCCGCTAGTCGTCCTCGAGCCAATCATTCTTTCCTAAAAACTTTCAGCGACGAGAATCTCAAGCTACGAACAAAGCACGACAATGAATATTTTAAGTAAGTTCCCTCGGCAGCCTTCGCCGTTCGATTCAAGTGTTTAACCGTAAACCTGTTTGCCGTTCGGCAGGTGCTACTCGGGTCTGGACATCCACAGAGAGATGATTGGCGATGTGGCGCGAACTTTCACCTACCGCAAGGGAATTCTCAACAACTACAGCAGCATCTATCAAAAAGCTGTTCTTGATCTCGGTGCCGGCACAGGTGCGTTTGCTCATTTTGCCTCGCTACCGGGTTTCAATTTCGAGACGTGAACGCGAGCCCGTTGATTTACAACCCCCCCGACCTATTCGATTCCAGGCATTCTTAGCATGTTTTGTGCACAAGCTGGTGCTCGGAAAGGTAAGGACACACTTAATCATTTGTCAGCAAATGTCTTTTTACCAAAATTTTCAGTATAAATCCGTTCGTTTTTGCGTCAGCCCCAGGGTTGCCAGGTGTTTGCACTCTGACCCGCCAAATTTCTACGAGATTTTAGCCCAAAAATAGCCAAATGTCGATCCAGAAATGTAGCCAAAAAAGAAACTGACCATTCGGAACGTTTATTTTAGGAACAAAAGACACGTAATGCATTTTTATACATCAAATAGAAATATACACACCACTAGCTTGCAGAACCAACGGCAGAGTACGGGTACATCACTGCAGTATTAAAAAGTGTCAGAAAAACATCTGAAGGAACATAGTCCTTGCAGCACTGCTCTTTGCCCCACAGTTTGAATTTAACAGACAAAATGTTCTTCAGCGTTTCTATCGACATCCTGTTTCGCTGTCTTTGTGAGGGTGACCTGGCTGAACACGCGTTCTACTGCAGCGTTGGACAATGGTAACCTAAGCAACATACCTTCCACTGTATTAATGGGATGCTTAGTGTTGGGGCATGGTGACCAGAACAACGTCACGGGAAAACTATACAGATGTAAACACAAAGTATATGTGCACGCCAATCAACAGACAACCTAAAGAATGTGCAGAACAGGTGGTACTGTTTGGGCCGCAAGGAATGGCGCCGTCCCTGGTTGGCATGGAGGAATAACTGCACGCGCTTGCATTTGGACAAGATTCGGGGGTAAAGAATGGTGAGCAAAGAGCAGACAAATCTGCTTGCTGTCGCATACTTTTCAGAGTTAAGAAACTGAAGCGCCAAATGTTTACGTAACTTACTATAAAAATACCACATTCAAACCTATAAAGCGCCGTTCACACTCTTGCGACTGAGTACGACCGAGAGAGACCAGACCGGTTTTTAAGCCTTTTGCGACTTCTTAGGACCGGATGCGCGGCAGCGGAGCTGGTCCTAAGAAGTCGCAAGAGGCTTAAAAACCGGTCTGGTCTCTCTCAGTCAAAATCGGTCGCAAGAGTGTGAACGGGCCTTAAACTCAAGTGCTTTGAGGCATTCTGGAGTGCCCAGCACGGGTCAGAAATAGCCCACTACTAGCCAAATAGCCAACTACCACTTTTTGCCACAAGCTGCAAATAAAACTAGCCCAATTTGGCTATTTATAGCCCAACCTGGCAACCCTGGTCAGCCCTAGTCGGCGTTTGTCTAATCATAGTTTTCCTTGTTCTCACCTGAATATCGTAGGCGCAGGTAACAAAAAATAGGCCCATACCTATGGAAACAATATTTCCATCACAGTACATGCCAAAGATTCGCGGCAACCCAAACTGACTGTAACTCAGCGAGGAAATCTGTGATCGTTTAAAGTAGTGCCTGTTGGGGCAACCAGCTTTAAGAATGCAAATGGCATAGTAAATTGAGTTTCCTTTCTCCCAGTCACTGGTATATCTCTGGGTCGCATTTGGCAGTTGTTCATTGGTGCTTTCTGTTGTGTGCCAAAATAAGGAGCTCTTCATATAGAGTATTGTTTCATTTGCTTTCAGTTTATGCAGTTGAGGCCAGCGACATAGCCGAAGTAGCAAGAAAAGTGGTTTCGTCAAACAAGGTTGACGACCAGGTCACAGTCATACAAAGCAGAGCGGAGGTAACTTCATGCGTGCAATTCATTTGCCTACTATTTTAGAAGTTCCCTGACGAAGAGGCAGATACTGCCTTATTTTGTGTGACTCTAAAACGAGTTCATCTGCTGATATGTCTGTCAGAGCGTAGCAAGTGAAAGAGGCACAAAGGAAATCTCATCTATAAAGGCCAACTCTTATTCTTTTAAATATTAAGAAAACAATGCTATTCTCTTCAGTATAAACTAAAAAGACCATATGCCTAATAATTTAATCTAATTCCACCTAAAAGTTGATGAAATAGACAAGTTAACATTGAGGTCCTCGAAGTTACCAAAATCTGCTATTTCTAATGGACGAAGCACGGCAGAGCCAACACCGCAGTCAATACCACTGTGTTGGCGCAGCCTATCGTCCGTTAACTACGTCATGCTCACAACCCTGGGAGATTTGTTTGCTTGTTTTGTACTTTTTCAATCAAAGTCTACAGGCAGTGCTAGCAATGCGCTCATTGTTGGCCATGTGATTTTCGGGATGTGCATTTGCTTGTGTGTTCTGGTGTGCTCCCACACGAGCATGTTTCATTGCGGCAGCATCCGTCACGTGCGAGAGAGCCACTTTGTGACATTGAGCACAGTATACTTCTACAAACCCATCGCGGCATATTTACGTGTAGTTTACTGAACTTCACTTCCTACTAATGTTTCCCAAACAAGCCCTTGGAAAAACTTGCCTTCTTCTGCGCTAAAACACAAGCTGCTGCCACAGTAGTGCAAGCATCGTCACTTTTGCCCTTGCGCCAAGCTGCGCCCGGCTGCCTGGTACGTGATGACACAGAAGCAATGTTGTTTGCCGCGGGCATGGTTTCGGTTTCTTGTAAACTTTAAATGAAGACTGCGTGAAAAATATTACACTTTCTTGAAAAGAAATAATGTAGAACCGGGATATATAATCAAACGTGAACCCAAATTACTTGGAATTGACCGGAGTTGCCCTTTAAGCATTGTTTTTTATTCTTTGCCAGGACGCCACCCTCCCCGAGAAAGTGGACGTCATAGTCAGTGAGTGGATGGTAAGCTAGACATCTCTCTTGGTGCTGGACGTCTTTAGATGTCAAACAATTTTGCACCGTGAAAGCTCGTTATATTTTTTCTTTGTTTCAGGGTTACATGCTTTTGTACGAATCCATGCTGCAGTCCGTGATATTTGCAAGAGACAAGTGGCTGACAAAGGTGTGCGGTGCTTTTGTGACTCCAGCTATATACTTTCAGTATATAAGATAGAAACATTCAATGAAGAAAAAAGAGAAAAAGAGGACACTTAAAGTAGGTTTAAAGTAAGAGCTTGCATTCTTTTTATCCTCTTCTTATATCTGCCATCTTTGCCTAATTGTTCTATCACTTTCCTTCATGCATAGTTCATTCCTCTTCTCGTGCAGGATGGAGTCTTGCTCCCCGAAAAAGCCCGCATGTTCATCGCTCCCTTGACTGATCCTGACGAAGGTCTCGAGAGGTACGCCCTTTGCTCCAGGTGGTTTCATTACTGGGGTTCCAGATTTTCTAGAACTAAGAGGAGTGTGACCTTATCCACACTTGTCTTCTGACTTGTCCCATCCCTCACCTATGATAATGTTGGCTGCAGTGCAGTACCGGCCATGGCTGGCAATTGCTTCGCTGTGGGGATGATCCGCTCGACTGTCTTTTCACTCTCACTTGCTTCATAATGTCTATCAATCAATGCTAGGGACTGCTGTGTTCACCAATCTGCCCCATCTTTTTTTTTTTTTTTTTTTTTTTTTTTTTTTTTTTTTTTTTGTAGGATTGAATTTTGGAAGATGGTGAAGGACAACTTTCATGTGGACATGTCCTGCGTGACCGAGTTTGCGAGGGCAGAGATGTACAGTGAGTACCGTATTCCTTGCAGGCATTTGTTTATTCATAGTTTGCCTTATGCATGCGCTGAACATATAATCTGTGAATGTTTTGGTGCACGAATGCGTGCATACTTGCCAGAACATCTTTCATAGATCACGCATAAGAAAAGAATGTCTAGAGAGGTCAGTGCAGTTTTTCAGTGGTACCATTAGTTTACTTGTCAGTTATTTAAACATTACTCTGGACCTGATCCTGACTCAATGTATCGCAGAGCACATCACCGTAAAGACTGTGGACATGGAGAATGTGATCTCAAGGGGGACCTGCTTTCTGGAGTTGGACCTCTACACTGTCAAATCTGAAGACCTGCAGTGCATCAAGGTGAGTGAATCACTTCCGTAATAACCCAAAACGAAAGGATTGAACTAAGCAGCAAGTTCATTAACACAGCTAACTGTGTCAGAATTCCATGTCGCAAAGCTGCCAAGTCTCCTGCATTACCCGGGAGACTCCCGTATTTGAACCACACTGTACGGTTGACAAGATTTGCACGTAAACAAGGAGTTTTTGCCGTCGTTTCAGACAGCAGCAATGATAGCAAGGTCCACTGTATCTTGCTACCATGAGCGGTGGAGTACAAATGTAGTGAAGTTGTTTTAATGTAAATTTATTGTCCATGTTTCTTTGAAAAAAATAGTCTACCGCTTCGGACCACCACCTCTACTTCGGACATCAATCCTGAAATAGAAGCGTGTTTTGGAATCTCTCCTATAAGCACTCAATTGAACTCCTGAAAGCATTCTTTTTACAGTGCCTGGATAGGTCGTGTATGTATCAAATCACCCCCCCCCCCCCAAAAAAAAAAAGAAAAAAAAGAAAAACTCTTAATTATCTACATTGTGAGACTTGTCTTGAGTTAGGAGTGATTCCAGAACATGCTTCTCTTTTATGATGTCAACCCTGATATAGAGGTTAGAAGCGAGTTTCAGAATCGCTGAAATGAGGCTCGCTATGTCAATATTGTGGTAAAAAAGTTACTTGTGGGCAAAGTCTATTTTACGGCGTACCATAAAATACCGGGGAAGTGCCCACCGCACCTTTCACTGAAAACTGGGTTAATCTAGACATGGGCGCTTGTCCAGTCAAGTCAGTAAAAACCAAGATGGCGGCCAATAGCTTTGGAGCTATTGGCCGCCATCCCTGGCTTCAAAGCCGAAGCTTTGAAGGCAGGGTGAACGAAATCAGAGAAAGCACATTTATTTTCCCGTGAGGTCCCTGTCATTGCCGCTGGCGGTCTTGTGGCCGCCGCAACGGGGTGAATATCTTTGGCTAATGCCGGTGTTTTGGAGGGGGTGGGCGCCTGACACATAATTTTCAGAATTCTCAAGTTTGGGAAATGTTAATAGTGGACATTTGTACAAAGTGGGCACTGCCACGGTATTTTACAATATGTGCCCTATCCAGGCACTTAAAAAACTTTTTTTTCAAGAAGTTCAGTGTCTTGTTATGAAAGAACTGAATTTGCTGCAGAGGGGCACCATTTAGTATAAGTAAATGAATTATTAGTGTAAAGCTCTATTGAGCTTGTAATGCTGGTGTGAATATTTAACTAAATAAAAAAACTAATTTTTTTTTAAAATTAATTTTGATATTAGGAGTATCTGCTGCTGTAGGATATTCTATTTTTTGTGTGCTTGCTGAACCAATTAACCTGCTGACAAAGGAGAGCAATCAGCCCAAGACTGACAGAAAAAGAAAGGGATACACACAGTAACAGCTGGCCATTTTGATTTTTCATCTGCAGACTATAAGTGTTTCTTTCTCTTGCAGCTGCGAGCCTTTGTTTTATTGTTCTAGTGTCTAATGGCACAGTTATTTTAAGTGCTTGTTCTAAGCATTTTTTTGTTGTTCGCTTTGTTTTCTCCAGGAAAACTTCATGTGCTGCTGTTACGGTCACGGCCGAGTCCACGCCTTCGTCATCTGGTTTTCCGTGGAGTTCCCGAGGGACGTCATCCTTTCTACATCTCCCTATGATTCGTAAGTTTGACATCTTCTTTTCTACTGTGTTGGGGTGTCGTGTTCCTTTGTGCCCGTTCTGTCTACGCATATATTAAATCGTCAGCGCTTTTCCAGATGCAGTGTCATGAATGTATAAAGAATGTGATGGGTTTTTAAAAGTGACGGTGGGGAGGCGAGTTTGCAGTTAAACTGGGTTTATTAGAAAGAAGGAAAAACGTAGAGTCAAGTCCAGCACAAGGCGTCTTCTGTTCTTGAAGAGGTAGGGGGGGGGTGTCTACGGATGTGTATAAGAGAGGCAAGGGAAACATTCCCCCATGTTCTGCTTGCAGAATGGGAGTGTTGCTGGCACTCTCTCTTTTTGTGGTTGGTGTTTATGGCACATACACAGCATAATTGGTCAATTGATGCCATATGCAGCACAATCGGGCTACAAGCAGTGGTAACGCAGAAAGTATTCTGTGTTGCTTTGCAGCAGTGTTACACAAAGTAACTTTGTACATATTTTATCTGTCGACGGTGCAAACGTCGGCGTGCATAGCATCTCTAAAAAAAAGCCCTGCCAAAGCTGGCAATCCAGCGAGAGATGAGCATATTTGCATCTCTTGCAGTTGCACACTTGAGCTTTTGCCCCGTCGTTCTGCGACTCCCCGTTCCCTCTGAAGCCCGTGCTTCTTCTCTTCCCTCTCGCCTCCTGCACACTCTCTCGCCATATGTGGGAGCTAGCCCACTCCACATCTTTTCGATAAAGCACATTCACACATTACCATTACATTTGACCGCATTGTGAGGGCTTATTTCAAGTTAGGACGTCGAGTCGCCGGGACATCCATACTTTGCATGAACCTTGGCAACCAACTTGAGGAGTCGCTTTACGGTATTGTAGCTTGGCACGCAGCTCGTGATGCACGGAAATACCGGTGACTCGAAGTTGTGTCATGTTTCAAGTTGTTCTCAATCTCGCTCCAGGTTAAAGGGTTTGTACCTTGGCATTTGAAAACCTGCCTGCATCCAGCCGGGTCTTTTTGCGTTATTGCATTATGTGACCAGCAGAAGTAACTCAGATCTACTAAGATTGGGAACACAGCGAACATGGCATAGTCAAGCACTGCTGTGCAAGTGGGCTTTAACAAGGCCGTAGTGCTGGACCTTCCACGCTGCATTCCGAAGGGCAGTGCAGTGCGTGGTTTGGGTTGGACGCCACCATTGCATCGGTGCTCGGCTGGGACTTGGGCTCAGTCAGTGAAGGCACTACTTTTAGCTGAACGATGGAATTCGTGTCCTCATTGCATCATGTTTGAGATCATATTGCTAGAAGTTGGTTTCTGGTTCATGTTTCTTCACATTCTTTGCTTTGATGGGTTGTCTTTCATGTTTGTTTCGATTGACACAGTTTATTTTTAGATTAACGTGCCATAATTGTGCATTGTGTTGTTTTTCAGTGAGACGCACTGGCAACAGACAGTGCTATACATCAACCCCGTGGATGTGAAGCAAGATTCGGAAATCAGGGGAACCATCACCATCAATCCTAGTGCAGAGCATCACAGGTGGGAACGTTAGGGTTGCGTAGCATTAAAGAGAATTAGTATTTACTTCTACAGTGGAATCCCACTGATACATTTTTCAGGGGACCGTGGTAAGAAGGTCCATGAGTCGTGAAAATGTAACAACCAGCAATGCTCTTGGTGGAGATATAGATGAAACAAGAAGGAACTCGCATAATTTATTTTACCTAGAGTTTCGTGGCTGTGGAGAACTACCACAGACTTAATGTAGGTAAAGATTATTTTTGTTTTGCCTAATTTTTTTTTTTTTTTAAATCAAGGTTGATTTATAAATGTCAGGATATAATTTTAACCTCTAAGAGTAAGCAAAATTTCCTAGCCCATTGAGCTAACCAGATTCATCCTGCATAAGTTGTTGCCCTAATTTCTTTGTCTTGCCCTAACTAGTAGCAACTGGAAAGGCTACAAGTGTTACAGTAAAACCTCGTTACAACAAAGTTGAAGGAGCGGTCGTAATTATTTCGTTATACCCATCAGTTTTTTATAGCCACTATCCATTTCTTCCCACTATTAGCGAGCAAGGGGAATTATGATTGTTTTGTTATATCCATTAGTTTTTTATATCCCATTTTGTTATTACGAGGTTTTACTGTAGCTCTTTGCATTTGATCGAGCCTCGCTGCCTGCTCTTGTATCCTTTGTGGTTTATGTTAAAGGGGCACTCAAGTGGATTCTGAAATCGTCTATTTATGCTGATAACTCAATCTACGGGCTCTATACATCCTAAAAAAAACTCGAAATTACACTCGTGGGTGGCCGATTTGAAATCTAATCAAAGATTGTGACACAACCTTTTTTCTGTGCCTTGGAGCAGGCACCAGGGGGCGCCGTTGTACGGCGTTTTCAGACGATAATTGCTGTATTATGTCTCCTACACCGAAAGATTTCACATTACTGTCCAAATATAATGGACAATGTGCCTAAAAAAAGCAATAATAGCAAGGTTTGGAATTTCTATTGCTATTGCTCCGAGTTTACTGGGAGTATTGCATGCCTGTGTGAAGCAGTGAAGCTTGACTAGGAGACCTTTTTCAACAGCCTCATTGGGTGGCAATCTTTAGATGTAGAAAGGCATTCCAGCAAATGGAAAATTAATACACATACCTTTCTGGGAGGTTATTGGGACCGACATTTATGAACTTATCAGGTGGAAAACATAAACTGAAAGCTTATCAATGTGGTTCTACTATAGCTAGTATGATGTTTGGGCTGCAGTTGTTTTCAACATGAAAACAGACTGTTTACCATCATAAGAAACCTACATAGTTAGAAACTAGAGAAAAATTAGAATTAAAATCAAACCTTGTTTCCTCTTCCATGTCACCTAGCTGCACTGGTTTTGTGGTGCTTTTGAATACCTTGGATGTTACACCTCTCTTCAAAGTTGATTGTTTTGTGTGAATCGTAGCCAGTCTCTCTACTCACAGGGACAGGTAGCATCTGTAGGATCAGGTGTACTCAGCATCAACTATTCTGTGCTACTTTGTCAAGGCTATTCTCCATTTACCCTTAAGCTGAGACAGGGATGGGCAGTATTTCAAATACAAGAATTTGAAATACGTATTTCAAATACTTTGTGTATTTTGAATTCGTATTTAATTACAAATTGGGTAATGTATTTGACGTGTGTATTTAAATACTAAAACGTGTGTATTTCAAATACAATTGTAATTAAATACAATTTTGGGGGCGAAAATACATCCCTCAAATTTATTGTCACTGTCCAGAGCAGTAAGAAAACTACGCTCTGCACCGAATGCAGTGTCTCTCAATCAAGCACAAGCCTTTAGGGACTTTGTGATTACGGTGCTAGTCCAGGGCAAGAATAGTGACGAAATCGACGCTCACAGGCAGACTGGCTAAATAAGTGCCTGTGACAACTTGTAATGCTTTCCAGATTGATTTCCATCCATATTTTTGCCTGGAACATTCTAAATGCGCGGGTCGTCCAGGTTTTCGTAACTGATGCGAGTTGCAACAATAAAAAATTCTCTAGCTAGTGCTGCGCGTCTTGGTCGTCTCGGTTCTTTGTTGGTCTATACAAAAATGTAATCGACAAAATAAAAGCTGCTTGAAGCTCTGTACTTTTCTCACCTATTACGTCCAAGCTGATTACATTTTTTTGTGATTATATTTTTATTACGTTACTATAGCCTCGCACACTAACTCCCTAGTGTTCTATGCAAAATTAGAATGAGATACCCAGAAAGCCGTTGCAGGTGCCCTGCAGTCGCTGATGCAAATTTTGAGGAATGTATTTGGAAAAGTATTTGGAGGAGACCAAATACATTTGGTTGTATTTGTATCTTGTATTTAAATGCTTTCTTGGAAATGTAATGAGATTTGTAATTAAATACATTTTTGACGAAGTATTTTGTATTTGTATTTCGATACATATTTGCATGTATTTTGCCCATCCCTGAGCTGAGACTAGAAGCTCCGCCTTCAGTTCAGGCTTTCTGCCTTAGCTAGCACAAGTGTAACTGCGCAGGCACAAGCAACCAAAGCACTGCGGAAGCCGGCGAGCTCACGCTGAAGGTGGAGCTTTTAGTCTCAGCTTAAGGGTAAATGAAGTATAGCCTTTCTTCTACTCTGCTCTAATGCTGTCAAGGCTGTTTGTGTGAGTGTATGCGATGAGGCGCAAGACAAAGTTACGTGACTCTAATAGCATTGTGGGATTACAGCACTGTAGAAGCTATGGTAGCCTTGACAATGTAGCGCAAAGCAGCTCACACCGAGCATAAAGTGAGAACAGACCTGAACTGTCGTAGCTTATAGGAATCTTGAGCTCTCCTTTGTAGTCTTCATGAGAGTTTCTGAGGGACCGGGTGGCACCAATTTCATTAGGTCGAACTCTCTGCTCCATTGTGTCAGCATCCACTTGGTCTCATGAGTCAAACTATATGACTCGCATGCAACCTGGTTCTGTTGCTTAAGAAATAATGGAATGCAAAGAAGTATATTTCTGCTGCCTCCACTCTTTTCACTGGTTATGGCCTGTTTTGATTTATGATCAAAAACAAGAGCTTTTTAACTTCGAATAGGTATACATCATGCTGTACGTTATGAAGGTATGAATTCTGCGGGAAAAAAAAGAGTTTCACCCTAATTTCCTACAGCCGTGTTTGAAATGAATTTATTGGGGTGGATGGGCACGGAAAGCAGTGAAGTGTACTGCACGATTGTTAACAGAACAAGCAATCGTCACTTTTTTGCTTCGTTATCCGAAAATCAAATTGCTCTCATAAAACGAAAAATGAAAGACATTTACAAATCTCTGTAATGCGAAATTAGAGCGCAGCTCTTGAGCAGGAGGAGGGGAAGGCATGTCCCTCCTCCTCCTCCATTCCCTCCTGTACCTCTAATTCCTCTAATTCAGTTTCCTCGCTAAATTTAGCGGGGAAAATGACGTCACATAACTTGGTGTCACATCACCTATGAACAGATTCAGTTTCTCCTCTAGTTTAAGCGGGAAAATTGATGTCACGTGACCTCAACACCCATTCAATTCCTTGCTAAATTTAGCGGGGACTTGAATTGGTTTTGAGGTCACGCGACGTCAATTTTCCTGCTAAATCTAGTGCAGAAATTGAATTTGTCTGCTAGATCTAGCATAGAAACTGAATTTCCCCGCTAAACTTGGCGGGGAATTGAATTGGTGTTGAGGCCACGTGACGTCAGTTTTCCCGCTAAATTTAGCGCGGTTACACCGACGCCGACGCCGCTCAACCCGGAAACGTGCGCCTAAGAGCTGCGCTCTAAAAAACTACTGTTGTGGTGAAAAGTGGTCGTTCTGGACAACAGCCCGAGCGGTAAAATTTGATGCTCGCCAATACCTTTTCGAAGTAAAATGCGAAAAAGCGCCAATAATATGTCTGTGCTAAGAGTTAAGCAGTGTATAAACCTTTTTGTAAACGGAGCTGTTTCTGGCACAGAATGCTGGACGTGGAGCTGGCCTTCACTGTGGATGGAAGGCAGCCTCGAAAACAAGTGTACAGAATGAATGACTGCGGGCCCTGACAGGGTTGGCCCAGCTCCCTGTGTGTCTCCATTGTGGACATTTGTATATTTATTGAGTGACATGTACAGTGGACATTGTTTCTTTGTGTGGCACAAATAAATATAAATGTCTAGGCCGTTTCACCCTGTTGCTGGCAATCCCTGCTGTTTTAATTTGGGTCCGCTTTCTTTATTTTCGGCATGTGATTTACTAAGGTAAGGTATTTATTCTGCATCTGTTTTGCTAAGATGTTTATTCCTCATGACCATGACCCCATCAATTAAATTGGTTATAAGAAAAAATAATTTAATGAAAAGAAAGTATTGTAGCACTCAAAAATGAAAAAAATCGGGCAGAGTGAAATCTAAAAAAATTTCCTCCCATTTGTTTGGTTGTCCGAGCTCTTCTTAACTTGCATGTGTGCTCAAGGAAGCAGCATTACTACGCCAGCCATCTACAATTTAAGTAAACTCCCGAGTACTTGTACACGAGATACCCTTAGAGAATAGAAATGAATGTTGAACAGTCAACTAAAGTTTCATTGCCCTTTTTTTTTTGCCTATCTATCAGAATATTTTCCCTACAGGTATGAGTGAAGCATCACACTGTAATATAAATGTGTGTTGTCTTTTTTTTAAATATTGTGGGTACCATCCCAGCAACCAACGGGTTCAGGCAACATCCAACGTTTATTATAGTTTGAGCGAACAGTGCAAATAAAAAGGAACAACACAGGCGACACTTCATTCATCAATGACTGTTGTCTAGCTGAGGCAGTTTTCTCTAGCTTATATTACTGACTAGTTAAACTGGAATAACCACTAGCTCGAGGGCTGTCCGCACCAACAAGGATGGCCCATCCGCATTCAAGATTTTGGCAAAATGTGCACTTTCTCCAGAGACTGTTTATAATGAATTCCGTCGGACCTCTGCCCTGTGAACGGCATTTTGTGACCAACGAAAGCGGACAAAATCGACTAAAAAACATAGTGTTCTGCAAAAAGATGTGCATGCAATACAGATGGGCCATGGGTGTTGGCTTAAGAAGTCCTTTAGACGACAATTCGACTCAGTTTATCACTTGGATTCACTTACATTGTTATCGAGAACACTTTGGTGACTAGAGCCAATATACAGGAGGCCATTTCTTTGGTTGGTTGTGCTTGCAATAACTCCTTTTAATCCCACACTACCATATCTAGCTTTATTTATTCTTTCTTGTCACAAAGATTGAGCAATAACTAGTGCAGTTAACTGATTGATCAAATAGCTTTGAAGACTAGCTTCCATCAGTCACTGTATTTTGAACTACCTACCGTAAAATACCGGGGGCGATGCCTACCCCACCTTCACTGAAAATTGAATTGATCTAGACTTGGGTGCTTGTCCAGTCAAATTGGGTGCCCTATATTTTGTAGAATTGCCAAGTTTAGGAAATGTTAATAGCAGGTGCTTCTGTGGTATTTTACGGTTTATTATAAGTCTATAATTTTCTAGAAAATTTATATTTAGGAAAAACTGATGCAGACCACCCCATAGTGGTGACTGAACTCTTCTTGCTGCTGTTCTAGAGTTTGGTGAGCTTCAGTGATGTAGCATTGGACAGTTCACTTGCCAAAAACAACCTCAACACCAAGCACATTTGATCATTTTCTATGTACAGCATCTAACTTCGCTCCCAAACCACCACATGTCAGCAAAGCTATGACATGATATAGACCCTGATTGACCATATTTTGAAACATGAACATAGATTAGAAATTGGCCAATTAAGTTCTTCAGGAGTATAATGTATAGGAAGTGGTGATCTCTAATTTTCTATCAGTAATGTAGTATTTTACTGGTCCGTTTTACCTCCTAAACTTCCAAAACGTAGCTTTCCTCCTGTGAAAAAAAGAAAAAATATACATTTTTGTTAGGGTCAATGTTGGACGACCATGCTAGTGGGCTCTCTAAAAGAGGAAGTGGTGGTTGTGCTTATGGTGCCATCTGAAATGTGCAGAAAGCAGACGCCACACTCAGTCGGAAAGCACATTTTGGCGTCGTCTGCTTGCTGCACCTATCGGGAGTTGTGTGATACAATTGTGTTGCTTGTGTGTTTAGACAGCCTTGATCTAGTATGCCTCAACAGATGACTTGTCACTTTGCTGTAGATGACAAGCACAACCCTCATCAACTTTGTGATCTGCATTGCTGTCTGCCATTCACCCTGGCAAAGATGTTGGTCTAATTTTTTACAGGATTGGGAGCTATGCCTTGAAATTTTGCAAAGTAAAATGCACCATTGAGATACATGTTTGATGAAAATTTAAAATCGCTACTTGCAGGCCGCGCTTTTTCTTGTTCATATTAGAGTAACCTGGGGATTTAAAACACCCCATACATGTGTATAATTTGTGTAATTTTAGAATGTGTGAAGCATGTAGACCAAGCTAGAGTTCTGAAACATGAAGTCGGAAACCTATTTAGTGCGCCTTTAAGGGCCTGTGGTTGATTTTCTTTGATATTGGTACGAAGTAGGGCTATGTGAATTTTGTAGGGTGGTATTATAACCTCATGGTGGTAACACTGGGTCAAGGTAAGCCTATGTGTTAAAAAACATATACTAGTATCATGCATACCGTCATTGTGTAAAAGTACAGTGCTCTGTATATTAAAATAAACCGTAGCGTAGATTTGACAACGCGATAAAATACAAATGAGTTGAACATAATTTGGAGAGGATCGCAACACAGTTTCCAAGGACACCACTATACTCCGTTCACCTTCAACTTGACAGTGCAGTGGAAGCTACGTCCTTGTTGAACCAGTGCATTTACCTTTCGCCACGTGTTCACGCTCCCGCCCACACTCGCATGCAGAGAGTACGGTCAGGTACTGAAAGGGGGGCCACTGATTGGTTCGGCAAACGCGTAGCTTCCGCCATACTGTCACCTTGGGGTGAACAGAGTATAGAAAGTATTCACTGGCGGCCATAGCTGTGCGCGCAACTGCTGAGTGCGTGCTGATGGCTAGCTTTCACAGAGAAAATATAGTGAGGGAGCGGGCGAGTTGGTGAATTTTAACCACGTTGAACTAATCTGAGACTGGGGAAGAGAAATGTCAAAACGTAGAAGGGTGTTTCTACATCAGATCGTGCAATGACGGTCCTTGTCATATTTTTATATTTATGTAAAATATATATGTTAAAGCCATGTTCTTGGGATTAGCATTCGGCTATACACGAACGCCATAGATAATGTTTTTCTGGAGATATAAAATTGCGAAGCTCGAGGCGTGGAGATTGCCAAGGTTTCGCTTACATACTTTGTACAGCTGTCAATTTGACAGTGAAGCATGCACGTGGTAATAATTATTTCTACTTATTTTATGAAAGGTTTACGACATGTACACAGCATATTAATAATTACAACAAAACACTTCTATGCAAAAGAAAAAAATATGAAACACGTCAAATAACACATTCTAGAGACACATTCACAAATTACTTACCAACAAACTACTTCATATAAAACAAAAAAATATATAAAAATGATTATCTCTAAATGCATTTTACGAATATATAAGAAAATATGCTTAGCCATTTCTAGTCTTGTTATTAATGCAGAAATGCAGCTAATTTCTCTAAATTTGGCAACATTGCATGTCAACATAAAAAAAGAACTCCTTTTTTTTTTTTAAATTCTTGTTCGTTTACAGTGACTTGAACAAACTTGTTATGGCAAAATATCGAGTAACGTATAACCTGAAGAAAAAAACGGCAACAAACCGTCACTCAAATTGAGCTAGCTTGACTTCGTTATAGGGGCTTTGCCGCGCGTCCGCTCCAAAGGGACTTTTTCTAGAACCAACAAGAGCTGTACAGCGGTGCTGCTCTATCGTAGGGTGTGAAAAGTTATGGTTTCCCTCATTTAGGTTTATATTTCTGTTTCCTTGCGTTTTTGCCTACCCCCCCCCCCCCCCCCCCTCCTTTCCGGAACAGACCCAATTGAGTATACTTTACACGGAGCGCCGTAAAAGGCTGTGCATGCCTTATATCTCTATCACGTGGGTGGATGTAATAGTTTTCAATTATATCCACAATGTTGATGTTATTATATGATATTTTATTATAAAGTAAATTACTAAAAGTAATATTTAACCTAATTATATCGAACACTCACTTTTTCCTAAATTTTCCCTTTGGCTGGAACGAATGTTACATCAATCCGTTTTCTGTGCGATGCATACTTTTCACAGAAACGATTTGGCCCACGTTTTGTGAAACACCCGGTATGTAGAGCCGAGTTCTTCTCCCAGGGACATGGCTTTCACATACAGTGGAATCTTGCTCATTCAAGCTCGCGGATAATTCAGACTAACACGCAGGTCCCGTCCCATGTGTTTCTAGGTAGGAAACTCCCGGTAATTCAAACTTTGCATTAATTCAAACAAAGTTTGGGTCTTCCTCGGGTTCTAACTAGCGAGATTCCACTGTAGTATATGTGTTACAGAAATATACAAAATATGGCCTTGAAGATCACTGTATCAACTGGCATGGGAACACCCAACAACAATGCCCTTGTGGTTATCAAGTTATATCTGTATTCCGTTGGGTATGCGTGGATACTTAGAAAGGATAAGCTGGTTTGTTTTTTGTCACACAATGCTGAACACCAAGATACCGACTCTGTAGATACTATTTCCCTCGCCTTGTTTTCGCGATGATAGATCTTTCTCGTGTGCGGGCTTTGGGCTTCATGGTAATGTTCTGTGCATTGCATGCAGTTCTCAACTGCCGACCGCAGTGGCGTCCTTCGACAGACGATCTGAGCAGCACCACTAAACAACCTTTGTCGGCTGTAAAAAAAAAAGTATTTTTGGAGCAGACGTTGTGCCGCAAAGCCCCTAGAACGAAGACGAGCTAGCTCAATTTAAGTGAATGTCTGTTGTCATTTTTCTTTTTTAGAGATCTTTATGCTACTCAATGTTTTGCTATCAGAAGTTAATTCACGTCACTGTAAATATATATATATTTTTAAAATATTGACGTGCAATATGGACGGGCACATTTCGAGAGATTAGCTGCATTTCTGCATTAATAACAGAACTATAATAATGATTGAGCATCTTTTTATATATTCGTAAAATATATTTGAAGGAG